TTTTTTTTCTCATATTCCCCCCTGTGTGTATTTGTGTTTCATTTTTCTCAAATTGTGACCGAAATCTATGACTTGGAAATTCCTTCAAATGTACCCTGGCGTTTCTTCTTTTTACTACAGGTTTCAAGTTTCTTAGATCTACTCAATCAATTTCCTTCATCTCTGTTTCCACCATAATCCAGGTAACCGACTGTAGCTTAGACTGTAATAGCAATATCTACATACAACATAACTGCTACTGCTGCCTACAACTGCCTACATCGATATGCAAATTAGGTTTAATTTTGTACCTCCTGATAAGGTTACCTGTCTGTCTTTTTTGGGGATATCACGTGATATGACAGCCCTACGGTTTCCCTTGTATTGTGTCTTGGTGAGTATTCCAACAAAGATATATTAGATAATGGGATTCCATAGGTGATCTCAGACACTGTAGGAACTTTGGATGGTGTTTATCATTTTGTCTCTTGTTGAATGATTCTTTGTTATAAGCAAGACAGGATATATATTCCCATAGCATACCATGGCGAAATGTTCTCATAGCAATCCTTATCCTAACTATCTACATCTAAACCAAAACCTCACAATTTGTATCACATCCCATACCCAAAGAAGCAAAAAGAAATGTGCCATTACTGGACCACCAAATACACCTTTTGCGGCTGCATCTGCGACGACATATACCAGCTCTGCCCCTACCGCGAGTACTGCGTCGGCACGGTGCTCACGCAGACCGAATACGAAGATGATTTGTGCTGGGAGTGTCGCGATGATGCAAAGGAACGGACTAGATGGGTTGAGTTGGTGAGGGAGATGGAGACTCCGGCGGCGGAGGCGATGGCGGGTACACAGTCCGAGGGAGAGAAAGAGGGAGAGGCAGAGAAGGGCGCAGAAGGACAAGAGGGGAATGGTGGTGGAGAGGGTAAAGGCAAACGGATTCGTCGTCCAAAATTGGTTACCTGCGATGTTTCTAGGGTTTGTGATCCTGAGGTTATTAAGAGAGGGTGTGAGCGTGTGCGACGGGCTTGCTTTGATGAGATGGAGTGATGGATTTTGTCTATGGGAAAATAATGGTAGTATAGAAAGGTGAATGTTGTTTTATTGCCTCGGAATATCACGTAAATTTGAATGCTAGATCATACGCCTCAATATCAAACTAAATCGCCAAAACCTAGACGCTCGTATTCAATCGTTCCAAACGCGCAGTGATCGACTCGATGACCGCAGATCTAGGTGACAAAACCTCAGTAAATGGAGCAAGCAAACAAATGAAATAAAGGGGACGTACTCTCGTTCAACCATCTTCATCGCATCAGCGATCTTCGCGCGCTGTAATCTCTGTGGGACCCTTGGCTGAGCGGCAGATGGAGATGCCGGACTGCCAGGCTCAGTCGGCGAGGGTGCCTTGGCTGCGATTCGTTTGCTATCAGCAACAAGATCGGTCGCAAGATCCATGACCTATTCGATGTTAGTATTGCAATCATTTCATGAATGGTTGGCTTCCACCAAGCGGAGAACTTACATCTTCCAGTCGTTCGTTCAGATTACGTTCCTTGCTTTCATCTTCCGGCTTGGCTTCCTCAACCAAACCCGACAAGGCTTGAACCTCCGAGACCCAAGATCTCTCTTTCTCACTCAGCGGCCGACCGCCGGATCTCAAGACCTTGCTCCGCAGAGCCTCGTATCTTCCAACGAGCTGGTCTTGTCTATCCTTGGCGGCCCGGAGCCTTTTATCAAGAGCTTCGCCACTCTTGGTGCCTTCTTTGCGCTGGCCGTCTTCGCCAATCTCACTAGACACGCCCTTGATGCGTTCAGATACATCGCAGAGCTGCTTTAATTGATCTTGCATCTCCCCTTGCAGTCGCTCGCAGCGACGGAACAGATCCGATGCCGCTCGTTCGAGGGAATTCGTGTGAGCGGACAGAATCCGGTGAGCGGCAGCAACCAAATCGAGCGTGGCCGGTGACAGGCGCACTTGCTCCTTAAGCGAGTGTCGTTGACGATGCGGGACGTGCTTGTCAATGAACGAGTCCAGAGGCGCATCGGAGTACAGAACAGCAGGGACCTGGTATGGCGGTCGTCGAGGAGGCAAGATGGGCGATCCAGGAGCTTGGACGCCCGAGTTGAAGGGGCGCAGGTCCGCCACTGATGGGAAGGAGATCTCAGGAGAATCTAGCATAGCAGCATACGGGTGAGATGCATGGTTTGTGAGCAAGAGATATCCGAGATCGTAGTCGTAGTAGACCAGGGCAGACGCAAGATGTTCCGGCTGGCCCTTGACAACAGCCTCATCCCCATCAATCTGAAGGATGCGATTCCTAGTAGAGATGGATCCCTCACAAAGGATTTGAAGGCGGAAACCGGAGCCAGCAGTGTCCTCAGACTGCAGCTCTGCTTCAAGTCGTTGGGCCCAGGATGCGAGAGAAATGAACTGGACATCGCTTGGAGTTGTCACAAAGAAATTGTATCTGGACTGGACATCTTTGGTAAAGGTGGGCCAGTTCGGCAACTGGGATCCCTCCCGGACAGTGTCCAGAGATTCTACCAGGACCAGGTCAGAGGGCTCGGAAAAAGGAGTACTGAAGGCGTTCTTCTTGGCCTTTGGAAGCCACTGTCCTTCAACACCGTCCAATTCCAGACAAACGTGAATTCGCCCACTTGCCGTCGACAGACAGATGACAGTGGCCGATAGTTTGTCTTCAGTACTATCCTCCACTGCCAGTTCCTCATCCTCTCCCTTCATGAGATCCTCCGTATCGATTTTGGAGGCAACAACGAGAAGATCACAAAGGTCCAAATCATCGAGCTCATCACCTGTGTCGATACGGAACGGTCCCTGCAACCTCGGAATGGCGCTGGGATTGGCAGGGCGTGCGAAAATCTCAGATTCAGCAATGTTTTCCGGGTCGGACATGATGGGCAAAGGTTCTTGATTATCAATTTCTGTCAACCAGTCGTACTGCTGTCGACAGGCCGTCAACTGCTCCTCGAATTCCACCGGGTCATCCTCCAAGGCGGCCAATTTCGGGACGATTGAAGATGAAAGCGAAGGAATCGTGGTCGACGGTGCCCGCCATCTTGAGGGGAGTAAAGGGCAAAGAGCATATAGATCACCCGGCTTCATGGCAACCCACAAGGTCATTGGTGCCCAGGCGTCTTCCCTTTCGCTTCCAGTACCACCGAAGCAAGCAGATGCGACTTCCATATCCACATCATCGGCAGAGAATCCTTTACTCTTCCCAAACCCAGAGGGCGTGAAATCTTGGTCAGACGATGTCCCATCCACCAGCTTCCGCAAATCGATAGCCAACGTAGGGCGGTCGAACGACCAGTGGTTGTTCCGATCCAGTTCCCAGACCCGAACCGCTGCGTCCGCGGTCACAGTCACGATGCAGCTTCCTAAGTTGCTGTGTAGGCCAAGCGGATGCCATAGTGCAGAGACCACCGGGGATTCTGGGATAACGTGTGTCGTAGGACCGAGTTGGTAAGTCTTTACGCGAATGGGGGAGTCATCGGTGCCGGACAAATGCGACGAATCGGGGAGGACGGAGATATGAACGGTGTGATCGGTCACAATCGCTAGGAAGGCACCGTTTGGAGAGGGAATCAGTTGTCGGATTTGCGCATAGACAGGCACAGTCAAGACCTAGTTATGCCCATCGGCAGTCAGTATACAAGCATGTTATTGCTCCATAGATTCTCTTCGTACCCTGTAATGCACACTGGAAGTGCTATCCTGAGATCCTGCAGCAAGCCCTTTCTTCGCCTTCGAATGCTGCTGCTGCCATTCATCTTTCAACCTGGTGAGGCTCGACCAGCGGATCTGATTGTCCACCACCGTAAACACTTCATTTCCTCTCTTCGCAAGTGTCCTAGTAGGGCCGTTATAGTCGGCTTTGCCCTGAATGCCCAAAGCAGTGCCCTTCGCAGATGTACTGGAGAAGAGACTAGCACCTGGGGAAGGGCGAGATAGCCAGGGAGGAGTATAACTGACGACGTTCGGCATGATGACGGCGCCCAATGAAGGAAGGTTGAAAGCAAGAGATATACAGAGAGGGAAGAAGAACTTCTCAGTCTATTCCCATCCTATTCCGTCACCGAGGAATAGTCAAATAAATAAACCAGCAAAAAAAGCGTCACTGGCAGGAATGCGAAGCAACGGAGGTCGGAGCTTGAGGAAAATTGGAGGATGCGCGCGCCAAGAGCCTCAATTTCCTCTTTAAGCTCCGGAGCTCCCTTTCACCTCCACCGCAGAGCTCAACAACAACAACCAACATTGAGCACATTGTCTGAAAATGAGCATACTAACGCGCAACACAGTGGACCGGCTTGACCGGCCTAGTGCCTACTATATCTCAAAGGTACGGCATCCTTCTCTTCCAAACTGTCGTCAGACCACGGTTGACTCGGAATCGATACAGAACAAGAAGCGCAAGTTTCAGGATGAACCCGAACCGCAAGAAGAGGCCCCCGATCCGTTAGCGAATGCGACCACTCTTTATGTGGGAAACCTGTATGGTTACAACTCAGGCTGTATGGCGATGGTTCTCTAACCGATGGTTCCAGTTCCTTTTACACGACAGAGGAGCAGATCCACGAACTTTTCTCGAAGTCAGTGCTCTTCAGTCATTCTCTATGCTACAACTATTCGATCAGTTCTAATGCGAAAGAAATGATGCAGGTGCGGTGAGGTCAAGCGTCTCGTTATGGGACTCGATCGGTTCAACAAAACACCATGTGGCTTCTGCTTCGTCGAATACTACACGCACCAGGACGCCCTTGACTGCTTAAAATATGTCGGTGGCACGAAACTCGATGAGCGAATTATCCGGACGGATTTGGATCCTGGTTTCGAGGAAGGACGACAGTATGGGTATGTTGAATGGCACTTCTCTGGACTGGCATATGGAATAAGAGGGTCTTTTGTGCTGACAAACATAGTCGCGGCAAGTCTGGTGGCCAGGTTCGGGATGAATATCGTGAAGAATTTGATCCTGGTCGTGGTGGTTACGGTCGAGCCTACGCTGACGACCAGCGCAGACGGGAGGAGGAAGAATATGGAAAGGGTAAGTAATCTTGGCTTGGAATTGGATCTATTGGCGCATATACGGAGTTTGTATAAGGGCAATTTCTATTATCGAAAGACAAATGAAAGAAAGACAAACAAGAAAATGTCCATTGAATACCCCAGGCCATGCGAATACTGTACAGATGGATGAATTTCACATATGACCCCAGAAACTCTATGCTTTGTTCTTCATGGACTCCTCTACTTGGCGCAACCACCACGCATGTATCCTTGCGTCGTCGGTCAATTCGGGGTGGAAGCTCGTTCCAAAAACGTTACCCTGTCGGACTGCAACAATATCTCCGGTGTCCTTGTCCGCATTGACTTCTTTGCCTTCGTTGGCCAGTCTGGCAGCCCTTCCAGGAAGGCTCGCCAATACTTCCACCTCGCGTGCTATTGTCTCAGCCGCCGCCGGTTTCGACGGCGCCACAACGGTCTCTTCCCCAGTTTGAGCATCCTCCTGGTTGTACATGATCTTCTCGACGACCGGTGCGCGGATAAAAACAGCAGGGAATGAAGCCTGCTCCGACTCCAGGAATGGCAGATCCAGTGGCGCTTGAAAGCTCTCCGTTTGGCGGCCGAAGTGGTTCCTGTTCACCCGGACATCCAGGCCACCGATGAGTTCCTGACCTCCTTTCTTCGTTCGGTTCGCAGACTCGGAGAGTAAAATCAGGCCGGCGCAGGTACCCCATGTAAGCTTGCGATGGACCCTAACAAAGGCAATGGTCAATATAATGTCCACCAAAGGGAATCCGACAAGGCAAGTCAAAGGGGAGGAGCGCATACTTGACAAATTCCCTCAGCGGCTCCAGTATGTTAGACCGCTCCGCGACAAGCGACATCGTCGTGCTCTCGCCTCCGGGCAAGATGAGCGCATCGCATCTCTCTAACTCTTGCGGGGTCCGCACCTCGATGAATTCCCATTGCGAGCCCGAGGAGAACCCAGCAGCAGCCTTTTTCAGCAAGTAAACATGTTCGACAAATGCGCCTTGCAAAGCAAGAACCCCAACGATGATTCCGGTCATGGTATACCTTCTCTGAGTCAATTCAGGTGGTTTAGCCACTCCGCGCCGTCGTTTATATAGCGGCGGAGAAATGTCGGGCCGATATTATCGGCACGTGTTGCCCCTCACTGATAAGAGATCGCTGTACAACAAAACAATCGCTGTCAGCAACTGCTTCTCTTGATGACATGCGTTACGGGTTACGGCCATTCCTGTGTACATAGGCTGATATCTGGAGCTCATACGGTTCTTATAACCAAGCGCAATATGCAATAGTGATAATTGACTATTTCCGTGGACATACAAAACCTTTCGCATCAGCACCATCCATCGCATCTGACATCTCTCTACGAGCACGACGATGACACTCAAACAACAAAATGACAGACCATGCCTCGTCCGGTGGTACATCGATACTCGACCATTGACATCAAGTACCTCTACCCTCCCACTCCTCCAAACCCTCCAACCACTGGACCAAGAAACAGTCAAGAAATACTACCAACTACCGGACAGACACATGTCCCTGGCATCCTATCTACTCAAATACCTCTTCATTCATCAAATCTGTCGCATTCCATGGCAGGAAATCCACATAAGCCGGACACCAGCACCGCATCGTCGGCCCTGTTTCGTCCCTACTAAATCCTCCCACCAGGCCATTCCCAATGTCGAATTCAATGTTAGTCACCAGGCGTCTCTTGTCGCGCTTGCGGGGACTATCTATTCGCCATCGGATTCGTCGCCTGATGCGGTGTTCACACAGCCCGTTCCATCTGGAGCTCCTTTACCGTCCGTACCACAAGTCGGAATCGACATCACTTGCGCAGATGAAAAGCGTGGGAGCAGAGCGTCCAACCCTCCCACAACACATGAAGCACTGGCTGAATTCGTTGACATTTTTGCCGAGGTCTTCTCCGCACGCGAACTGAAGACGATGAAGAATGCGCGCGGACCAACATTACCACCTGGGCTGCAAAGGAACGCCGCAGAGGTCCAGTACGGACTATGGATGTTCTATGCATACTGGGCTCTGAAAGAAGCATATATAAAGATGACAGGAGAGGCACTCCTGGCTCCCTGGCTCAGGGAGTTGGAGTTCACAGATGTTATTGTTCCGGAGGCGTCCGATGTGACGGGGCAATGGAGTCGGCCGTACACAGGGGTTAGGACATGGCTGCATGGGAAGCTGGTGGAGGATGTGCGGGTTGAGATTGTGGCGTTTGGGAGGGAGTATCTCATTGCGACGGCTGTCAGAGGCGCGGGGATTGGAGCTGGGAGTCGTGCGTTGGACGGTGTGGAAAGTATTGATCCGTGGGAGTCGTTGGAGAAGGTTGACATTGACAAGGATATCACTGCATGTGCGACAGGGTTGTGTCATTGTTTAAAGCAATAGGGTGGTTTTCTACGGCACTATTTCTGCTATGTACAAGAATATTCGGCATTCTCATATATTTTCAACCTTGGACCTCTCAGAGACCAATCCTCGCCCTTTCATTACATTCTCCCCGTATGATAAAGCAGACTCTGCTTTCCCTCGTCCGAATCGCTGCTATTACTGCGATCCATACTCACCAGGAAATTCCAACTCCAGGCCCACACGCGGTTTACTTATGATAAAGGATTTAAAAAAAAAAAAAAAAAATGTCAATATTATCCTCATTCTTCGTCGTAAAATCAAAAAACTTCGTCATCTGCACATGGAGCTTCCCGGACTCGCCGTAGTGCGCCTGAATGATACGTCCATGCTGGGGAGCCGAAGGACGATAGGGTTATCAGATATCAGATCGTACCTGTCGATCAGTACCAAAGTACCATTATGGCATCATATCAATGAGCCCTATTTAGGACGGGGCTCAGAATGAGACATCTTAATAAGCTCTGAACTAGCAAGGCTGGCAAATGTGCATAGAATAGTAAAGCCGGGGAGTCATTTAACAATGATACATAGGCTATGCAATGGAACACGAGTCTCTCAAATCAAACAGAAATGCCATTTCATCCCTCAGTCTCAAGAAAACTATGAATAAACAAAAGGTATCATGCTAAGTGACAGCAGCCGGTGTAAAACAAGAAAAAGATACATTTTCCAACTCTCCAACTCCCTTGTCTTTTATTTTCTGCTCCCCGAGGGTTTTCTTCATTTTCTATGCCATGCGAATGCTCCTGGCGGATTCTCATTTCGGTCTCATTTCGGGCATATGCTCAGTTGATCGTCGTAAATACGGGTGGAATATTTGAGGCGTCTCTCGTCCGTTCCGCGGGGATCACGGATAGTCCCTGCAACGGTTGACAGACGAGGATAGCCACTTGTGATGTGATAATTATATTTCAACAGCGGTGGACTTGCCGTTGACACGGGAGGCCTCAGCCCTCTCTCCCTCCTTCTCGGACATACCGAGGAGGGTCTTGAGCATCGACTCTTGGGTCGACTTGGTCAATTGATCGACATCTGCGGAAGTCAAACCAGCAGTGCTAATCGGAGGCAGGACTAGACATTGTCAGCATATTCACACCAAGAACAGAAGAAAGTAAACTTACCCTTAACCTTAATATCGCCAGAATTGAACCGCAAATTCTTAGGTGACAAAACATGCGAGTAATTCTCCGCAACAACAGGAACAATCGGCACACCAGCCTTAACCGCAAGATGGAACGCGCCCTTCTTAAACGGCAACAACTCCGGCTTGTCCGAATAACTCCTCGTCCCCTCAGGGAAGATAAAAACGCTCTGGCGGTGATCCCGCATCTCCTCCGCCGCACTATCAAACGCCTTAAGAGCCGTCTCCTTATTCGCCCGGTCAATGAACACAGTCCGCGACAACGCCATAAACCACCCCAAGATCGGAATCTTAGCCAGCGACTTCTTGGCAGTGACGCTGCAGTATGGCGGGAACATGGCGCCCAGCAGGAGCACGTCGAGTTCGGACTGGTGGTTTCCGATGAATACAGCTGGTCGGGTGGAGAGGTGCTCGGCGCCTTCAATAATGTCGAATCGCACGCCGGTCGTTAACCGCATCACCCATTTGAAGCTGCGTGCTGTGGCCCATTGGGAGACGCGGCCGTAGCCTACCAGTCGCAGGACTATTGAGGCGACTACGCCATAGCATGCGCACAGTAGGAGCGAGCCGTAAGCTGCCAGGCACCGGGCGACGAATGCGGCCCGGGGGACTTTAGTGCCCAGAGCGAAGAGGGATGCCGTCAGGACGACGAACGAGCTGATCCCCGAGGCGATATAGGAAAGAACGGACATGGTCCGGTTTGGCGAGGATTTTCTTTCGGTGTCCGGTTCTCGGATGCGGAGGTGTTGAGGCTATACTAAGTGGATTTCAATGTCAACCAATCCAACCCGATACTATTGGCGGGAATAGATCCTTACTACCGAAGAGTAATGGAGAGGTCAGTGACGTTTATACTGACAGCCAGACCGAGAAGCGGGACGAATTCTGTAATTTATGAATTATAATAATAGAAAATGCCATAAGAAGAGAAGGAACAGTAAGGATAGCACAATGAGGGACAGAATTGAAGTCGACGAAGATCGTCATTGTCGCTCTTTTCGGCGGGCCGTTTTGTTGGGCCGATTCACCGCTTTCCATTTACGGCTACTACAGAACAACAGAGCATAGGGTACTGACTTGATATACTCGTATAGTATCTAATAACAATATGCATAATGATAGTAAGAATTACTTATTCAGGGCCGGGCACAACAGGCTCTATGCCCATCAGCCCGTCGCCCACAAGTTCTTCGTCTCTCATGCAGCAGCTCATCTCGTTAAGCCACAAGCGACAGAGCATGAATCAATGCTAATATACAAGAAAAACAAGGACTTCAAAACAGTTCCGAAGAAGAAGCCTGATGCAGGTAGAATGCTCTCTTTACCCAACCAGCCTGGTAAACGCCCGTTTAATGCTGATGATAGCGCCAAAACAAATTGGTATTCACAAAACGCCAAACCGACACTCGTCAACAAATCAAAGTGAGGACCCGAAATCAGATAGAAAGAAAGGTAGGAAGCAAGTAGCACGCTAGAGAGTAGATAAAAAGATCAACTCATGTCCTCGTCGTCTTCGTCCTCTAGCGATTCCATGGCGTCCTTGATGTATTGTGCGGCCTGAAGTTTAGAAGTTAGCACCAAACCGGAATGTATCATCTTGGGTGTGATCTTACCTTAGGATCCAGGTTCAAAGCAGTAGTAAAGTGCTTGATCGCATGTGCCTTATCATGCAGCATCTTGTAAAGTTTGCCCAGGAGGTAGTGCACATTGGCCTCATCCGGCGCCATGTCCTTGAGGATCTTCAACTCTGCCAGGGCATGCTTGAGATCCTGGAGTTTCATCAATACGCGAGCTTTGCGGAATCGAGCAAGCACAGAGTGTGGTGCTAATGTGCAGGCACGGTTGTACTGGAGCACTGCCCCTCTGGGGTTGTTCATCTTCTCCTGAACAAGACCAATACAGCAAATAAGCACCGCATTCGTGGGGTTGATGCTAGCGGCATTGCGGAAATGTTGTTCTGCAAATTCGAGTTTACCCATCTTGTCATACACAGTACCCAGGCCGTACCAAGCGTTGTAGTGCCGGCTATCAGCGCTGATTCCATGCCGGTACGCATCCAGTGCATTGTCGTATTCCTCATTGGCAACAAACTCGTGACCCTGTAGAGTAAAGGCATAGGCAAACATGGGATCTAATTGCGTTGCTCGTTTGAAACACTTGATAGCCTGATCGTGATCACGCTGATGGGAGAAGGAATTGCCAACTGCACACCATGCTTGAGGAGAGAGGCGATCAACTTCCATCAGTTCGTGAGCCAAGTAAGCTAGTTCGACATCATTTTTCAGATGCCAGAGAACAGTCGAGTAAATTTCCATATCCTCCAACCGTGATGGGGCCATGGATTTCACGCGGAAAAAGTACTTTTCAGCCTCGGAATACATCGCCTGCTCATAGTAGGCCCGTCCTAATTGAGAGAGAACCCATGGTGTCTCGCGTTGAGCTTGCGTAAGAGAATTAAGGATCTGAATGGAATCTGGACAGTGATAGCGATTCAGCGCGAAGTAACCAGTAGCCAACTTGGAGAAGAGTTCCAACAGCCACCCCAGGGCCTCAATTTCTTTCGACTTTTCGGTAGCGGGATTCTTGGGAGGAGCTTGTTGATTCAAGGGTTGTGACACAGCTCGAGTATCCCTGGTGTCGCCCTCATGGCTGTCATTCATAGCCCTTCGGCTGCCGCTTACAACGCGGGTCGGGTTGGTTATAGTACGCCCCTTCGTCCCAGTAGCTTTAACCCTTTTGAGATCTCTGCTATCCTTCATGCCCAGGCTTGTACTGGACAGCTTGCTAGTAGTTGGCTTAATTTGGTTGAATAATCGAACACTGCGCCGTTGGGGTGCCCCTGGCTCTGTCGGTTGTGAAACGGAAGGGTGGGCTACCTGGCCAGACACTGTTCGCTTGCGATCACCGATCCTAGATGCAGCCACTGATTCTTTGTCGGTCTGACTCGCAGTAGAGTCCTCTTGCTCAGGTCTCGTCCTGGTCCTGGGCCGGATTCCTGTTGGTCTCATCTTAGGCGGTGGGTCCATCCCATGATCTGTTCCCGAGGTATGTACTGTCCTGTTCTTCCTTGCAGGTGCTAATGGGGGCTCCATCGAAGACTCTGGTGCGGCCGGTACACGGACATCGTCAGATTCACTGCCCTGAGTTCCGGGTGTTTCTATCCCTTCATACACGGGAGTTGCCTGCGCCCCATTGAACTTCTCCCATAAGGCCGAGATACCATAGGGAGGGCCCATATCATTGCGAGGAGTGGAGGTGGTCAAGGGATCAAGGTTGGAATTCGCATTTGATTGTGATTGGAGTGGGCCAGAGGGTATCCTATCTGTAGGGGGGTCTGCGTCTTCTTGTTGAACTGATGATACCATGGCAATCAACTCAGGTGTCAGCCGGTAGATGTTGGGAACGCGTATGTTAACACCTTGCGGTAAGTTAGCAAACTGTGGCAGGATGGTAGATTGCGAACACTCAGCGCCTTACCTGTTTCGCACAGGCCCAGGAACGCATCCCACATGAAGGGGTTTAGTTTGAGCGACTCCGTATAGCAATCGACAGCTCTGTTCAGGTCTTTGTGGGCGTGCCACAACTTTCCTAACAAGCAGAGTATGGCTGCCGCATCGGGTAGGTGTTGTCTCCGCGTTTCACTGTGTTTATCTGGAAGACGTCAGACCAGATCTAAAGCAATATCATATTCCATCAAAGGACCACAATGCTTACTCCAGTTATTCCTGGAATCCCATAACCCTTTGCTTCGTTCCAGAGCCGTAACACCATCCAGATACTTCCCCAGATCTAAACATGCCTGGGCATGCACATATGAACAACCGATATGCGTTCCTCTCGACCCAACGTTCCGGCTGTAGTCACATGCTGCCTTGACTTGGCCGTTGTGTAGATGACAGAGGGCGAGAAGGTATACGGATTCTGAAGAGCGGGGTTCGTATGCGTGTAAACGACCGGCAAGGAACAGCGCGTTATGAACGAGGTTGTTATCGAGTTGGTAGTAAATAAGTTGCCTCAATTGGCTTGCTGTATGGGATGTTGACGGTGACATGGTAGGCGGGATAACGTCGGGGGGTAAGGGCTAGGAATAGGTAAACGGAGAATAAAGGATCGACGACGCGGTTCGCAGCGAAGGGAAGGTCGACGAAATCGCGGTACTCAGAATGAGTCGTTATAACACGGTATAGACATGGGATAAAATATCGATTTCGGGGAGGTTTGTGTCCATGCGATGGAGAGTAAGGAAGCAACGATGCAATTTTGGTGTGTACCGCGTAGAAAAGGGAACCACACCAGCGCGCAAGACAAAGACGTCGCAATTCTGTTTCTGATGGTATTCCTCCTGTTTCAAGCCCTTTAGGTCCAGACCCAAAAAAGCAATATGTCGCGGGTGAATCCAATCCAAGGTCGCGTCGTTGACGGTTTGGATGAATGACGTCTGGGGCGACGGAAGCACGAGACACGCCCTTTTGAGGCTCAAGTAGGCGGTTAGCAGAAACAAGCACGCATATCGAGACGGACACTGGGATTTTTGTTTATTCGTTCCGAAAGTCCTCCTCTTTCCCTTTTCGTAAACACGGACGAACACTGGAGAACACGAGGCGGGGGGGCACTGCAGAAGGCGACGTCGTGCGATGAGGATAAAATCGAGGGTGCAAGTGTTTGTGAGGCGCAAGCGTGGCTAGTGGTGGCGCAGGCAGTGCGGCGTTGTGGTGGGCAACCATCTACAGTGGTATGTACATACATATGTACTGTCACCAACACGTGGTTTCTTAGATCTAAAGATTGCTGTACTCGGCACGATTGGTTTAATTGTGAAATGGAGACTCCGTTGAAGACGTTCTTTACGGAGCTTTTCCACTGTCAACGGGTTTTTCTCCCAGTCTTTCGTCAGCAAACAGCTGCTGGCAGGATCTGAAGGATGTGACATTCCATGACCTGCAAAGTGGATTATTTGACAGCTCGAAAGATCTCTCAAAACATCGTCTGTCTGTTCAATCCCCTCTGCTGCCACCAGATCTGTTCCCTGCAAAAAGGGCTTGATAACGGTGACTTCCTCAGTAGCAAATGGCAATGACGTTTGATGAGGCGTTTCAATCATCGCAATGAGGAATGCGTGCTGTGGTTCCTTCACACTGGAGGCATTTTGCATGATTTGTCGACGATTGTGAACAAGTGAATTGACCGACGTTGTGTACGACGATATCACCCGGTCGACGACTGTTTCATAGGTCCCTCTACCCTGGATTCCCGCAGCATGAATGGGCAGGTGTGTCATTCCACCAGTTGGGATCCACCAAATATGGGGTCAATCATCTCCTTCGGGGGTCCCCATTATTCCCAATTCGTCCAGAACTGGTCTTGCGGCGGCCCTCCACATCCATTCAAGAAGCAGCACAAGAAATTCAGTGGAATACACTCTATAGGAACTTGAAGCTAGCAGAGAGCTAGACCTTTCTTCGACTTCCCGGTATTTTAGCCGTTCCAGAGGTATGGTTCTTTTCAAATCACGCTGCTTGATATATTGTCATTCCCCCGAGAGGTGGTTTTCACGATGGGGAAGACACAATCGAGTTCGCGATGGTTGTTCCATCGTGGGCTAGAGAAAAAGGCCTACAGAAGTGTGAGGACTTTATGAAAGTCTTCATCCCAGACCAGCCAACCTCATTTGCTCCGCTCTTACTACCGGGCATTACTTCGACTGCTAGTCAACCTCACAGTTACAATCGTGGACACGATCAGGCCCTGTCTCATCTACTTTCCCAATTGGGACGCTCTTTTCGATCCATGAGAGGTGATGGCGAGGCAAACTGGACAACAAGGAATTTCACTATAGTCACTGAATATAACACAGCAGACGAATAAAGCCATAGCTATAATTCATCCACTGGCTGGTCTCAACTGGTCCTCCGTGACAGTTATCTTGTCCCCAATAGATTTCCCGTTTTCAGAGGAAAGCGTATATTTCTTCGGAAAAGGCACCGATTCGATCAGATAGGGACCCTCATAGGCCTCTGTTCCTCCACGACGGACTTTCAAGAATACTTTGTCATACACGGTATACTGGCTTTGCTGCAAGCTTGGTCAGATTTCCTAGCGGAGACACGTACCTCAGGGTAAGACTTGACAACTGCACGGCCATCATCATTGCAGAAGGAAAACTGAGGGCTGTCTCTAGATTTTAGAATTATAGAATTAGTATCGTTGTTAGACCTCGAATCTAGTTACCCTATTCGTACTCATCTGACGAGTCCATCTCGGGTAGGTCTGGCTGTGTTTGTCTTGTAGGGTTGATAGTGAGGCTCATTTGACAAATTTCCCTCCGATGGACGAGGATGACACCGATTTAAAGACTACCTCATCTCAACACGTCAATGATTGGCGGGGTAAAGCGTAAACCAGCCTTGCGCCCATTACCTGCGTCGCAATGAAGTCGTTGCTGACAACACAATCTCAACATACTTGTATATAACTTGAATTGAGTGCCTCCTTAGTAGCTACTTGTGAAATATCATATCACAGGACTATGGGCACTCTAAAGAACCTCTTCGTCACAAAAGCCAACACATCCACCAGCGATATAGAAAGCCAAACACATTTAGTACAGCCCAAGAGTACGAACCATTCTCTCATCATCCTGAGGTGCCCGACTCAGTAATCTCACTAATTGCTTTTTGCAGTTGAATCATTTCCATCAGGCTACCCGCGCTTCTCAGCTCTCCTTGGAGCGGACCCCTCCTTCCAAATCTATCGTCGATTCTCATATCTCCGCTCGCGAATCATACTCCTAAAACAAGATAGGTTATCCGTCCTGGAAGAAAGGCTAGAAGCCCTTGATCGAGAGGAAGAGTCGCCCATCTTTCTTGGGAGTAGTCGTCGCGACCGAAATACTGAGCGTCAGGCTGCTCTTTCGGAAATAAAGGCTGCATTGTCTGGCTATGGTGTGTTTGATATATCCACGGTTTCTATAATCCTTGATTGACCTTGGGCAAATGATACAGACGATACAATAAAGAAAACATCCGAAATTCACCATTTCGATGCAGCAAAGCCCCGCCATGTCAATAGTATTCGAAACTGGATTGCTGGAAACGCCTTTATAGCCAGGCTCGAAACCAAGTTTCTAGATCACGACGATGATCTGCTTACTATTTCGCCACCAGAAGATGGAACACTGTCATCTTTGGAAAATTGGGTAGAAGATGCTTTGATATATTTGAATAGTGACTACTATAAGGTAATAAGAACCCTTTGCCACGGAAAAACAATACTCAACGATTGAGACTTACTTTGATCTATAGAATCGATATACCAGCAAATCGAGTGATCCAAACGTATACATCCCTTCAGCATCGGTGCAGACTCACCTCGCACGAGCAATCTTGGGCCTTTTTGTCATAATACTCATTATTGTTCCTGTTCTTGTATGCAATTCCCTCTCGAGTATAACGTCGAGGGTCATTGTTATTGGTGTGGCAACGAGTGTTTTTATTGCTATAATGTCGGGGATTTTGAGGGCTATACATCCATCCTGGTATCGGCTAGCCCCGGATAGGTAGCCGGCAGTATTCCCAAAGGGAAAGGCGGTAAGTCCCGATATCACAGACGTGGTTTCTTAGATCTAAGAATCCAGTTGCACTTATCGGCCCGATTGGTTTAATTGTGTTATTGGTGTCTCCTGTCAATCCTATACTGGAGCTCGTCTGGAGCTGCATTCGAAAAAAAAACATAGACACGTGACAACCGGACGATTAACTCTCCCCGAAAGAGTAACCCAAGATGGCTCAGGTACGTACATTCAGCATTCCTCACAAGCTTCTCTTCACTAGATTTCAGTCACTAACAACCCTCCAGAAAGCCGCCAAATCCCTCGCTGCCCGAAACGCCTCTACCCTAACCCGAACCCACCTCATCGCCCTCGCCCTCCACACCATCTACCTCGTCCTCCATTTCACCTTCAACCGCCCACGCTCCCTGAAACCCTACTTCCTCCTCGCAGGCCCGACACTCGTCATCGAATTCTACTTAGAACGCCTTGGTCGACCGCGCTACACCGACGATGGTAACATGCGTACTCCCGGGGAGGATCTGGGCGCCACGGGCCTGACGGAGTACATGTGGGATGTTGTCTACTGGACCTGGGGGTGTATGGCTTCCGTGTGTTTATTTAATGACCGCGCGTGGTGGTTGTGGATTGTCGTGCCTTTGTATTCGGTGTGGTTGGCGTATACTACGTTCACGGGGATGAAGAGCGGGTTTGCTGGGATGGGTGGTGGTGGATCGGAGGAACCGGCAGTAGCCGGTGGGGAGAGTAAGAGGCAGAAGAAGTTGGAGAAGAGGGGTGGACAGAAAATGCAGTATCGGTGAACTTGGTGAAAGTGCTGCGGTGCGCCAGATTTGTGGATTCATAATGCTGAAATAGGCTTAATGGAGTTACAGCTATGTTGTATTCGATGCATTCGTGCTCTGGGTAATAGAATATGATCTTTGTAGGATGTAAATATTCCTTAACATGATACACGGTTCACAAACTAGAAACACGATAAAGGATCAAGATTCAAAGTACACAGGGCATTCAGTCATATCAAACTATATGGGGAATAATGCTTGGAAAACGAGCATAAGCCTCCGAATTATAGCATTCTGGGAACAAGGTCATGAAAAGTTCAGATGAAAGCGATTTGCAAGGCACGTGCATTAGAATCAAATAGAAAAGCAAAGGTAAAGAAGGATAATGAAAGTTTCGGGGAGGGGGGATTTTTTTATAGTTCATCCTTAACGGACGGGGAACTCTTCACGCTCTCGGTAAAGGCTTCCGCTTGGGATGCGGCAGTCTCAACTGCTTCGGAGCCCAAGCTGCTAGCACTGGAAGCAAGGCCCACAAGCTGAGCCCGGGCGCTTTCAACAGCGATCCCAAGCTTATTGGTGGCGCTTTCAAGGGCCTCTTGCTGCGCCTCGGCAGCAGATGTGACAGAATCATATGCAGCTTCGACAGGCGAACTGGGTGTTGGGGAAGCGTAGACGGCGTTGCTGATGGCTGAACCGGCAGAAATATATGCCTCGTTAATTGCGCCGCGGGCGACATCAAAGTAGCCCGGCTCTTGGCCATAAACCATACCGCTAACCTGGTTTGATGCGGATGCATACGCGCTGCCAGCTGCGGAGGTGGCTTGCTCCACGGTACCCTTGGGAGTTCCGTAAATTTGAACACTGGCAGCCTCAACTGCATTGTCAAATTGCCTATTGGCGGTTCCCAGAATATCTTCAACCGAAGGAAGGTTCGTAGCGGCTGACTCGTAGGCATCGCTGGCATAGCTGGATGCTGACGACAACGCGAAAGCTGAGTATGGCGTCTCATAGATAGAGTGCAATCTGTCAATAACTTTGTCCGTGAAGTCCGGCTCCTTGCCAACAAGTAGTTCAGAGACTAACTCCTCCACAGCTTGGTACTTAGGAGTGATGTGCTCCAGCACTTGCTGCGTATAAGGCGCTTCAGTGCCATAGACCTGCTCGCTGGCTTTCGACACAAGACCCTCCCAATTCTCTGATGCTTTACTAGCCAGTGCCTCAACTTCGCCGGTTGGTGTTCCGTATATGGCGGAACTGCCCGAAGCCGAAGCGAAGGATAGGGAAGCCGAGGCAGCAGAGATTGCCGCGTTATACCGCGAAGATGCATCGTCGATTATATCTTGTGCTTTACCTGAATCTGTGGGGCTGACGGCAGAGCTAGCGGAAGATACCACGGCAGCCAGGCTTGCAGAGGCCAAGGAGGATGCTTGGCTGTAGCCGGATCTCGCGTCCTCAATGAGCCCGTGGAAAGTTCCAGGAGTTGACGTAGGTGCCGGAGAGCCATAAACTGCGTCGGAAGCCGTGGAGACAAAGGCAGAATAATGATCGTGTGCGAGTCCAACGGCTTCATAGTAACGGCGCTGTGCGTCAAGGATAATCGGATTTTGACCTGGAGTATCCTTTGGAGGCACTTTCGCCTGAACTTGTGCCAGCTGTTCGGAAGCCTTACTCAATCCTTCGCTCAACCTGGACGAGCCCACGGAAGAGATGTAATCAAGAGGGTGGTCGGTGAACCGTTCCTGGCTATCATCGTCAGGGATGTCATGCTGCATGGGCGATCGCTCCGGGACTTCAGCTGCAGCTACCCCCCAGCCTGAGTTTGATCGAGCCGGGTTCGATTCCGTGTGCAGAGACTCATCCTGGTCAGCTGGCAATTCATCATCAACATAGGAGTCTTGGCCCATTGCTAAAATCTGCTCATCATCCCCAAGTTCGTACTCGCCAGCGTCTACATTGACGCTCTCAGGGGATGGAGCGGGGTCTGTAGCATCGTGAGTTTCTTGAGATTCCGAAGAAGCGTCAGAGCCTTCCTCGTCCGCAGGCGAGTCAGATGTCTCCCCAGGCTTGGGTAGAGTAGGCGGGGACACAGACCGGGTGTCAAAGTTGCCACTCGACTCTCGAGCTGCAATTTTCCATTTTCCAACATCCTTGAGACGGGCTAGTTCTTTCGCAGTAGTTTCAGCAATCTCCATTCCGTGATTCAACAGTCCGTTCGCCATGTTTGTGGCTTCCTCGAGCTTTGGATGTTCCAATGCAACTCGGCTAACGTCGCTCCTCCAGTCATCGAACTGCGCTTTGAGAGAACGGTATTTGGCCCAATCTTTGTAGGTAACACCGTCCATCCACGCCCATCGCATCCCGATTTCCTGCAAGCCCAAGTCACGGACATTGTCTAGGATATCTAGTGTGGAATTGATTGCAATCGAAACATGGAACACCAGTTCTTCGTCAAATGAACGGTGCCACTCTCTTATGGCCTGAGCACGCTCACGGATGTCAATTGCGGCACGTCTGATCTCTTTCAAAAGTTCATCATTCGCCTTATGTTCATCCTCGGGGAGGTGTTCATAGGGGAGCGACTCGGCTAGACTGTTGATACGTGACTTGACCGTAGCCAGTTCATCCGCAACAACCGTATCAAGGGCAACTGTAAGACTTTCGCCATGGCTCTTAGCCCCGCTTGCAATATGACTTCCGACTATGTCCTCCACGTGGTCCTTTAGTTCTTCAGCACCCCTTTCGGCCGCAACAGAGAACTTCTCCTGCCATACTTGAAGGTCCGATGCAACCTTCTCACGGGCTTGTGCGATCTGTTCCGTAGGAGACAACGGAGTCTGTGCTGGGGTTTCTGTGGTAGAAGTCGATGCGGCACTAGAAGTAACGCTCGTGTCTGCTGAAGCAGAGGTGGTGTAAGCTGCTTCCTCAGAGGTACTGATTACAGGTCAGCCAATTGCTCTTTCGCTCTCCCTGGTACCGGTACTTACATGTCGACATCGTCTACGGATGCTCGAAGTATTTTCCCCTCTCTATAGCTTGCCAATCTTTGACCAATTTTGACTAGCTGAGGCTCGACGTTCTCCCAGTAAAGGCCAGTGACCTTGGGCCACAACGCGCTGTTGACGAAGTAAACCACGGTCGACCACGAATTCTGAACGTGCGGTATCACAGTCGTCGTGAGAACCTCTTGCCCAGAAGCATAGGTTTTGCCAATAATCGGACGGGACTGCGTATAAAGCGGCGCGATGTAGTCCCCATACGCCGAGATGGCTACAGTGCTGGCTTTCTCGTAGTAGGGCGACGCAGCCAGCACGGCGCGTTGAACATACGGGTCTACCTCCGACTTGTAAGCTCCGCTGATACTGTCCTGGGCATACTGCAAGCGCGGAGCAACCTGCGCCTCCCAATGTTCTTGGCCGTAAGCCTGGGCTTGGTCCCATGCGGGGGCCCCATATTTATCATAGCCCTGCTGAGCGAATGTCGCAGCCGGGGAATAGACCTGATCATTGAACAATGTAACGTAGGGACGGCCATAATCCACGTAAGGTGCGGCGTAAAGATTGTAGTACAGAAGAACATGAGGTTCGATATGGGAGCGGACCACAAGATACGGCTTGCACACACGCGGCGACGATTCATTCAAGTCCGATAATTGGGACGGGCAACGGAAGAACGGTGTGAGCAATGCATACCAAATGAACAATCTGCAAAAAAGCCAAAAGAACAGTCAGTTGGGATTCCTCACATAATTTCCAAGTCTCCCTCCAACGACGCGGAACGTAAACATACCGCACCACGACCCCAAACAGCCATCGAAAACTCGACCTAGACTTTTTTCTGGGTTCATTGCGTCCATTTGTCTTATTCACGCCATCCGAGGCATGGCCGTTCTCCGACATGGCCATGGTTGGCTATGTCCTTGGAGACGAGACACCTATCGTGATCCTGAAAAATCGCGCTCTTGCACCTGGGGACGTCCAAATACAGGGACCGAGGGACTATCAAAAACCTTTAAAGGGTCATTGGAAAGCGATTAAGGAGGAATGAAGAGTTCACAGGCTGGATCCCAAGGTTATTATTTTCGGCCGCGATAACAGGAGCTGAACGGCAAGCTGCGTGTCTTGGCGTAAGGGCTTTTAAATGGCACCGAGTCGCGACGCGAGGACGGAGTCAGCTAGCTCAACAGGTCAAGCACAAACAATAAAAAGAACTGGGCAACGTAGTAAATATCAAGAAAGGCAAGAATCTCACTTTCCCTAATCTGATCGAGGCGTTGATTTTCAGCTCCGATCAGTGAGGTCATCGCCCAAGCGGTGGCGCAAGTACTGTGTTACCATTCATTACCGTCAGAGAAGCTTCTGCAGCGCCACTGATTGTGTAATTATGGTATTGTACTTACATACTCACGTGCTTGGACTTATCTGATGACTCAGCAGGATTGCGGCGAACGACTCCGTCCTCAGTTGCAACGACAACTTACAAGAAATTGTCAGCGTCAAAGACGTTTTCACAGGCCAGAAACATTGCCTGTCGCTAGGGACGTCTTTGACTTGCTCGGTTTCTGTTTTTTTTTTTGCATGGAGATTATTAACCTGCCGTGAGCTGCTGAGACATGAATCTCGTTTGAAGACTTTCGTCATTCTCGAATTATACTACAGCACGTTCCGCTTCGATTTTCGTACCACGATAATCCCATTCGAAATCTACGCTTGTACTCGTCCGATAATATGTTTAGCCGCTCTTAATGGAGCCAGGTCGGATTGTCGATAGCGACGTTACCAATATGGACTACCCGGAGAATGAGCCCCGCGGGTATGCGGGCTCTGGGTCCTTCCCAGATCTGATGAATGATCCTGCGTACGCTACGAATGTCAATGCCGACGGGAAAGAAAAGGGCTTCGAAGAACCGGATACATGTCGAATCTGCCGTGGGGAGGGCTTGGAAGATGACCAGTTGTTTTATCCCTGCAGGTGTAGCGGGAGTATCAAATTCGTTCATCAGTCTTGCTTGGTGGAATGGCTGTCTCACTCGCAGAAAAAGTACTGTGAACTGTGTAAAACGCCCTTCCGGTTCACTAAGCTCTATGATCCAAAAATGCCACAAGACCTCCCGGCTCCCTTATTTTTCAAACAATTGTCGCTCCATATCCTTCGAACGGTTGTGACATGGCTGCGGTTCGTTCTTGTTGCGTTTGTTTGGCTTGGATGGCTGCCATGGTCTATGAGAGCTATCTGGAGAGCGCTTTTCTGGCTTGCAGATGGCCGTTGGCCAGGCGGGAATACTTTACAACAAAACACGACCCAGGCTGGGCTTGTCGCAGATCACACTACTCTAACCGAGGCTGTCGTGGCTGCTACTAGTTCGGCAGTTTCAACTGCGGTGCAGTCGACAGTGACCGATGTGCCACCAGTGGAGTCACCGGCATCTTCAATGTTTAGCTATTCAACCGGGGAGCCGTTGATGCTAGCTTTTATCAAAAAAGGGCTCTCAACCCTATTTCTTCCTGCTACCTCGTCCAGTACTGCGCCAGGAAACGCAAACGTGACAACAGGTTCTCCCAAACTACGACAACCCTCATGGCTCTCTGATGTGAAGTTTCTGAATTCTTTGACACGTTCTCCGACAATTAACAATATCATTATCGATACTCTGGAAGGCCAGCTGATCACTCTATTGGTTGTTCTTGCCTTCATCCTGGTTTTTCTGATTCGAGAATGGGTCGTTCAACAACAGCCAATGGCGAATATCGCCGACGGGGAACGTGAAGCTGCTGTTCAATTGATCGCGAATAATCCTCCTAACCAGGAGGGCGCTCAGCTGGAGTTGCAGCCCCAACCTAATTTGCATCAAGATGAATTCGATAATGATGATGCTGAAGACCCTGCTGAGCATGTTTCGGACCATGGAGAGGAAGAGCTTCCATCGGCCCAAGAGGATGCTTTTAGAGAAAGCCCGTTCAACTTTCAGAATATGACAGCGGAAGGATTGAACACTTCTGCCGATTTTATGCGTCCTAGCAGCGCAGATCACGGAACAGGGTATCACCAGCCAACGGAGCAAGCCCCGGCGCGTAATCAGCTATGGCCTACATTCAGAGATCTCTGGATGCGTGGCGATGGTAATCCAGATCATATCCTAAGGATCATTGAGCAAGAAGGCCGTGAGGAGGAGCTGGACTGGCTTGTCACCCTGATGACGAGACTCCAGCAAAAACGATCTTCTAATAGTGACCCCGCCAATACCGACGCCGGTGCTACGATGGACTCTGTGATGAACAATATTGAGACGGATAGGGACGGGTTGCCTGCATTCGCAGAATCGGCGCACGCGACCTCTACGATTCACCCTCAACCTGAGCCGTTGGCTGATATTGGCCCCACCCGAGATATCGCACCTCCACGCTTTGGAGGGGAATCCGATGCGGGCTCATCAGATCATGCGTTTACCTTCGATTTTCAGAGGCAATCCTCAGACGTTTCGACAAATCCTGAAAACGGGCCAGTTGCAGAGTCGAGTGTGACAGCAGCTTCAAACGATGGAACTTTTGCTGGCCAGGAACATAGTGCTGCCAACACACCAGCCCCCAACAACATGGACAGTGTGGGTGCTGGGCCATCCGAGACCCACCATGAGCCCTCACACACCGCCGATTCTCCTGCTCGTATCCCTCGACCCCTTGCCGAGAGGGTTTTGGATTGGTTCTGGGCTGATATTACGCCTGAAGTCCAGGCCCAGGAGCGCCCTCAACAAGATGACGAACATATCGTTGAAGATCCTGCACTTGAAGAGCCGTTTCTACCAGTACAAAACAATCAACGTTTCGCCGATGATATTGATCAGGACGTTGTCGATGCTGCAGGCGAGCCTGTTGATGCCAACGACGTTGAAGCGATCGATGAAGCGGATGATCTGGAAGGGATCCTGGAGCTTATCGGCATGCAGGGACCTATTTTCGGCCTTTTGCAGAATGGTGTGTTCAGTGCACTATTAATCTCTTTCACAGTGGCTCTTGGAATTTGGCTTCCTTACTTATGGGGCAAAATTGCGCTGGTTCTTCTAGCCAACCCTATAGAACTCCTCTTTGGTGTCCCCATGACGGCTGTTTCCGTCGTTGCGGACGTCACACTGGACACCCTCATCGGAAGCTTGGGCTATGTCATATATGCGATTAGCATCATCTGCAAGGTCGTACTTAGTCCTTTTGGCTCCATCGTGCCATTGGGAGATTGGGTTCCTCGGACTAAGACCGTGACCAGCGCATCATTGTCTCTAATCGACGCCAGCGGTAGTCGATTAAGGAAAGTGGTCAATGCATTCTTTGTCTTTCATGAATCAGATGTTCCTATGTTTTCCGTCCTCTCTCACCAAGCATTGAAGATCCACGAAGCTCGCATTGTCGGTCTGTTTCGGGCACTGTTTGTCGTTTGCAAATTCATATTGCATGATCTTCCGCTCCGACTTATTACACTCGACTTACGGGGCCTGTCATGGATCGACTTCAAGGCGATAGATGTCAGCAATATCATAGCGCAGACGCGAGGACAGCTTCACAACTTTGTTCGCCACCCGTTCCTTTCACTAGGAAGCACAAAATGGGTCAATGCGGGCTTGACGAAGACAGCCACATTCGGCCAACCTGGTGATTATTATTCACTCGCCGTTTGGGGCTCGGGGGACCGGGTAATTGCAATCATTATGGGATATGTGCTTGCATCGGCTCTCAGTCTTCTATACCTTCGTATCACTGGTTTCCTTTCGGGGGTCAATCGCGGACAACGGATGGAAGGGCTTGTCGCCGATGTTCTTCATCAAGCTGGCGGGGTAATGAAGGTCATCCTCATCATTGGAATTGAGATGATTGTCTTTCCACTGTATTGCGGGTCACTACTTGATCTTGCCCTTATGCCTCTGTTCGAAAACGCCACTATTGCTTCGCGGATTGAATTCACTAACACAACGCCTCTCACTTCTCTTTTTGTGCATTGGTTTATTGGTACATGCTATATGTTCCATTTTGCCCTTTTCGTCTCAATGTGCAGAAAGATCATGAGGAGTGGTGTTCTTTGTAAGTTTTCTCTTTTACCTCAGGTTCATATGGCTGTGATAGATTGGTTGATGGCTAACATACAACAGATTTCATCCGCGACCCCGATGATCCGACGTTCCACCCAGTGCGAGACGTTTTGGAACGTAACATAACCACTCAGCTGCGTAAAATCGCGTTTAGCGCAATGGTCTACGGAGCCTTGGTCATTGTTTGCCTTGGTGGTGTTGTCTGGGGCTTGTATTATGCCTTCGATGAAATCTTCCCAGTTCACTGGGCCGCAACTATCCCTGTTCTTGAATTCCCTGCCGATCTACTCTTCTACAACGTCATCATGCCGTTTGCCCTCAGAGAGATCAAACCTGGAGATGGACTCAACGATCTCTATGGTTGGTGGTTCCATAAATGCGCGCGTTTGTTGCGATTGACGAACTTCTTCTTTGGTGAGAGACAGCCTGATGAGGAGGGCCACCATGTACGACGAACTTGGTGGGATGTCCTGTCGGGGAAGAAGGGTGATATTACACATCCAGTGGTTAGTGAAGAACAGCGAAAGCGCGTTGAAAAGGATGGTCTCAATGCATACTTCGTCCGCAATGGCCGATTTGTGCGAGCTCCAGCGTCTGACCAGGTCCGCATTCCCAAAGGCAGTCGGGTGTTCTTGGATGTTACGGAAGATAACAAGCGACTGGACGGTGCTCCGGATACCGATACCGGGCTACATGGCTGGAACAGTGAATCGTTCACCAAAGTCTACGTCCCACCATTTTTCAAAATTCGCATTGCAGCTTTCATCTTCTCGTTATGGGTCTTCGCGGCTATCACAGGTGTAGGCATCACCGTTCTTCCACTCGTTACTGGCCGCAAGATTTTGTCGTCGTACTTCCCCAAGCATGCTCCATTGAACGACATCTATGCCTTCTCCGCCGGGATCTGCGTTGTTGGCAGTGCTGCCTATGCTGTGGTGTATTGTCGAACGGCCTTTGCAGCGGTGAAGAGTTTTCTGCATCCGTACTTGCGCTCCCCTCGCCAGGCGTGTCTCGGATTCTTTAACGCAACAATTTCTGGTCTGCGTGTTGCGTACATCGTTACCGCCTTTTCGGTTGTTCTTCCGTCATTGGCTGCTCTGATTCTGGAGCTCTACATGATGATTCCGCTCCACACTTATTTTGGTGGTACCCAGGCGCCGGTCATCCACTTCGTCCAGGACTGGACTCTGGGAGTTTTGTATGTCCAGATGGCGATCAAGATCACGCTGTGGAACCGGAGGTCTCGTCCGGCCATCGCGCTCAGGAACATTTTCCCGGAGGAGGACAGATGGTTTAACCCCAATGTGCGTCTGGCAACACGGGCATTGTTGCTCCCGATTGTCCTTGCAGGTGCTATCGCCGTGGCCATCCCGCTCGTGTTCGGATTTGTACTAAACTCGACCGTATTTGCATCTTCGCTCGGCGTGCAGACCAAGGTCTACCGTTATGCGTACCCCAACGTTCTGCTTCTGGGTGTCATGGTATGGTTAGCGATTTGGGTGCGTCGACAGATTGAAACCTGGCGGACCAACGTCAGAGATGATGTGTATTTGATCGGGGAGCGGCTGCATAACTTCCGCGACAAAAAGAGTCAGAATAGTGTGGCCAGCCGGTGATTTATCATCTGCATTGTGTATGATTCTCCATTCTTCGGCTTCTTGCTACGATAGCGTTTGTTTTTCTTCATTGTAGATTAAATTTAAATTAATGAAAATAGTATGATTTTCAAGGCTACATAGTCCCGAGTACGGAGTATGTGAGAAACAGGCAACAGGAAAAAATCCCTAAATCTTTGCATCGTGCATATGCGCATATGCATCCATGTCTTGTTAGTGTTACTAAGGTACAACTCATGAATGCTTCAAACCTCCAGCTCAATACAATGACCTCGTAACAAGCCTTGCCTAGACAGTGGCACGTCCTCTGCCCTACAGAATAATGCACAGACACAGTTCAGTCAGCCACCTGCATAATGCCCCGTCCAATCACAATGCATTTTATTTTTTGCGGCTGCCTGCCTCGTGATGCGCCAAGAACACGCACGCTAGCGGCTTGGCACGGGCGGCTGTGCCCATTCGCGGGCTCTGATTGGTTAGGCAACAGAATTCTGCCCACTATTCTTAACAGCAGCAGATCATCCGAATCGGGGCTAGTGGCAGCCTCCGTCACTTCTTCGCTTCTCTTACATTATTCTTCTGCCTCGTCTCTCTTTTCTCCCTTTCTCGCCCATATCGCTCTTGCATTCGAATTCTACCGCAGAAAATGTGTGAATGAGATTTACACCATGACGAGCTCGCTTGTCTGAAACGACGAATTTGCGCATCGCATCCATCTTGTCTGTTTTCCCCGATTCGAATATCCCCGGACATCCCCCCGCAACCGCAAGGATGTCCGTTCTTCACCATGGGGGGTCATACCTCCAACGCCGTCTCACCAAGATGTATACGGATACCAAGACCTCGTGCGAGAGTGTCACCACGGCATCGAAAGCGGTCGACGATCCGGAACTTGTGGCACTTCATCGGAGTTTTCGAGAGCAGCGTGATCGATTACTGGCATGGGGCTTGGATTGGAGCGACGCTAGTGCCGCCCAACCGAACGATATCGACGAGTCGTTAACGCAGGCCGGTATTAGCGATGTCGTGGCTAGTGTTATGTCGTCGATTCAGGAATTGCTCAATGAGGCCGAACGGTTGCAGCATGGTGTGTCGGATTTGCCGCCCAAAGGCAGTCGTGCGAATCCGCCGTCGAAGGATAGTTTGAACAGTTTGCCCACCAAGACACATTGGACGGACGAGGATATTCAGCGCTCGAGGACTCTCCTGAGTGATTTGACGGGCTGTATCGATACGCTCTATGATCTGTCTCGTTCACGACGCAACATGTCGAGTAGTCAATCCGCCATGAAATCGCGCACACGACCCAGCCCTACCACCAAAGGAGACGATCCTTTTTATACTAGGGCTTATCTTGAAGCCGGCGAGAAACACGTTTCTTCTAAGCTTGTGCCCTCAAACCCCTTCTTTATCGACCGATCCGCTTTACAACTCTCCGGTACCTCCCATGACAACAACCCCCCTCCATACGAGGAGAGAGTGACTGCCTCGACCAATTCCCGCGCAGTTGGTCGTATGAGGACATCGGCATCACCTTTCTTGGCCGGAACCAAAGACTCTACGGTCTCTGTTTTGGTGGAATATGCTCCGATGATGGTGGAGGCGCAGAATGCCGCCCCTAACCCAGGAGCTCAACGGCTAGAGAGGGTGCATAGTACATTGGATCAGCTGGTTCAAAATGCTCGAGTCTCACACCTGGGTTTGTTGAGGTTCCTTGGATACTATATCGACATGCCCAATTCCCGGTACGCTTTCATCTACCAGATGCCAGTCGACTATTTTCCTTTTCTCCGCAACCCTGCCGATCTACTGGACGAATTAAAACCGAAACCCCTGGTTTCTCTCCTTCAAGCTGGCGATGACTATCAGGTGCCTAACCTCGAAACCCGTTTTCGCCTGGCATACGACCTTCTGATGACAGTCCTCCATCTTCGAAGTCAAAACATCGTACACGGAAACATCAACAGCAGCAATGTTCTCATCCTTCCAGGGTTAACTAGCTCGAGGAATGACGAGGTTGGTCTTACAGAGAATCTCCGACGTCCTTATTTGACATCCTTTTCCCATTTCTCTGGTAATGGCCCCTCGCCAGAAACGCTCTCAACCAGCATTTACCGCCACCCAGATGACCGAAGATTAATGGATGACGAGGCTGGTTGGGCTTATGATCTCTACTCCTTGGGTCTTGTCTTGATGGAGATTGGTCTATGGACGCCTATCAGCAGACTCTGGAAGATGAAATACACCAACTCCATGTTTAAGCAGAGGATCGAGAACGTTTATCTGCAGAAGCTGGGCCCCAAGTGCGGCAGCGCCTATCTTCATGTGGTCCAGCTGTGTCTCGATGCACCTAACTTCCATCTCTCCACACAGCCATTCGATGATCTGAACATCCGAGTTCCTCAGGTCTACCACTACCCGGTTTTGGACCTGTCAGCACCAGACGGAACTTTTTCGTTCTCAATGAACTTCCTCTATACTGCGTGCAAGATAATATGGTCCTGTTGCGGTATAGATATCTTCTCTGCCCCAGCTGCCGAGGAGTTGGATGATTGCCTGCCACTCGCCCTTGTTCCGGAGTCAGAAACAACCGCTAAGAAAGCCCCCATCAAAAAAGCTTCCGAAAAAGCGCCAGCGTTGCCACCCAGACCACCCCGAGAGCCGCGTTCTGGGATTTCGATGTCGGAAGTGAAGAAGTTGAGGGAGAAGATGGGCTTGGAGGACTCGAGCACAAAGAAGAGGACCTTCAAGAAGCTCACGAACATCGACATCCCCCAGCAGCACCTCAACCAATGGAACTTCCAGATGTTGCCTCGACTGCGAAAGCTTCTGGAGAAGATCCTGAAAGACTCCGCGGAATCTTGCGGTGTCACGCTCATGATGGCAGGCGAGACAGCAGAAGACGCCAAGACAACCATTTGCGTGACTTGTGCTAGCGCCAAACAGGTTCGGGCTGCTTTGAAGAAGTACTTTGTACTCAACGACGACGCTTGGGACTTGATCGTGCTGCGCGGAGACATCCAGCGCTCGAAGGTTCCGAGAAAGAAGCGCCGCAGGCCTGCAAAAACCACCCGACCAGGCAGGGAAGAAGCGCCAGCTTTCACGCAACAGGATTTGAACCCATGCTACCAAGAGAGACCCCTCTGCGGTGCGTCTATAGGTGCGTTTCGAAATGAAGAACACTTGCCTCCAGTGTCTTATGGCGGTGCCATTATGGTGGATGGCATGCCATATGGTATGACAGTTCATCACATGCTGGAGGCACCCAGTGATGGCGAGGACGATGAGGAAGAACCCCAGAGCGAGGTTGCTGACGCTCCGCTCAGATCATCTGGGAATTGGGCCGGCAATCCGATGCATTCAAATGCAAATTCTGATTTGATGTACAGTTGGTGCGACCAGGACCCGCCCATCGATCTTGAATTCCAGATCTCAGACGATGAAGACGACTTTTCGTTATCGGAGGATTTGGAAGGAAGTTTCGATGATTATTTGCTTTCAGAGAGCTATTCCTCGGACGAAGAGGATCCGTACGAAGATGAAGATGCGGCTTCGGTTGGTGATACGGCTGGCATCGAGCCGGGGGAGGAGCCACGACAGTTCGTGACCCAACCGGCGATCGATGATGTGAACGAAGCTTTCTTTCCATCCCCTGAAGACCGAGATGATGAACACCTTGCCTCACATGCTCTCGGATACGTCCATGCATCCTCTGGTGTCAGACGCTGGACACATAAAGGGATCAAGCATGAAATCGATTGGGCGTTGATCAAGATCAATGACAGCCGAACCGATGCTCGGAATATCGTCTTCGACAAAAGTGCCAGATCGAGATACGCACCCCATCACAGACAACGACGTGGTGAACAAGGTCCTGTCCAGGGCGAAGCGATATACCTGAACGACGTGGCGAGGATGGAAGACCTTGGAGGTCTCAAAGTCCACTGCTGTGGACGAACAAGCGGCCTCCAAACCGGCCAGATTTCTAGAGCTATGACACTCGTCAAGTTACATGGAAGACAATCTTTCTCAACCAGCTTCTGTGTCGACGGGAACTTTGGAGGTAAGCCACTGCCCTACTTCAAACTTATTAAAAAGGAAACAAAGTGAACATAGGCTAAATAGGCCCGCGTCCATCTAGTCCCCGGCGACTCAGGAGCATGGGTATTCGAAAAGTCCACCGGCCGTATCTGCGGCCACGTCCTCGCGTGGTCCGAAAAATGCCACACAGCATACATCGCCCCCATGGAAGTCATCCTCGAGGACATTGCGCGTACCCTCAATGCCACTTTCATTACTCTACCGGGTAGCTCTGATGAATCTGTCGCCTTTGCCATGTCGCAGTCTGCGTTTCCCGAATCTCCTGATGCGGGACACCGTGCACGATTACGGATCCCTGAACAGTTACCCGTTGACATTGGGAGATTGAATATCGGGATCGATAATTCGGATTTTGGGCCTGTGCCTACAAGTCGGGCGAGCCGAGGGTTGAGGGCTTCGCCCTCGCCCTCGCCGTCGGCGGCGTATCGCGGGATGCCGCCTATTCTGACGCCGCCGAGAGGATTGGAGAGACAGTTAGCCTGACTATCTCGGCTTCCCTAGTCTACATTTCACTCTTCCATTGTTTCCTTATTTGTTTTTATTTTGCATCTTGCCATTTATATCTGATCTATCAGCGATGATGCTATTGTTTTTTTGGGGAAGATATCTTGGGAGCTTGATATATGGAGTTTTGGGGGGTTTTTTTTTTTTTTTTTTTTTTTTTTTTTTGTTGCGCTTTGTTTCATGACTGATGAATGAGTGGGATGGGAAAGGAATAAATACCCCTGGTGCATGTCTGTTATACTGAATATTTTTACCTATTAATATGGAACTTGATTGGACTTGACGAGTATACAATCTGTACTGGTATGAATCATGGTATGCATTAATCATTCTATATGCACGACGGCGAGACCAGAAAACGCCAGATCGATGAAATAGACAGAAGAAACCGAAATGTAAATGTCAATGGTACAAATGCTTACTTCCTCTTAGAGGAATTGTTGAATTCGCGCACAACAGCCTCACACCTGACCTCCTGGCACAGACTCTTGCGACGGTTCGCCTCCAACTTGGACGCAAACTCAAGACCACTCGCTCGCTCAACAATCTCAAGAGGAACCTCGAAATCCGCCAACCGCCTATCATTCGGAATCCGCGCATTAGGCAACACAAACGCCCCCAGCGCAACCTTGCTAGACGGACTATTCGTCCCATCCTCCCCATAAATAACCTTGTAAAAGTGCGTCGGCACAGCAACATTCGGCGGATTCCCAATAACCTCATAATTCACCCTCCACTTCCCATCCGCATCCTTATGCGGGAGATACAACGGCCCCGTCACAATCCTCACAGAAGGGTACTTCTTCGCCAACTCACGACAAAACCCCTCAAAATGCGCCCAGTAGTCCCGATTAAACCCCTCCCCGACCTGCGGACACATATTCGACAGCCCGAACGTCCCGTCCATAGCAGCCTGCGACCACTTCGCGTCCGCGGCGGGCACCTGGTGGCCGCGGTCATAGCCGGAGCGGAAGTAGTCTGCTAGACGGGCGCGGAAGGGCGCGGGGATGGACTGGTCCTCGGCGAAGGCGCTGTGTTTGCGGTCTGCGTTGTTCAGCGCGAGGGACTGCGGGGTGATGTGTTCGGCTACCCAGGCGGGATTGCGCGTGCGGCGGTCGTAGGCGCCGTGCAGGGGCACTGCGTTGATGGTGTCGGAGATTGGGCCGGGGAAGCCATATTGGAGGATGCCGGCTGGGTCGACGGGGGCTCCAGGGGTGGCTCCGGGTCTGGGGAAGGGTTTGGTGGTGGTGGTTTGCTGCTGCTGCTGCTGTTGTTGTTGGGGACGGGGGCTTTGGTTGTAGAAGACGGCGGTAATTCCGGCACCGGTAGCAGCACTGGCTGCTGCGATTGCAGCGAAGGTGGCCTTGGACATGATGGTGGTGCCTGGATAGGGAAGAGGGGGAAAGGAAACAAATCGCCCAACGGGGCAATGGTGAAGCCAAAGTGGGCGGTCACGGGACCGCGACAGACATGTGATTTTTTATTTTTTTTTACATAGTACGGAGTACATGGGTTTTTGTATATTCTGGAAGAGGTATAGTGAATGACCAGGATGGTTTAATATAATCGTGCATACAAGTCGAGATGGGTTGGGACATCGGTACACCACTATATTTGTATGGAGGGACTATGCAGACATAACGTCAGTCCAACTTGTATGGTACACTAATACCTTATTTTATATCTTTTCTACTATGTACTCTCTCTCTCCATATGATCTTCATTATATGCATATAATAATAATACAGCATCTATATATATACATACCGCTGTGTACATTTGAATGCAACAAATGCGGACCTTGTGGACAGCGCCAGTCGCAATGCTCTTTCTTTTTAGCTCCTCGCTCCTTCCTCGAGTTATTTTCTCTCTGTTGTGTTGAGGAGGTGTCGAGTCGGGGTTGATTTTATACATATTTCTTCATTCTGTTTATTCTGCATCATCTTTGTAATCGCCGTTTTTATAGTGGCCAACTTTTTTCCTGACATCACTTGCCTTCCTCCTACAACGATCTCGTTATGGCCGCTAGCAATGACCTTCGTGGCTGGGTTATGAGCGCCGTGTCTGGCGTGGGTAAGCTTAACCGTCTATTATATGTTCACTCGGTATACTGATATACAACAGCCTGTATTCTGGGTTCCGCCGTTGTCTGCGCCGACCTCGTTTTCCGCCGCTTCTCCCACCGCAAGGACTTTCAGATCGTCACCAACAATGGCTTCCTTTCGGCTTCGTTGTGTCTCAGTGCGGGTGTCATGGTATGTTTATGAGACAAATGGGATTAGTGAGTGGTGCTGACCTCTCAGCTCTTCACCTCCCTCTACAGCATGCTGCCCACCTCGAAACGTTACCTGACCAAGGCGGGCTGGTCCCCTCGAGCTTCAGCGTACGCCCTGATCGGTTTATTTCTCGCTGGTGTTATCGTTATTCGTCTCCTCTCCGGTCTTATTCACCGTTATATACCCTCGCATGTCGTCGATTGTGCCCATACCCATGAGCCTGAGCATGACCCGGAACGCGGCCAAGCTGAAGAACCTGTGCGGGGCGAGAGTGAAAACCTGGACATCGATGGAAGTACGGAGCGCACGCCACTGCTTAAACGGATAGAGCCCCGTTCGTTCAAATCCACACCCGCTGTCCTTCAGGCTGGGCAGGCTGTGCCAAGGAACCTACACAAGAAGGAACCCCTCCGGATGCGTTTGACTCGGCAGCTCAGTATGCTCGTCGGTGGGGTGAAACCCTTGTGCGATGAAAATGGTCCTTGCTACGGATTCTCTCAGACTTGTGGTGGCGAATGTACCAAGACCCTCATTGCGAAGCCAACGAATCTGCCAGACGAGAATGCGCAACACCTGAGACACCACCGGAGTATGACTCGGTTTGAAGAACCCACATGGCCGGGTGATGATGAAGAGAGTGGCACCCTCCAGGTCCCAGCCAGATGGCCCCGGGGTCATCCCCGCGCTTTCTCCGAAGGTGCTCAGCGGATTGGTTACTTGGATGGGAGCAGCTCTTCCTCGCATAGTGAATTTCTTGAACATCACTGTAAATCGCCTAATAATGCACCCTCTGACGACGTCCACGACCAACACCAACAAGGAGAAGAAGAAGAAGAAGAAGAAGAAGATCATGAAGATCATCAGCATTCGCCACAGCATCACCACCACGTCCCCCAGAATGCCTTCCTCGCCATCGGTCTCCAAACTTCAGTGGCCATCGCCCTGCACAAACTCCCTGAGGGCTTTATTACCTATGCCACGAATCACGCCAGTCCTACTCTTGGTATGACTGTCTTCCTCGCGCTATTCATTCACAACATCAGCGAGGGTTTCGCCATGGCCCTTCCCCTCTACCTAGCTCTCAACTCGCGCTGGAAGGCCATGTTCTGGTCTAGCTTGCTGGGTGGTGTTAGCCAACCTGCCGGTGCTGGTCTGGCCGCTCTCTGGATCTGGGGCTCGCAGAAAGCCAGCGGTGGTCATGGGTCTGAGGCGTCCGGTCCATCCTGGGGCGTGTACGGGGGCATGTTCGCCGCGACAGCCGGTATCATGACCTCAGTGGCACTGCAGTTGTTCAGTGAGGGCTTGTCCTTGACGCATAATCGGAACTTGGGAATTGGATTCGCCATTGCGGGCATGGGGTTGATGGGGTTGAGTTTTGCTCTGACGGCATGATAATAACATTGCATACGACTCGTATAAACGGCATACTTATCTTGACAATAATGCATTGTTGGGCTTCTTATGGGAACAGTTCAATAACCTGGATATCTTTCATTACGCATTGCACGAGTTACGATTATTTGGTTTTTTTTTTTTTTTTTTTCGATTGCTTCGGTTTGGCTAGTTTGTTTATAAATAGAATGCATTAGTCTTGACAATAGGATACTACAATTGGACTCATTGTGTTGGAGAAGCTTTTCACGGTAGTAGAGCATGCATAGTCTTAGACTGGAAAATGCTCTATAAAATGGAAGACATCATCATCAAGCTTTTCACGGTATATATCAAAGTAAACGAATATATTGTACAGTAGTCATCTATATACACTCCAACGCCAACCTATGCAAAATGACAAAAAGTAAACAATCATTTTCCACCTTGCGCCTCTCTCTCCCTCTTTCTCGCCAAATACCGCTCCTTAGCACTGGACACATCCTTATCTGACTTCCGACTCTTATTCCGCTCCGCAACCTCCTTCTGTTTCGCTTCCTCCGCCTCAGCTTCCTGCTTCGCACGCTCCTCTAACTGCGCAGCAATCATCTCCGTCGTCCGAGCACGCTGGTCATTGCGCACTCCGCGCGCGCCATCGAAGCGCTTGCCAGGCCCACCAGGCCCACGAGACGCAGGCGCAGCAGCAGCAGAAGGCGCGGCCTTGGGCTTGGGAGCGACGTTGAGACCGGCGGAGAGCAGCTGGCGCTTGTCGACGACTTGGCCTTCGTCGTTGACAGCGACGTGGGCGCCCTTGGCGTTGAGGTCTGCGGCACGGCGGGCGGAGGTTTTTTCTTCGTCTTCGTCTGCTTTGCCTTCGGGTGTTTCTGCTGTTTCGGGTTCGCCGGTTTTGATGCGTTGGGCGGCTTCTTCGGTTGCTTTGAGGACTTGCTCGTGTCGTTGTTCGTCGCGTGAGAGAATGTCCCGGTAAAATCCAACCATGCCCACGTTCCCGCTCGTCTTGCGTCTCTCTTCTTCCTGTTTTTCTCGCTCTGCTTCTTCGGCTTCCACCCGCCGCATCTCCTCCTGTTGCGCCTTGTACGCTGCCGTAACGAATTTCTCTTTGTCTGCGAACTCTTCGCCCTCGGCTTCACGTTCGCGCGCGAGCAACCTATCCCGCGCGCGGAGCTGGTCGCGTTTCCGGATCTCGGCGCTGCGCAGGAGGTTTGTCATGTACTTGGGTACTTCATTGCCCTTCTCTGCCGATTTCTTATCCTGTTCTGGCTTCGTATGTAGACTATCATATACAGCATCGTAGGAGTAAATTGAGGGATCGAGCTCTTGTGCTTCCTGCGCATGTTTCTTGCTGCTGTGTAGGGCGGATAGGTTCGTGTAGTTTTTACTAGGGTCTGCTTGGGACTTTGGTACTGAGAGTCCGCCACCGGTTGTATTCGCTTCTTGTCGCTCTTCTGTTCCCTCATCGTCATCGCCGTCGGCGAATATGGAGTTTTTGCTGAGTGGCTTCGGCCCTGTCTTTTTGCCGCTTGTCGCGGTCGTTGTGAAGAATGGTTTACGTTTTGAGGGTGGTTCGGATGGTTCTTTTTTAGGTGGTTGTGGTTTCGAAGGCGCTGGCTCATCACCTACCCCTCCGATGGTTGATATCTCGACTTCTCCATCGCCTTTTTGGTCGTCGTCGGAGTCGGAGTCGAAGATGGTTTTCTTGCGTTTTTGGCCGAGGGGGGCTGGTTTTTTGGTGTTTTTGTTGGGAAGGTTGAGGCCGTAGGAGAGGTTTGGTGGCATTGCTGTATTATTGCTGTCAATTGAATGCGAGCAGATGAATGATAGTGATTGAGTTCAATCCGAGCATTCGTGACATCGACTCTCGATAAGCTATCGTCACGTGTACCAAACTAGTCCTAGATAAGCAATTCCTATCTTATCACACGTGATACATCCCTCCAACTGTCAACAACGACAAACTCACTCCTCTTCCCCAAATCGCGCACCCGGAAACAATTGACAGACAGCAAAATGTCGTACTACTTCACGATCCTCTCGCCTACCGATGCCCCACTTTTCAACATCGCCTTTGGCACCTCGAAAAGCGGCGGCGATGGCATCGCCCGCTTCCGATTTCCGGATACTGCGCAGTACATGAACCAGTTCATTATCCATTCGAGTTTGGATATTGTTGAGGAGGCGCAGTGGATGAATGGAAATCTGTACGCCCCCTGTCCCTGAACTACGGCACGTCGAGAGACAAGAAGGGCATGCTAACGCTAATATAAAGGTACCTAAAACACATCGACACCTACCCCCCAGCCCAAGCCTACATCTCCGCCTTCCTCACCCCCTCCGGCGCACGCTTCCTCCTCCTCCATCAACCCCCCCAACTCCCCTCATCAACATCCTCCGGAGGAGGAAACACTGGTTCTTCATCACTACTAGGATCCTCGTTCTCCGCATCCGCGCTGGGAGGAGGCAGCTCGGGGCGCGCGTCGAGTAGTTCTATCGCGGCGAATCCGACGGCGCCGCAGACGGAGGAGGCTGTGAGGCAGTTTATGAATGAGGTTTATGAGAATTATGTCAAGACGGTTATGAGTCCGTTTTATCGGGTGGGGTTGGAGATTAAAAGTCCGGTTTTTAGGGCGAGGGTTACGGCTGCGGGGAGGAAGTGGTTATAGTTCTTTTGTTTGAGTGGGTTTGGTTGGGTTGTTTTATTGTGGATAGCATGGCGTTTGGGTTGTTTTTGTTAGATGTGTATTTATATCTGCCGTAGCCAGGTAGTTATGCGGATTCATTGAATGATACCCGTGACTTGAATAGTCTAGATCAATGAATCGCAAAATATATAACTCCGAGGTATTGTCAACTCGCTAGAAAAGTATCAACCAAAAAGGGGAAAGAAAAACAGGTTCTCCCCATTGATATACAACGTGAACAAAAAAAAAAAAAAAAAAAAAAAAAAAAAAAAAAAAAACAAACCGCTACGAATCCCATCCAAAACGCCCGACCACACAGGGGTATAGTCAATCCAAACATTGGTAACCTGATTGCTGATCAACCCGTCATCTGCGGAGCCAGCTTCTTCACAGTGATGGCTTTGAAGTTCTCAACCGCGTGCAACAGATCTTCTGTCTTGGCTACTGCACCAAAGATTCCGCCCTCCATCTTGACTGATTCCAAGGTGCTGATGTGAAGGGACGGATCACTGGCAGCGGAGGCATCTTCCATCACGACGCAGTCGAATCCTCGATCGTTGGCTTCACGCATGGTCGTCGATATACACACATCGGTCGTGACTCCTGTTAAGACAATGTTCTTGACTCCCTTGTTTCGGAGTAAGAGTTCGAAGTCCGTGTAGGAAAAGGCGCCTTTCCCCGGCTTGTCGATGACCGGTTCACCAGGGATCGGGTACAATTCGTCTATCGTATCATGGCCCACTTCTCCGCGGATCAGGAGACGGCCTAGTGGGCCAGGGGACCCGATTCCGAGTCCTGAGGCGTTGTTCCTAGACCGATAGGTTTCTCGACTGGATAAAGTGGATAAATCAGGACGGTGGCCTGGAAAGTCAGCGATTGTCAAAATTGTTTGGATGATCGTTGTTACCTTCTCGTGTATGGTAGATTGGGAAGCCAGCTGAGCGAAAAATATCCAATAAATGCTGGATCCTGGGGACGATTTCTTGGGAAGCAGATATGTCGTATCCTTGATACTCCATGTAACCACCCGATGCGCAGACTGATTGATAAGAGATTAGCTCATGTCAACTCCAGTTACAGGTATATAACATACAGTCCTTTTGCATGTCAATCACTACCAAAGCAGTCGTATACGGCGTGAGAGTGGCATCATGTGGCCAATCGTACGGAATGGACGCAATCTGGCCCTTTCGCACTTTGTGATGGGGCACCTGTCGGGGCTTTTCGATAATCGGGCCATGGTTGTGCGTTGGGTTCAAAACGGTCAATGTCCAAATGCCAGGAGTACCAGCTGCTACCAGCATAAATGGACAATCCATCAACCGCGACGTTCTGCGCCGTTTTCTTGTCTCTTCTGTCAGACCGTTTCGTGGACGATAGTGTCCACCGCGATCGCACCGTAGCCACACCTTGGCGGTGCGTCCGGGCTTCTTTTCGGTTGGAGTGCTCGAGGACTTGACGACCACATTGTATCCATGAGCTTTTCCATGGCCTTGCACGGCCTGCAGCAATGTGTCCCTGACGTCACATGAGTACATCCACACATGTAGGGGGTTTGCACAGTCCAGGGCGAATATGTGTAAGCGGGAGAGTGGCAAGTGGGACAACTCACTTGTCAGGATAGGTGCCTTCCGGGGGAGGGACCAACTGCTGCATTGGCATATCAGGAATGTCCTGAAGGTCGCTAGGTGCGTCGAGATTTAGATCGGTGGGGTCGGCCATGGCGATAGTAGTAGAATGATCTGAGCTCGAAGCACTAGCAGTACTTTGTGGTCCCAGCAATAATACGGGCTGAACGCGCATGTCAGCGTGTGGTCTTTGGATTCCCAGCCTTATCCCATATATTTGACCACCGGGCATCAAGGCATAATGAAGAAACAGACCCATCTAGACTGCCATCTAGAATAGTGCGTGGAAGCAGAGCAGGAAATCCACACGGGGAGTTGAGCCCACGAGTGCCTTGTGCATGGCATAGTCATAGCATATCACGTACCTTGGAATTGTTTTAATTTCTTGCCAGACCAGTATAGCCCAGTATAGCGTGCTTAAGCACACACCCTCTTCCTCACACAATCACTCACTAAGACAGTCACTTTCTCAGTAGTCTATTACCTCGTCGCAAACCGGAGACACTCAGAGCCTCGGAATACGCACGGGGCTCAATTCTGCCCGGGCGGTGGAGAGTCCCATCACACACTAGACCCAGATTAGTCTAGCGCGGGCTTCCCCTGACGACGCCGTGTTGTGGTTCAACCAGCAGTCAATCAACCTTCACATCACATCACTACTACTACTACTACGCTACTTGTTATCGTTTTCATCTCCTTGGCCCTCTGGGAGGGATCTTTTTTGCACAGAATCCTTATATTATTTGGTGACCTTGTGAAATAAGGTGCCCTTCATTGTCCTCCCTTCAGGCACATTCTTGAGTGCCTGTCCTTTTCTAGCCTGTCTTGCCTCGCCTCGTCTTCGCCTTGCCTTGTCCCGTCCGTCTCCGTACGTCTCAACTGATCCAACTTGCGACACCGCTTCCCGCGAGGGGTCTTTGGCTCCTCCATACCACCTATACTATATATTCTTCTCCTTCCCTCCCTCTCTCTAGTTAAGATTACCGCCAGTTCTCGTGAATGATCTGCTCGGCTCGGTGATCATCTGGGACAGTCAGACGTCACGGCTACCCGCCGCCGGCCCCCCCTCCGTTGACTGTCGTTTGTTACTGCCCACTCTGTCCCCCCTCAAGTTTCTTCCCTCCTCCAAAGCAAGATTAGGCCTTTGCAACTGTGAAAGAAAAAGAGAACAAAAAAAAAAAAAAGAACAACAACAAAAAAAAATCTACACCGCTCGAAATTATACTGGTTATAAAATTTGGGCACCTTTGCGACCACAGGAATCATGCCATCGGCCGATGACTCTGCTAAACGGCCCAACGGGACGAGCTCTAGGGGGGATGAGCTGGCTTATTACAAGGCACAATATGAACAACTAGAGTCGGAGCTGGCGGACTTTCAGGCCTCGAGCCGGGACCTGGAGGCGGAGCTGGAGAAGGATATTGAGGCATCGGAAAAGCGAGAGCGGAAGCTAAAGGAAAAGGTGGAGGCCTTGGGATATGAAGTTGAGGAATGGAAGGTATGATATCAGTTGCTGAAGAGAAAAAAAGGACAATGCTCATGATCGCTTTCCAGACCAAGTGCAAGCAATCCAAGACAGAAGGAAATTCGGCGCAGAACACTTTGCAAAAAGAGATTACGACGCTACGAGATGCGAACCGAACCCTACATTTGAAGTTGCGTGATATCGAGGTTGCCAACGACGATTACGAGCGCCAGGCCCGAAACACCACGTCATCCCTGGAGGATCTGGAATACAAGTACAACGCGGCCATCGAACGAGGGGTGCTCCTGGAGGAGGAAATCAAGAATGGCGACCAGGAACGCGAACAGCTTCGTATCGAAAACCAACGTCTTCGTGACGAGTTGTCCGATTTGAAGATCGAGACCGAGATCGTCCAAGAGAAGCTGCGGAATACCGAAATGACCACGGGTCGCCGGATTAGGAGACCTACGCCCTTGTACCGCAGCCCGTCCACCCCACAGACCTCCGAGATTTTCGATCGGTCCCCGGGCACAACCCTCATTTCGTCGCCATTGTTCAATTCAGTTAACACGACCCCGACCAAACTTACCATGGCGTCCGCGACGGCCACTCCGCCCTCACCGCCCATTTCCGAGTCGTCATGCAGTATGCGCAAGTCCATCAACGGAATTCCGAATTTCCCGCGTCTGAAGGCTTCTGCAGGGGAACCCCTGACGTCTCGAACTTTGCATGCTTCGCGGAGCTCTCAACGATTGGCTCATGCGCGTGCCACGTCGGCTTTCCCCAATGGCAATCGTCCCTCCACCCTATCGGCATCGTCCCGCACGAGCGTTCCTAGGTCCAACCACTCTTTCCATAACAGCACTAACAGCCTGAATAGCCCCGCTACCAATGGCACTGGCCGGGCACTGGCCAAATCGGGTTCTCTGTGTCAGATCCGTGGTCTGATTGGCAAGATGCAGAAACTCGAGGAGCGGGTGCAATCGGCCAAGTCCAAACTCCCCCCGCCATCGGAATCGCCTTCGCGTGCATCGTCCCGAGCGGGATCATCTTTGGGATCATCCATGGGATCAGCCATGGGAGACAGTCCAGTTGCGTCAACCATCACCGTTCGGAGAGACTCCCGGAAGCGTCAGAGTGGCAGCAGCTTCAGCTCTTCGGCCCGGGACGGCGACAGCGTGCCCTCTTATATCACCCAGAGTCGACCGTCGTTTAGCACGCGGACCCCCGGGGACAGCCGTCCCAGCAGCCGCACGAGCTTCTCGAGCCGCAGCTCCGTCAGCCATGGCACACATCCTAGTGTGACGCTCTCCTCGACACGGCCCGAGAGTCGTCAGAGCCGAACCAAGACGCCGCTAGGGCATTATTCAACCAATCCGATGACGGAAGGCCGGCGACCGCGATCGTCGCTTAGCAACCACACGGCCCAATCCTCGATTGTCAGTGGCATGTCTAACATCGATGAAGATGAAGGCCTGGCCAAGGACTTTGCCATGCGCGCCACGATCAGCGAGTGTCGCGGAACTCGACTGCCATCGGTTACTGCCATGAATGGAACGTGGAAGAAACGGTCTACCAGCGGGATCCCGGCTCCACGGAGTCTCAAGACTAGCATCGGGGTTGAAGAGGGCACCCGTATGAGCCCGCCCGAACGAAAGCCCGCCCTTGCTGATCTAGGCGAGACTTTTTGATCTGGCTTATCATCCTTTCTTTATTTTTCTTCATTTTGACTTATTTTCCTTCTTACGACCCTTTTTTCCACCGTATTGGAAATCATTGAGGTCGCTATTTCTTTACGATGTTTACGGCCGGCACGCTTTTTTCTCCTTTTTTCTTTTACATATTCAGATTGGACATTTTGCTTCTTAATTCTTTTTTCGCAATATTCCCCCTTGTTCTCAGAAAACACCAACAGCATGAGAACCGAGTGCGCATTGGAACAAGCATTGGCACCATACACCATATCCGAGAGAACCTGTCTGGATTGCCAACCGCATGATTGATTAGTTTGGTTTATGTTTCTTTTATTATTGCAAATATCCCTTGACCATAGCACGGATTGTACAGTGTTATTATGGGAAGAAGATTGATGGAGTCGGCATTTTTGGTTTCTGTCATTGATTTATGTGCCCACGGGCGTCCAAGCTGTGTCACAGCAGATTAGAAGATTTCCTTTCGTGTCTCTCACTCGATGTATTTATTGTCTTTGGCGTTGAATAATACCCAGTGAGTTTATGAATATTCTGAAGGCGACATCGCTGTCAGTGCCATATATAGCGTCGTAGATTAATCCGTATCCCAATGTGAATATTCCCCGATGATTATGCCCGAGAAAAGTCCCGACATGTCAATTAATAACTACCGGAAAAGAGTTTTCTTCATGAATCCACGGTTGAGGTATCTACCAAACCAGCTACGGTGCCTGAAGAAGAATGTAGGGCACCGGAAACGATAAGGCTGCAAGCAGACTAATAAAAAACACCGTCGGGTTGGGAAATCTCCGAGATACGGATGATTAGCAGAGCTGATAATATACCTCGCTCTCCGGACCCCGTAGTTCGTACTACGTACTGGTCCGTACTAAGCACGGAGTACTCCGTCTTATACGGAGTCCGTTCCTGAACAACAAACCATTTATTTCTTCAGGAACCCCAGATTGGTACAGACAGGTACGGTATCGTACCGGTAAAAAAAAAACACATACAGAAACTGGTGAGAAATGACACGCCCAACATAATGGGGCGATGTGATTGGGGGAGACGTCCGGCTGGCCCGGTTCAACAAGTAGCCGAAAAAGGCATAGTGGCACCCAGCGGGTTGCGAGGATCCAGCGGAGCGGAATATCAACGGTGCCGTATTGGGTTAGTGGTATTTTTTGTGTATTGATTACGGTACCTCTTTCGCCATAGTAGAATATCATGAGTATGCTGGAGAGTAGAGAGTAGAGAAGTAAAGAGAAGTATAGAATTGAATAGAATATATGATGTGCACACTGTAAACAAGTCAGAGATGCAGTAGCTCATGTGTACATGGTATGTGGAATGGCGGGCAGCAGCCCAACAAGCGGCGGGCAGTTGGGGCATATCCAATGGTGGAGGACGACAATTTTTGGGTGGAGCGGCCTTTTTGTAGAACAGCTCATCGTCTTCCACTTTTCCTCTCTTCTGCCACTCTCCTCATCTTCTCATCTTCTTTCCTCTCCATCTTCATTTATCCTCATCTTATTGTACAGTCTCCCTGTTGGGTGTCAAGTCACGGTAAGCCACTCTCACTCTTATCAGCCCTCCATTCCGCCGTTTTCAATTGAGCCTCAAAGCTGACTGACTATTTTCTGACAGGAGGATCCCTTCTCAATCTCACTCTCTCCTCTCAATTCGAATCCTTTCTCTCTATCCTCGTGACGACGGGCTCTTCCTCTCGATTCCTCCTTTGTACATCTTATCACCATCCTCTTTATCCTCCGATCTTGATATTCCCCGTCTACGCTCAACACGGGTTTGACCACGTCTTACGCATATATCGCATGGAAGGAAGCACATAATCTTTAATACCCGCAATTATTTCTACGATAAACGACACCATGGGCGTCCCCAATGGAACCAGGCCTGAAATCCCTTCGCATTTCATCGGTGGAAACCATCTCGAGGCCGCTTCCCCGAGTTCGGTCAAGGACTTTGTGGCCCAGCATGACGGCCACTCGGTTATCAGCTCAGTATGTCTCCATTTGGATTGTCTATGGGAAGCATGAGTGCTAATAAAATAGGTCCTGATTGCCAACAACGGTATCGCCGCCGTCAAAGAAATTCGCTCCGTCCGGAAATGGGCCTACGAGACCTTTGGCAACGAGCGTGCCATTCAGTTCACAGTCATGGCTACCCCGGAAGATTTGACCGCAAACGCAGACTACATCCGTATGGCAGATCAATATGTCGAGGTTCCGGGTGGTACCAACAACAACAACTATGCCAACGTCGAGCTGATTGTCGATGTTGCTGAGCGTATGGACGTTCACGCCGTCTGGGCCGGTTGGGGTCACGCTTCTGAGAACCCCCGGTTACCGGAATCCCTCGCTGCTTCGCCTAAGAAGATCATCTTCATTGGTCCTCCCGCCTCTGCTATGCGCTCTCTGGGTGATAAGATTTCTTCGACTATCGTCGCACAACACGCTGGTGTGCCTTGTATACCGTGGTCTGGAACTGGTGTTGACGCTGTCCGGATTGATGAACACGGCATTGTTACAGTTGATGACGATATTTACAACAAGGGGTGTACCTTTTCGCCTGAAGAGGGTCTCGAAAAGGCCAAGGAGATTGGTTTCCCCGTTATGATCAAGGCCTCCGAAGGTGGTGGTGGTAAGGGTATCCGTAAGGTTGAGAAGGAGGAGGAATTCATCAGCTTATATAGCGCGGCTTCCAACGAAATCCCCGGTTCCCCCATCTTCATCATGAAGCTGGCTGGTGATGCCCGCCACTTGGAAGTCCAACTCTTGGCCGATCAGTACGGAAACAACATTTCCCTTTTTGGCAGAGATTGCTCGGTCCAGCGACGACACCAGAAGATTATTGAAGAAGCCCCCGTTACCATCGCCAAACCCCCCACCTTCCAGTCCATGGAGCGCGCCGCCGTGAGCCTGGGTAGATTGGTCGGTTACGTCTCCGCTGGTACCGTCGAGTATCTCTACTCGCACGCTGAAGACAAGTTCTACTTCTTGGAACTGAACCCTCGTCTTCAGGTCGAGCATCCCACCACCGAAATGGTTTCTGGCGTCAACCTCCCCGCCGCTCAGCTGCAGATTGCCATGGGTATCCCTCTGCACCGCATCCGTGACATTCGTCTCCTCTACGGTGTCGACCCCAACACCTCGTCCGATATGGACTTCGACTTCTCCAACGAGGAGAGCTTCCAGATCCAGCGTCGCCCGCAGCCCAAGGGTCACACCACCGCCTGCCGTATCACTTCTGAGGACCCTGGTGAGGGTTTCAAGCCGTCGGGCGGTACCATGCACGAGCTGAACTTCCGGAGTTCGTCCAACGTCTGGGGTTACTTCTCCGTCGGTACGGCGGGTGGTATCCACAGTTTCTCCGACAGTCAGTTCGGCCACATTTTCGCCTACGGTGAGAACCGGTCCGCTTCGCGGAAGCACATGGTTATTGCCCTGAAAGAGTTGAGCATCCGTGGTGACTTCCGGACGACGGTCGAGTACCTGATTAAGCTGCTCGAGACTCCTGCCTTCGAGGACAACACCATCACCACCGGATGGCTCGACCAGCTGATCTCTAACAAGCTGACCGCCGAACGTCCCGACCGGTACGTCGCCATCCTGTGCGGTGCCGTGACCAAGGCCCACCAGGCGAGCGAGCAGGGCATCGAGGAGTACCGCAAAGGCCTTGAAAAGGGTCAAGTGCCTTCCAAGGATGTCCTCAAGACCGTCTTCCCCATCGACTACATTTACGAGGGCGAGCGGTACAAGTTTACCGCTACCCGCGCCAGCTTGGACAGCTACCACCTGTTCATCAACGGCTCCAAGTGCTCCGTTGGTGTGCGTGCCCTGGCTGACGGTGGTCTGCTCGTCCTCCTGAACGGCCGCAGCCACAACGTTTACTGGAAAGAGGAAGCCGCCGCCACCCGTATCAGTGTGGATGGCAAGACCTGTCTGCTGGAGCAGGAGAACGACCCTACTCAGCTGCGCACGCCCTCTCCCGGTAAGCTTGTCAAGTTCTCCGTCGAGAACGGCGAGCACGTCAGGGGTGGCCAGTCGTACGCCGAGGTTGAGGTTATGAAGATGTACATGCCTCTGATCGCCCGGGAAGACGGTATCGTCCAGTTCATCAAGCAGCCCGGTGCCACTCTCGAGGCCGGTGACATCCTTGGCATCCTCGCTCTGGACGACCCCTCGCGCGTCAAGCACGCCCAGCCCTTCACCGGACAATTGCCCGATATTGGTCCTCCTCAGGTGACTGGTTCTAAGCCCCCGCAACGGTTCTTCCTCCTCTACAGCATTCTGGACAACATCCTCCGGGGATTCGACAACCAGGTCATCATGAACTCGACCCTGAAGGAGTTGGTTGAGGTGCTCCGCAACCCCGAGCTGCCCTACGGTGAATGGAACGCCCAGTCCTCTGCGCTGCACTCCCGCATGCCCCAGAAGCTCGACGCCCAGCTTCAGGCCGTTGTCGACAAGGCCCACGGCCGCAAGGCCGAGTTCCCCGCCAAGCAACTGCAGAAGACCATCGCCAAGTTCATTGACGAGAACATCCTGAACGCCGCTGATGCAGAGATACTCAAGACCACTCTCCTCCCTCTGACGCAGGTTATCAACAAGTACATGGAGGGTCTCAAGGCCCATGAGTACAACGTATTCATCAGCCTTCTCGAGCGGTACAACGACGTCGAGAGTCTGTTTTCCCTGCGCAACATTCGGGACGAAGATGCCATTCTGAAGCTGAGAGACGAGCACAAGGACGACATCATCAGTGTCGTGCACACCGTTCTCTCCCACAGCCGGATCGGTTCCAAGAACAACCTCATCCTCGCCATCTTGGACATGTATCGTCCCAACAGGCCTGGCGTGGGCAACGTTGGCAAGTACTTCAAGCCCATCCTCAAGAAGCTCACTGAGCTCGAGTCTCGCTCCGCTGCCAAGGTAACCCTCAAGGCCCGTGAGCTTCTCATCCAGTGCGCTATGCCCTCGCTGGAGGAGCGGTTGTCACAGATGGAGCTCATCCTGCGCTCTTCCGTTGTGGAGTCGCGGTATGGTGAGACCGGCTTCGACCACCGGGAGCCCGACTTTTCTGTGCTCAAGGAGGTTGTTGACTCCAAGTACACCGTGTTCGATGTCCTCCCTCGGTTCTTTGTTCACCAGGATGCCTGGGTTACCCTGGCTGCGCTGGAGGTCTACGTTCGCCGTGCCTACCGTGCGTACACCTTGAAGGGCATGCAGTACAATGCCTCGAGCGGCGAGTCTCCCTTCCTCTCGTGGGACTTCACTCTGGACAAGCTCGGTCAGCCTGAGATTGGCCCCGTCGCCTCCACACACCCTTCGACTCCCAGCACTCCCGTTACCGAGTCTCCTCACCCGTTCAAGCGCATCAACTCGATCAGCGACTTCTCGTACATCCTGGATGAGAACAATGAGCCTATCCGCAAGGGTGCCATCATGCCCATCCAGTACCTCGAGGATGTCGAGGAGGGCGTGTCCCGCGCGCTGGAGGCCTTCCCCGTCGCCGGTTCGAAGAAGCCCAGCGACGCCCTTCTCGCCAACTTCGAAGGCAAGCGCAAGCCGTCGCTCAAGATCGAGCATGAGCACGAGCTCACCGGTGTCTGCAACATCGCTGTCCGCGACGTCGAGGATCTCGATGACAAGCAGATCGTCGCCCAGATCAGCAGCCTGCTGGGAGACCTCAAGGATGAGCTTCTCTCCCGCCGTATCCGTCGTGTGACTGTGATCTGCGGTAAGGACGGTGTCTACCCCGGCTACTACACCTTCCGTGGGCCTAGCTATGAGGAGGATGAAAGTATCCGTCACAGCGAGCCTGCCCTGGCCTTCCAGCTCGAACTGCACCGTCTGTCCAAGTTCAAGATCACGCCTGTTTTCACCGAGAACCGCAACATCCACGTGTACGAGGCTATAGGCAAGGGCCCTGAGAACGACAAGGCCGTTGACAAGCGCTACTTCGTTCGTGCTGTCGTTCGTCCGGGCCGCTTGCGTGACGACATTCCTACGGCTGAGTATCTGATTTCGGAGGCTGACCGGTTGATGAACGACATTTTGGATGCCCTCGAGATTATTGGCAACAACAACTCCGATCTGAACCACATCTTCATCAACTTCTCGCCTGTGTTCAACCTGCAGCCCCAGGATGTCGAGGAGGCCTTGGCTGGTTTCTTGGAGCGCTTCGGTCGTCGTCTGTGGAGACTGCGTGTCACTGGCGCCGAGATCCGTATCCTCTGCACGGACCCGACCACTGGCATGCCCTACCCTCTGCGTGTGATCATCACCAACACCTACGGTTTCATCATCCAGGTCGAGCTGTACATCGAGAAGAAGTCCGAGAAGGGCGAGTGGATCTTCCACAGCATCGGCGGTACCAACAAGCTTGGCTCCATGCACTTGCGTCCCGTTTCCACTCCCTACCCGACCAAGGAGTGGCTGCAGCCCAAGCGTTACAAGGCTCACCTCATGGGCACCCAGTACGTGTACGACTTCCCCGAGCTCTTCCGCCAGGCCTTCCAGAACAGCTGGACCCGGGCTATTGCCAAGATCCCCAGCTTGACCTCCCAGCGTCCCCCGGTTGGCGAGTGCATCGACTACAACGAGCTTGTCCTTGATGACGCCGACAACCTGATCGAGATCAATCGTGGTCCTGGTACCAACACCCACGGTATGGTTGGATGGCTCGTCACTGCCTGGACTCCTGAGTACCCCAAGGGCCGTCGCTTCATCATCGTGGCCAACGACATTACCTTCCAGATCGGTTCGTTCGGTCCCTTGGAAGACAAGTTCTTCCACAAGTGTACCGAATTGGCCCGCAAGCTTGGTATCCCGCGTCTCTACCTGTCTGCCAACTCGGGTGCCCGTATTGGTATGGCTGACGAGCTGATCCCCTACTTCAGCGTCGCCTGGAACGATCCTGCCAACCCCCCGGCTGGTTTCAAGTACCTGTACTTGACCCCTGAGGTTAAGAAGCAGTTCGACGCCAAGCAGAAGCAGGAGGTCATCACGGAGCTTATCACCGACGACGGTGAAGAACGCCACAAGATCACCACCGTCATTGGTGCCACCGATGGCCTGGGTGTCGAGTGTCTCAAGGGCTCTGGTCTCATTGCCGGTGCCACCTCGCGGGCCTACGAGGACATCTTCACCATCACCCTGGTCACCTGCCGTTCCGTCGGTATCGGTGCTTACCTTGTCCGTCTCGGACACAGAGCCGTCCAGGTTGAGGGCCAGCCGATCATCTTGACTGGTGCTCCCGCCATCAACAAGCTGCTTGGTCGTGAGGTCTACACTTCCAACCTGCAGCTCGGTGGCACGCAGATCATGTACAAGAACGGCGTCTCGCACATGACTGCCAACGACGACTTTGACGGTGTGCAGAAGATCGTCGAGTGGATGTCTTTCGTCCCCGACAAGAAGGGCGCCCCCATCCCCATCCGCCCCTGGTCTGACGACTGGGACCGCGATGTCGCCTACTACCCGCCGCAGAAGCAGGCCTACGACGTCCGCCATCTCATTGGCGGTAAGGAGGATGAGGAGGGCTTCCTGCCCGGTTTGTTCGACAAGGACACCTTCGAGGAGGCTCTTGGCGGATGGGCTCGCACTGTCGTTGTTGGTCGTGCTCGCCTCGGTGGTATCCCCATGGGTGTCATTGCTGTCGAGACCCGCTCGGTCGAGAACGTCACCCCTGCTGACCCTGCCAACCCCGACTCTATGGAGTTGATCAGCCAGGAAGCCGGTGGAGTGTGGTACCCCAACTCCGCGTTCAAGACTGCTCAGGCCCTGCGTGACTTCAACAACGGTGAGCAGCTGCCCGTCATGATCCTGGCAAACTGGCGTGGTTTCTCTGGTGGTCAGCGCGACATGTACAACGAGGTGCTCAAGTACGGTTCATACATCGTCGACGCACTCGTCAAGTACGAGCAGCCCATCTTCGTGTACATTCCTCCCCACGGCGAACTCCGTGGTGGTTCGTGGGTCGTCATCGACCCCTCCATCAACCCCGATCAGATGGAAATGTACGCCGACGAAGAGTCCCGCGGCGGTGTCCTCGAACCCGAGGGTATCGTCAACATCAAGTACCGCCGCGACAAGCAGCTCGACACCATGGCCCGCCTGGACCCGACCTACGGCGAGCTCCGCCGCGCCCTGCAAGACACCACCCTCAGCAAGGAGCAACTCTCCGAGATCAAGACCAGGATGGCCGCCCGCGAAGAGCAGCTCCTCCCCGTGTACATGCAGATCGCCCTGCAATTCGCCGACCTGCACGACCGCGCCGGCCGCATGCAAGCCAAGAACACCATCCGCCGCGCGCTCACCTGGAAGAACGCCCGTCGCTTCTTCTACTGGCGTCTGCGCCGCCGTCTCAGCGAGGAGCTCATCGTCAAGCGTATGGTCGCTGCCGCCCCTGCTCCTGCTGGTACTGGCAACGGCGCCATCGCCGCCAACGTCCCCGCGCCTGCGGGGCAGACAGAGCCCTCTCGCGCCTCGCACCTGCACACTCTGCACGCGTGGACGGGCATGCTGAACGATGAACTCGAGAACGACGACCGCAAGGTGGCGACGTGGTACGAGGAGAACAAGAAGGCGATCCAGACGAGGATTGAAAGTCTGAAGACGAAGTCCGTTGCGACGGATGTGGCGTCGCTGCTTATTGGTAACAAGGAGGGTGGTTTGAAGGGTGTGCAGCAGGTGCTTAGCATGTTGCCTGTTGAGGAGAAGGAGGCTGTTCTTAAGTATTTGTCTTCTTAGTTTACTTTGTGATTTGATGTTTATATGCATGCATGGATATAAAATGGGATGATTGGTTTTGTTTGGTGTTGAGATTGTTTGATGATTTATGTCATGTTATTGAGCAGCATTGATTAATACATTTCTATATTCTATTCGATATGCTACGATATCCCAACTATGGCCTAGCACTGAAAAGCAACCCCCGTCTTCGTCGCAACATTCCCTCCCCTCCCCGCAAACCCCGTCCCCTCCGAACAAACCTCCACCAAACCAGGCAATATCCCCTCCTTATCCTTCTTTGACTTCTTCTTTTTCTTGCCGTTATGCTCCGCATCCACATTATCATCCCTCGGAGGACCCCCGGGCGTCACATCCGCCTCGCAGACGTAGCATAGTATACGGCCTTGTAACCCGGCTGTATGTTCCTGTTCTTCTTTTGTGGCGTGCGGGTCGATGGTGTCGTGGGGGGTCATGAATTTCTTGACGCAAGGTTGGCAGATCATGTGGCCGCATGGTTTTGTTACTGCGTTGTGTTAGCAATTGCATTCCAAGACTGCGTTTTCAAGAGGGGGTAGACATACGCATAGCTCGTAACCCATTACTCAAATCCTTCTTGCAACTCGGACACACCCGCGCGACTGATCCGTCTGATGCTTTTTCTTCTGTGAAATGGACCTCCACGAGGGCTTTGAGCGAGTATGCATGACGGTTCGTGTCTGACGAGGCGGGGCATATGGGCGTTAACTTGATATCTTTATTGGCGATGATTTCGTTAATGTCGGTTCCGGGTGTGAGCGAGGGGACCCAAAACGAGGGTAGAGCGGATTTGTTCGATTCGGACTGTTCGTCGTCAGCACAAACATATAACACCAGAATAATGGGAAATACCTTCTCCCTCTTCAACTCCTCCTTCAACCTCTCCTCCTCCTCCCTCGTCACCCTCGCCAACTCCTTCTCATCCAGCTCAAACATCTTCTTCCTCTTCCCCCCAACCTCAACCTCCCTCTCATCCCCAACTTTCCGTTTTTTATTATTCCCTTTATCCTCAAGCCCCATACTAACCATCTCAAACTCCCTAACCTCCCTCTCCCTCGCCTCTTCTTTCACCCTCTCCTCCTCCTCACCAACCCTCCTCCTCGCTTCCCCCCTCTCTTTTTCGAGGCGTTTAATCTCATTCCGCTGAGCAAGTAAATCACTAATCGCGCACTCGCGACAGAATAAATCCCCGTTAATCGCGCACGCGACGGGCGAGCGCGCGGGTTGTAAGCATAATCGGCACGAGGCGAAGGGCAGGAAGGAGTCGCGGGAGATTAGAGAGCGTTGGGTGCCCCAGTTGTTGCGCAGGAGGGAGCGTTCGTACGAGGTGAAATGGGGGAGGGAGGTGTTGCGCTTTGAGTGGGCCATTGTGCTTTTGTCCGGGGAATTCGACTGCGTTTTCTTCTTGTTTTGGAGAATTGATGGCGTAGATAGTAGAGTTGAGGTATTTGAGAAAATTGAGAAAAAGAGGAATTAGGTGGTGGATATTGTATTGGAAACCGATAGAGCTAACTAAGTTGATGAGCTCAAATCCACCTAACAGGCATGACATAATCATTTCCTTTTTCGGACTAAATTCCAACCCTACTGTACAAGTACGTACATGATTTCTGCGGAAGCATTGGACCTTCTTTCTCCGTTCTCAGTTCGACCTCACGCTGCTTTTTGCTCCCTGAGCAGCCTGGAGCGTGTCTAGAGCAAGGAAGTGCATATCTGGAGTGATCAGGGGCGGTGCTGGGCCATTCAGGAGCATAACCTCCCAATTGCTCAGTGACTTGGACAAGTAATGTGTAATCTGTTATTTCTAGGACAAGAGGAACATTGGTAATTTAGTGACCACAAAAGCTGAACTAAGAGCATGGGGTGAAGTTGAGCAGAACCACATCAGAAGTATTTTTATTGTAATGGTCGTATATGTACCATTGGAAACCACAAGCGAGTAATTGAGTGGAGGCCAGGGAAGAGAACACCTTGGAAGAGTCTTTGCTGTATTGATTGTAATTGCAACATTTCCTTGTCCGGAGTCCCGGGCTGTACGTAACTACGTACAAACTAGACATTTTCATGAAAAAGAGACTGGTACTTGGCAATATGGGCTAAATATGGCTGCATCCAATATGCAAAGTGTCCCGCGATCTGTCTGTAGTGATTGGGCATGACCGGGGTACTACTTTTGCTTTCTTCTGAATGTGAGGTAATCGGGGTTTAACCTGGCTTCAGTGTTGAATGCTAGCACCATAAAAGCTGGTCAGTTTCAGATTTGTCCTTGAGGCTGTCTTGTGCACTCCACATTGCAAAAATTTCTTGCACAAATCGGAAGTTTAGAATATCGGATTCCCTATAAGATCTCTTGGTATATACGGAATATTGAGGTTTCTCATTTAGGATTGGAAAAGTTACGGGCGTTTCTCAAAAGCGAACCTATCAAACAATAGCTTCTTGCAATCTCTGTAGCCGGCCCTTCAACAGCCAGGAAGCCCTCAACCAGCACATCAGGGACTCGCCTGCCCATGCAACTTTATACTGTGACCTGTGTGGCCGTTCATTTGGCAGCCAGGAAGCTCTCGATCAGCATGTCAACTCACCTACTCATGCCCGTTCATACAGCTGTGACCGGTGTGGCCGCTCGTTTGGCAGCCAGGAAGCCTTCAACCAGCATGTCAAGACTCACCCACTCATTTCCAGTTGCCTAAAACACCCTTAAATGGCTTTTTCCTGTCCTTCTCAGATTTCGATTTTGACCCGAACTTACCACCCGCTGAATCATACGCACGTTTACAGAGATTCTATGCCTGGGAACGAGGCGATGAAGAATCTTCCCAAGCTTGGGATGAATACCAGGAAGCTCTTACCGAGGAATTCGAGCTGTGGTTTGGTTCGGAGGATGATATTGGTGCCTGGCATTCCCTCCGTCGCGCTGTAAGGGTTGAGCCTCTACTGAGGACATGCTCTGAGTGCAAGAAGGTACAGTACTATAAAGACTCCAATGCTATTCCATATTACGAGTGGGGACAAATAACAAAGAAAACAATAGGCTGTACGGGGCTTATATGTCAATATCATCGACCTAATTGACTGGGCTCGCAGTGGGGGAAATGGCAGTGGAGTACATCTATTCCAGAGCCTACAGCAACTACGCCAGTATATAAAGGATACTAGCAAGGTTTTCCAGAATGATCTCAACCGGTCAGGCAATGGGAATGCTGTGTTAAAAACATCTGCTACGCTTTATATTTCGTGGTTCGTGAGACAGATCCTCATCGTAATGCACAATTCAGAATGCTGCTATTGGGAGTGTTTCGTGGGGCTCCTAGCAATCTTTTTCCAAGGGGCGTCATTAATCTATTGAACTTATAGGTTCGGGTTTTAAGTATGGTAGACGACGGGGAACCAGCTGGCGATGCGAGTGCAGATACCCTAGGATATCGTGCAGGTTGAGAATTGATGTTGATTAGGAGCCGACCCCAATCCCAGCAAACCAAAACCAAAAACAAACCAACTGAACTAGCTAAAACTCTCCCTCATAACCTCCTCCATCTCACCCACCTCCGTCTGCTTCCACACCACCTTCTTCCTCGCCCCGACATCCTGAATAACCATCCGCAACAACTGTCCACCGCCGCCGCCGCCGCCGCCGCCGCAGCCACTACACGTTTCATCGCTGCACTGCTGGGTTCGTTCAGGAGATGGCATCGGGGATTTGCCTTTCTTTGAAGCGGTATATTTCTGCTTGACAGCGTACTGGTCGACGAAATCGTTCACCACGCCGAGCCAGAGTGAGAGAAAGTCTTTTTCGGGATCGATGCATTCCTCGCTTCTCTTCTTAGCCTTCGCGTCCTTCTTCTTCCTGCGCCTCTTCTTGGAAGCCGGGACGGGTACAGTATCAGGAACCACCTCAAACCGATGGCCATGCTCCTCCATCTCCTCATCCGGCACCCTCAAATACCTCTCCACCCGCACATATTCCCCGGGGCCAGCCCCCATCATAAACAAATACGGCTGTGCCTCCGTCCTATGCCCCAAAAACACATCCGCCTGTTTTATCACACTCAGACCCCTACTCGAAATCCCAAATCCTGGCATCGCAGACATACACTCAAACCACTTAACCGCGCGTTGAAAGAGATAACCCGTCGGGCCCTGCAAGACTTCAGTGAGTTTGAGGATCATAAGCAGGAAGCAGCGGATTCGCGCGATGTCGGAGTGGTATCCTGCGATGAGAGCGCATTTCGCCCAGACCAGCGCGAGGCGGGTATCTGCGATGCCGCAGTCTGTTAGTTTATCGGTGATGCGGCAGGCGGCTTGGTATGCGAGGGCTGGTTCGTCGGTGATGAGTCGTGGGTTGCTGAGAACGTGTTCGAGACGGTAATAAGTCCCCAATGCATCCTCGATCTCGGCCTTTGGATGCAAGCAACACCGACAGGAACACCTGAACCCTAGCAGATCCAGCGCGTAGAGACGACGATACTCAGCCTCGCCCTTGGCATAGAAATACGAAATCGTAATCTCCTGACCCTTGTATATATCCACGAAGCTGCGGACGACTGCACCAGCCAGTCTAGGTTTCTTGTAGCGCCGGCCGCTGTCGGAGCGGTACTTGTTGACTAGGGTTAGGGAAGCGTTGGGGAGACACGAGTGGTTTGTGAAGGAGAGGTTTAGGCCCAAAACGCCGCCAGATACACCGTTCCAGGTGACGGAGATGTGGTAGCGCTTCCAAATACTGGTGTAGGGGCCTGTGCCTGGTTCTTTGTGGTCGTTGGGTTTGGGCATGCTTAGATGGGCGGTTTTCCAATCCGATCCCATGGCGGTGACTTTTGCCTTTAACAACGCATCAACATCACCACCCCCGGTCGAATACTTGCCCTCTTCTCTCTCCGTAAGATGAACCAACTGATCCGCGTAGATAATACTACCAGCTGGAATAAACTCCCTCGCGATAAGTCCGTAACCAGTCTCCTTGTTGATGAATGCGCGGTGGTATTTCCAACGCTGAGGGTCTTGCTCGGTGTTTCCTGCTTGTTCGGCTTGGCAGGCGACGCAGTCTGGTGCTATGCAGTCTGTTGTGATGCTGGGAGAGGGGGTGGGTGTTGGTGTTGAGATTTGGGTTGGAGAGGAGCCTTGTTCCGAGCTTGGGGGACTAGGGTTGCGATTTATATCTTGACCCTGATCCTCACCCTCGTCCTCGTCCTCAGAATCGGAATCTTTAGAGTAGGGACCTGGGGCTCCGAGTAATTTTTCTACCCAAAATTAGCATCTTCTATTTTATTTATTCTGTTCTGCGAAGAAGAACTCACGTCCAGGATTATACCCCACAAGCCTCACCATATCCACACCCACATCGCTATCCCCAGAACCATCACCAACCGGCTCAGCTGCCAAATTAACAGAGAGTCCCCTGGCCAAAAAGCCAAACAGAGGGCAATTCCAGCGACGGGACCAGAAGGAGCGGGTCATTGGGCATGATTTTATCCAAGTTTTCGGGAAAGTAAAGATGGTTGTCCAAGTTGGGTCGAGGTTGGAAGAGAGGGTATCCAAACTCAAGGTGGGAGGTAGCAGAGAACTGGGGGAAATAAGAGAGAGAGAAAGAAAGAGAGTGAAGAATGGGAGAAATTCGAATCTTTGTTGTGGGTGAAGGGCATGCAAATAATAGTGTTGTGTTTGTCGATGAGGATTCAGAAAGAGCTTCCATATTGGGAATGCACAGCACTACACAAAAGTGCAAGAGAGTGACTTAAAACAATGCCTTCCTAGATTTGATACTGTCTACTCATGTATTCTAAGCGCCAGCGTCATTGTCATGCTATCAAAAAACCTCTTACAAACAAATGGTACCTCAGGACAAGGGACCGAGAGAAGGGAAAATAGCGCGAAAAGAAAAAAAGTCCAATATTGTTAGACATCAAGTCCGTCCAGTCCTATCTAATATCCGGAAAGATAACCATGCAAAATACAAGATATAGCAGACAAGTTTATTGCAGAAGACAGGCTCGTAACCACTTTTCCGAGACAACTATCAAGACATGCGCTGATCAAAGACATAGCTGACAACAGACAAACCAACAAAACTAAAGTGCGATGTATGGGGTATAAGCGTCATAAACGACAAAGGAAAGTAGAAATGGAAAACACAAAAAACAGAACACCTCAAACCAAAGCGGTGGTCGCTCATGCATTAACAGCCTGCTCAGGGGCACTGGCCTTTGTTGTCTCCTGCGTGGTCTGCTCAAGAGGATCAACGTCTTCAGAACCGTCGGCTATCGCCAGTCGTCCGTTCAATGTTGGTGCCCGTGGAGGGGTCTCGGTAGATTGGTGATCCCCGTTGCCGTTTTCTGTCGGGATCTTTTCGCCCCATTTGAAGATTCCAAGTGCTTCGGGAGCATCGTCATTCCCGCGGAAGCTCTTCGTTGCGGTACTTGAACTTCGTAGAGACTGGGGACGGTCGCCAGCTAATTCCGAGTCGGCAATACTAGCCGTGGTAGGATCAGACCGTGGCTCATCCGACGACGACGGAGTAGGCTTTCGTAGCTTCAGTCGCTCTTCAGGTGGCATATTTTGCCATTCGGATCCAAAGGTGACAATGGACGCCTTCTTGCCGTGAAAGTTGAAACTGGGCGTCTTGCGGGGAAGACCTTCATCTTCCTTTGTTGGCCCTTGCTCCTCTCCGCCACCCGTAGAACTAGATACCGAGCCCCGTGTCTTCTTGTTCCGGATATGGTTGCCGTGGTGAGATTCACGCAAACTGCGGTGTAGACTGCGACGGGTGCGCTTAGATTGCTCTTCCTGAGGTGTTGCCTGAGGACCGTCTGGAAGCTTCTCATCGTTGCCATTCTTTTGTCCTTGCGATGAACCGTTGGCCTCCAGCAGACCCGTTTCACGGAGAAGGCGCTCTTCATTATCATCAATGCTGGCTTGGGAAGCCAATTTGGAAGCATGAGAGTTCAAGCTTGAAACATCCATCTTGCTGCCTGAGCTAAGCACTGAGGTCTTTCGTTCCAGTGCATCCGTCTGGACGGGTGAAGAAGGCGCCTGGTCTTTCGTGGCATCTGCAGAGGCCCGTCTACCAGACGCGACAGATCTAAGACTTGGTCTCCGTTCCTCAATCAGCCCGGGTTGCAAAGACACCTTGTCGACATTCTCAGAGGCATCTGGCAAAATAAGAGTGTCGTCATTGATAGGGGACTCCGGTTTCACAGTCAAATTCTGATTCGACTTGCCCGAATCGGGTCGGAGTGCGATGCCTGCCGTCGGAATCTGCAGGTGCAAAGACTTCTTCCGTTCCGCACTAGCTTCGATATCTACGCCCTCTTCGCTAAGGTCCCGAACGAGCACTTCGCGGTGACATTTGGTGCGCCAGATATCTTGCCTCACCCATTTGAGCTTAGCAGCCATGCGGCCAGCCGCCATGAGGACCTGCTCTCTTGCTCTTGGATGCACGGGGGTGAGAATCTGCAGGTGTCGAGCATTCCGCAACAGATCATCAAGTTGTTTCTGACAAACAAAGAGTTTCTCATTAGCCTCACGAATCCTCTGCACCATCATCTGCTGACGGGCCGCAACCAGCTCATCAGAAACGTCGGTGTCAGGATTAGGCGACGGTGGCTCCATGCCCGCAGGGGCAGACTGGTTGGAATCGGTACGACCCATGCGATTCCGCTGCGCATCATAACCGTTGGCGATCATCCCTCTTGTCCGTACACCGGTGGTCCTAAATGCTGAGGCGTAGTTGAGCTTTGCTATCCAATCGTTCATGTCCTCATCACTGTTGGCTAGGAAGATCTCCTCTAACGAATTGTGGCGAACAAACACAAAAGCGTGCTTGTGCTTCTTGTAATTGGAATCCAACAGAGCCACGGCATCATCCGTAGACATGAGGCCATCCGGACTGAAATCGGTGAGAGGTGGTTTGAAAATAACCGCCCGACCACTGCCTTCCTTCTGCTGCTCCTCGGACTGAGAGATCAACGACTTCACCCAGTTGACATCCCGGAAGAAATAAAGTTGGGAAAATGTAAGGAGTGCACCCCATTCCTGCCAGGGTGACCTGCCTCGCTTCTTCTTCAGATCTTTCCGCCAGAGTAAGCCAACCTTGGCAACCTTGATATCAACCAGTCCAGGATTCGAGTCGGCCGGATTCTGAAGACTTGCCGGCATGAATGCATCTGGCCGGGAACGCGCGGACACGATTTGCAACACGCCAGTCTTAGCAAATGCTCGATGGAGGCTCCTCATATCAGGCGGCCCTTCGGTACCGTTGCAGCTGTAGAATTCGTCGAGATCCATGACGTCCTTCAGACTTGGACGTAGTGCGTCGAGTTTTCCGTCCAGAATGAGTGCGTAGGGATCAACCGGTTCTTTCGACGCGCGACCAAGATGTTCAGAACTGGTGGATTTGAACAATGTGCGTCGGGGTTTGATGAGATGGCGCCCGTGGGGATTCGCGTCTTCGATGTGAATGAAAGGCGTATAGCAGATATTCTCATAATAACATTCCAAGATGTCGTCCGCGATGCCTTCGCCACGAGTATTCTTGACATAATCTGGTTTTTGCATTTTTCGCTTATTGTTCCGGTTGAAGACATCCGTGTGCAAGATCAATATCGAAAATGCAATGAAATATGCCTGGTCTATGTCGGAGTCAGTATATGGTGACCAAAAAAAAAAAAAAAAAAAAAAAGGGACATGGGAATACGCACCAGAATGAGCAAATATCCCCGGATTGCACTCATGATACCTGTCCGCAAACGCTTGCAAGAACCGGTCAATCTGCTGGGTCTCCTTTGGCAGTTCCATCTCCATCAAGAGCTTCCGAATTGCCATATCGATTGGATCCCCAAAGTACGAAAACCAACGCATGCACTTCCGCAGGGCCGTGAGATTAAATTCCTCGCCTGACTGGGCCAGCAAGCCGGCGATAACGCCTTTCGGGAGGCACTCTTCCAACCGAGACAGATACATGGCGGGGGTGTCACTTTCTTGCCGTGCCGGATATGATAGCGATTTTGTCGGCGTTGCAGTACCTGGAGTGCCATTGCGGGGTGCTGGAGGCTCGGAGTTCTGCCTCAACCGTTGTGGGAGATTGAAGATATCACCAAAGCTCTTGCGTCCACTTGTCGAGGTAGAGGTCCGGTTAGACGGCGCCATGAAAGGTGGCGCTTGATTTCCACCTTGATCGTCCGCGATGGAGTCCAAAGTTGACGATCGTGCTCGAGTCTCTGCCTGGTTGTGCTTCCGATTCGATGAGAACGATGCAACCGAATGAGTGGAATTTGTTGATTCGTTCCGGATCATAGGAGGTCGCCCTGAGAAACCCACCGACGAACGGGTTGGCGATGGCATTGAGGAATAATCCTGGCCGTCCTGAGAGGTTTGTGGCCTTGGGGCACCGTCGGGAACCGGGACTGGCTGGGGACCAGTCGATGGCGGGCGATCGAAGGTCGGTCTGGGAGGTAGGGGAAATGGGTTTCGGTTCCGTTTGAGACGAGGCAGGCGAAAACGTTTGTTGAAAGACAACGATCCTTCATTGGGAGAGGATGCTAGATGGTGGCCACCCTGCTCTCCTTGACTATGGTCGGAACGAGACGATTCAGAGAATCGGGCGTCTGTCACGGTCGATGAACGGTAAGAATCGTTGGTGTGTTCTCGGCTGTTGCTTCGCGCTGATGTTGTTGACAATCGCCCCGGCTCCTCCGCACTGCCCCGCGGCGTCGACAGGGGATTTTCCATGTGAGAATCTCTTGAGTCTTGAGCACCATGTCTAGACGGAGGTGCGTCAGATGCGGGTTGTCGATCGGCCGTCAGATCCTCCATGGAAGGCCTTTTCGATGCGGACAAGATTTTGAACATGCTTTTTCGCTTGACAGGTTGGTCCAGCTCATGGCTCGTGGGTGCAGTAGTGATGATAGTAGGTGCTGTGAAGGGAAAAGAAAAGGGGGAAGAGGGTTAGCTACTTGAACTAGCTGCGATAGCGAAAGAAAGGGAGGGTTCCACAACACTTACGTGGAGGCAGGGGAGGGACCGGAGGGGGCTTTTGCTCGGCCTTGGCGTAAGATTTAGACAGTTGGGGATCGGATGCATGACGGAGCCTCATAAAGCTAAAACGGTTCCTGCGTAGGCTCCCGCTCAATGCTTCGCCAGGCGATTGGGAGGCAGGGGAGTTTCCCGTGTTATTGTTGTTGTCCGTGCGGTCTCCGGGCACCGCTAGATGGGAGGTGCGATTGTCACCGTTGGCAGCATCATCATCGTCATTGTCATCGCCATCATCATCTGCACCAGTCAGACGAGGGGTACGAGGAGTAGACTCCGAGTGCCGGGGAACAAGGTTGGAGGTCGAGACGGACGGGCGAGGCAATTGTTCACTATGACGGGATTGAGAATGCGAAAGATCGATCACGCTCCGTCGCTTAGAATCGGTGTCATCGGGAATGCCAATGCGCAAGCCTCTCCAAGGCATGGCTACGAGGAGGACAGGGCCGGGTGGTGAGTGCCGCTATGCGATTCTGCTCCACAGTCTTGAGTCCATCCGAGGTACGGAGTATGTAGCAGCTATACAAGAAGTATTTTGGTGTGGTTATGTGTTTTGCGGAGGTGGGTCGTAGGTGGTTGTTTGTTTTCTTGTGTTCAATGCCAGCGAGATCCTCCTACTGTGCAGTATAATTGTACTCCGGAATCGTGGTGTCACAAGCGATACAGACGGGATATTTTGCGCGAGGATCTTAGCGGGACGATAGCATTGCGAGAATCGAGGAGAACCGAGGGGAAATTCGAGGAAACGGTAGCGACGGCGAAGGTATGAGACGGAGAAGACAACGAAGGGAACGACGGAGGTTGGTAGTGGCGGTCGTAAGGCGGCCGTTGAAAGTCAGAGGGATCGAAAAGGGGAAGGGGCTGAACGGGTTGAAGCGATTGAGCAAAAGGCAGAATAAAACTGGATCAAAAAGAGGTGGTTCTCGGTAGAGTAGGAACAAGACGATCGCAAGTCTTACATGCCTGTCAGAGCAATGGGAGAACAAGCCGTAAAGTTGTGGGGGGGATAAGAAACGAGGAATTGCGTGTCGTGTTCTAAACTGGGGAGCGTCAGTCACCATTCAGTCATGATTATTATTAGCTGTGGCCGTTATGAAAGGTCTTGGCCCGTGAGTAGTGGAGGGGCAGTCTTGCTAACCGTGGGTTCACCCGGTCGGGACCAGTCGGAGAGTATCTGGAGAGTCTAGACTGACTGGCACGATAAACAGAGACACACAGAGAGAGGCGACAAGTTGATGGCGATACTGAGAGAGAGAGAGAGAGAGAGAGAGAGAGAGAGAGAGAGAGAGAGAGCGTAGGGGAGTAAGATAGTATGGAGGAAGTGAGAAAAGAGAGATGAGACAGACGATGATGCAGCACGGGACCAGGCACGTGTTGAGGCTCCTCCAACTTCATCAGCATCGCATCATTGCATTTTTTTTTCTCAGTCAGGATGATGTTTGACACCCACAATGTCTTTTAACTTGCGGTTCCTGGTTCCTGTCCTTTGCTACCATGGCTTACAGACAAAAAGCAGGAAGTGACCGACACTGAGGTAACCCTCTATTTGTACTGCATTCTATTCAGGACCAGGATACACCCCTAACAGAGATTGCTTCAGTCTGCACCTATCCACGGAAACCTACGGCACTTCTACGACACTATCTGATAGGTTTGAAAGGCTTTGAAACGCGAATACTTCGTCTGTCCATGTTTGACGACTGAAACAAATCTCTACTCGGGACCAGAGCTTACAACAACCCAAGGAAGAGATACAAAAAGAAAAGGACAGACGATGGGGATACACACTGAAAGTATCTGCATGCAGGTAAAATAATGAACAACCGGCATACGGACAATTTATAATAGTTTACTATCACACAAGCTCAGCATCAACGCACACCCAGTCGCAATGCCAATGTGTCCAGGATGTTTTGAATTCGGACTAGACTACACCTCATATCGACTAAATACTTCATCCGCCTGAGCAAATTCTCGCTCAATCGTGCTCCTCCGTGCCTCAGACCGTGGAGTAATATTGACAGCAAAAGGCTTTGCACATCTCAAAAACCCATCCGTATACCCAGTATGCGGATCCGTATTGATCGGTTGTCCCTTCTTGGCACGAATGTCAAACGCCCACAAAATCTTGGCAATTGCCACGAACAACATCCGTTCTGCGAGATGGATTCCCGGGCAAATCCGTCGACCAGACCCGTAGCCAAAGTGGTCGCGGTTCTCCGCGTCAGCAGCTGAAGCGTACACAGGAGCGGGCTCGGTCCGGCCCTGGAACCGGAGGGGGTCGAAGACGTCGGGGTTAGGGTGTCTTGTAGGATCGTGGTGCAGACCCCATGTGTTGATGATAACGGTGCTATTTGCAGGAATGGTCATACCATCGATCATCGTTTCTGACTATGGTCAGCATATTGTCTACACTCACGAGCGCAGGACATACCTTTATTGTTTGCATGGGGAAACCCTGTAGGCATCACCGGCCGCCATCGCATCGCCTCCTTGACTGCCATGGCCACATACGGCAGACGGGCGTAATCCTGCCAATCGGGTGATGCGTCTTCACTGAATAATGCGTCGATTTCCAGTTGAGCCTTTTGCTGCACCTCTGGGTAACAAGCCATGGCCTGGATAAATGCAATGGTCATAATAGACGAAGTATCCGACCCGCCCTCAAGCAGGTTGCCAACCATAAGATCGATCTCGTGACGCGTAAGCTGTAGTTTCTCTTGCTGATCCAAAATCCCATCGAGATACGTGTTCCGGGAGCCGGATTCCTCGCGTCGCTGCAATACACGGTCCACCAGAGGGTTATATAGATTGAGCATTATGTCCTCAACGCGGCGCGAGCGGCTCTGCCAATTGTTGAAAAGCGACTCGGGGATATGTTTGAAAACCGGGAAGATATCAACCGGAGGAGTAGCGCCCATCTCAAAGATCTCAGACATGCCGTCAAGAACAGCATACAGGTCCTTCATATGCTTAGCCGACGGCGACACCGTACGAATTCCAAGAACTAGTTCACCAATATCAGTTCAAAATCCCCAATCTACTTCCACAGGAGAACATACTCAAACTCATAACCACACTATTAGTATACCGCTTACAATGCGCCATAAAATTCTCCGGCTGCAAACACATATCCCTCAACAACTGCGCCGCCTCAGCCTGCTGCACAACCACATGCTGACTCTCGCTAACGCCCTCATTAAAGTACTGATGATACAAGCGCCGTCCACGCCGCCATCTCTGGTCCACATTCATGAACATGAGATGGTCGCCGTGCATCATGAGTTCATCGGCGATGTAGAAAGGAGGCCGGTTGCTGAAGTAGGCGGATTGTTTGTCGATGAGCTGCTTGACTGCTGTTGGAGAGCTGAGCACTACGGCGGTGCTGGGGCCGAGTTTGAGGGAGAAAATGCCGCCGTATTTGGTGGCCCATTCTGTGAATCTTCTACCATTAACATATATCTATATGCAAGGTGGTGGTGGTGGTGGTGGTGGTGGTGGACATACTTGAGATGAACGCCTGCCGGGGGCAGTTGATGGAGATTTCCAATCAGAGGAAGACATGGAGGGCCTACATTAAGTCAGTTGACTTATCCAATGCCTCTTAATACCGATAATGATTCTCACCTGGTGGGAGACTCTTCCCTCTGGTTCCGGGCAGCTTCCCCGAGAACCCCCCGACAACCAAGACCACAACAAGAACAACACAACACAACAAGGCGGTATACATAGTTATTGCAGAAAGAGTACTATTTTTCTCGACTAGTGCATCGCAAACTATATACCCGGCGATCTGCCGATCAACCCTATGCAGGTGTGCATCGGCTCGGATCCCACTTCAGCCGCACGAAAGAACAATGCGCGATACGAGAACCAATAAACTTCACATCCCCCAGCTGAATTTGCAAGCGGCTAAATATCTCGATAGCATTCTAAGCGTGATACCAAAATGTCATTGCCGTCGTTCCTCTACTCCCAGATCTTCGTGGGTCTACCTGTGCCCGACCATGACTTCACGGGCCAAACCATCATCATTACCGGTGGTAGCACGGGTCTTGGTCTTGAAGCAGCTCGTCATTTTCTGCGGTTGAATGCATTGCATATCGTCCTAGGCGTGCGGAGCATGGAAAAAGGCAAGGCCGCCAAAGAAGACCTCGAAACCTCAACAAACCGCCCAAACACCGTCCGTCTCGAACATATCGATATGGACCGCTACGACTCAGTCAAGGCCTTCGCATCCACAATCCAAAACACCGTACCCAAAGTCGACGTCCTTCTGTTGAACGCCGGCAAAATCGCCGAGCAATTCTACCTGGCCGAGGAAGACGAAAGCACCATCACAGTCAACGTCGTCTGCACAGTTCTCCTGGGCCTCCTCCTCCTCCCCAAACTCCGCGAATCAGCGTCCCCTAATGGCCCCATACCACGGCTCTGCTTCGTATCCTCCGATCGCCACGTCATGACCAACCTCCCCGAATGGAAAACAGAAGACACCTTCGCAGCACTCCGCGCCCAAACTGATTCCGGCGCCGATGACCGCTACTACGCCTCCAAACTGCTTAATGTGATGATGTTCCGCCAGCTCGCCGAGGAGATCGCATCTTCCACGCCGCGCGTTGTAGTTAATGGCTTCACGCCTGGGTACTGCGCTACGGCACTTATCCGGGAGACGCAGGGGTTCTGGGGGTGGCAGCTTTATGTGATGAAGTTGACGATTGCGAGGACTATTGAGGTGGGGTCGAGGACGTTGGTGCATGCGGCAAGTCTGGGATGGGAGGGGCATGGGAAGTATTTGAATGATTGCAAGATTGATGAGTGAGTTTCCCTTGTTCTGGACTTTATAAAGCGGAGCTGATTATGAATAGGGGTGCTCTGTCGTCGTTCGTACGCAGTGAAGAGGGAAAACAGGCGCAGGTCAAGGTGTGGAAGGAGTTGTTGTACAAGTTGGAGAGGATATCGCTGGGGATATCGGGGAATCTGTCTGGTCATTAACTGGGTATCTTGAGACAGGGCTAGGGCTGCAAGTAAGCAAACAATTCCCACACAGATGTCTTTCTCCCAGTCTCTTTTGGTTTCGTATCTCTCGTTTTCCATGTATCTGGTTAGCTAGTGCTTTTTGTAGTTAGCCATAATAGCCTATTGATCTCTAATTATCCAACCTTTTCCATCGTCCCTACTCTTCCCAGCATCGACTGGTAGTACTTCTTGCAAACTTTGCAGTTTATCTTTCTCCAATCTGGGACTCGCAGACAACCATGACCAGCATATTACGTCAATCACCTAACCCATAACTAGCAGCTTGTTATCCTGGTCAACCTCAAAGTCACCTTACCCGCAGTTGGCACCTCTTCGATGTCGCTTGGGAGAAACGTCGGGGCAAAGGAAAAGGAAGAAGAGAAAGAGGAAGACAAGCCGCGACCGTTCGATGCCGGACTACCAAGCAACACCGCAGATGCAATTGGGCTCACTGCCAAGGCGATCAAGGCAGTCATCCCCAGGGAGCGAGACAAGGGCAGAGGAGCAAGCACCGTACATCCTTTTTTATCTGCGTTTCACCCGATGTTGTCAAAAACTCCCCCCACACCATCGACAGCAGAAACTTACGCATATATTACGACGAGAGCCTCAAACACTTGATCGTCAAGTTTGGTAGACGGCCTCCATGAGGTCACCGGAGTGCAGTTGGTCCGGTATACCCAAGGAGTTCACGGCAATGAACCTTGAGCTGGCAATTATCGGCACCGGATCGAAGCGAATCGAGGAAAAGCCACGAGGCAAAGAGCCGGACTCCTCATGGAGGCCCGTCAATCTACCGCAGAATCGTTCATTGAAGTGGCCCACTCTGGCCTTCGAATGGGGCTGGTCCGAGTCGCTGGAGCGCCTTCGCATGGACGCAGAGTGGTGGTTGATCAATTCGCATGGGGATGTGAAGGCGGTAGTGCTTTTAGTGTGCATGGAACCCAGCCGAGTATTGTATTTGAGGTCTGGATCGAGGATACCAACCCAGGAGGACTACGGCCCGGGCCCACTATGAGGAGTTCTCGCGTCTCTACAATGCGGGTTCAGCAGGTGACCGTCACTAAAGACGGACAGAACAACATCACAGTGGCCGGTGCCCCGCTTACGATTGACTTCGATCGAGTGTTTCTTCGGCCTGCGGTGCCGCCATTGGAGCGAAACATCACAGTGACCCAACAGCAGCTCGAGTTCATCGCCAGTGTCACCTGGCAAGAAGCGGGAGTGTGATAGGGCTAACTATGCAAACTGGATCATGTAAACAGTTTACCTTGTCACACTCAGGAAATACAAAGGCTTTTTTTTAAAAAAATCTAAGCGATGAATACATTGCAAAACTGGATAGTCATTGGCTTAAGTAGTGTGGAGTACACTTCGAGTCTCCGACCAGCCTGTGGTCGTAGGTAGGATATCAAGCATCATTGGCTTTATCTTTACCCGGTCTCCTCAAACTAAATAAGGAATATGCTCAGCTGGAACAACTTTATCGCACACAATAGTCCATGATTCCAAATGTCATAATGCATATAGCCCAAGTCACCTGAAAGCCCTTCCTCCCAAGTGGGATCCGAACCGGCGGGAATCACCACAAACCCTAATATATGAACCAACCAATAAACCCAGCATTCACAGTAATAGTACTCAGCTATCGCGACTATTATTACAGCAAAAAATAACAATGACTGCACTAGACGGTATTGCCATCGTTACCGGCGCGGGAAGCGGTATTGGCCGGGAATGTGCCCTGGGGTTTGCATTTTCTGGGGCAGCGGGTGTTGTTTTTGCGGATAGAAATCTTCCTGCGGCTGAGGAAGCTGCTGAGACTAGTCGCAGGATTGCTAATAATCATGGTTCTTATCACGCATTGGTTATTCAGGTGGATGTGGCGGACCGGCAGAGTGTCGAGGGGATGCTTTCGCAGACGCTGGAAAAGTTCGGACGGGTGGACTATTGTGTGAATGCAGCGGGTGTATGTTCAATATCTATGCCTGTTATAATAGAGTACAAGCTGACAGATCTAGATGGCCATGCGCCGGCCACGCAGTATTCTTGATCTGACACCCGACGAATTCGATCAACTATACAACGTCAACGTCCGCGGCACGACGAATTCCCTGCAGATTATTGCCAGACAGATGCAGAAACAAGAACTTCGCACAATATCCACCCGGAATGGTCCGCGCGAGATCGGTCGAGGCGTGATCGTAAACCTGGGTTCGATGCACTCACATATCGCTGCCAAGGATATTGCACATTATACTATGTCCAAGCATGCCGTTTTGGGGCTGACGAAGAGTGCTGGTTAGTTTCAACCCAAGTCAAGCATATATTTGCATAATAGGCGAGATAAGCTAACAAAGTATACTTGTACAGCCCTTGATCTCGCTCCACATGGCATCCGCGTCAACAGCGTTTGTCCGACATGGGTCGATACTCCCATGATTGACGCTGTCGAGGGGAGCGAGCAGCTCCGAGCCATGGTCAATAATGTTGTACCGCTAGGGCGGATTGCACAGCCAGACGAAGTAGCTGATGTGGTCTTGTTCCTGTGTAGTCCACAAGCTAGTTATGTAACGGGAAGTGGCTGGATGATCGACGGCGGATTATCATGTATGAGTAAACTCTAAATTTATATCGGTGAAGCAATCGGAATTTATATGACAAAGACTGCGTCTGATTTCCTGGGACGTCTGGAATCACAAAATGCTCATGTGCCTTGGATCGACTGGACTGCTGGGCTTGCTTAATGACTGACTCGTGTGCTGATCTCGATCTTCCCATGAGCGCCCACTCGTCCGATCCACTCAGATGGTCATTCCGAAGCCCATTCCTTATAGGGACAGGCGTACAGTCGCTTGTCTAAAGACATGTGGAACGGTGATCTCCGTACTTTGTCACAAATTCGACGCGGCATGGGGGGGGGGGGGGTGGTGAACTACGGAGTAGTCTAGTAGAAAGTCAATGATGGATGTATTCGGTTAATCTGCCAATTGCCGGACACCATGTCAACGCACCCGTATCTCAGAGTCTATCTGGACATCTTGGAGCAACCTCTATTGTTGTAGATCATACCGTATGTCCGGCGCAATTAAACAAAATCCTCGTTTTCATCCCTTAAGATTCCGAATCGGCGCCGAGTGCCTCGTATTTACCCTGCAGAGTTTGTAAAAACCCTTACCACATTCGGGTTCTGCTGCAGAAGGCCCCCACAGCCACTATTGTGGCTTATTGACAATAATAGGGACCATCAGCTTCAGCTCAGTCAACCTCCGACAATTGATTGACGCATTGCGATGTACTGTACTGTGTACGGTATAGCTCGGTATTCCCATGAGTTTCTGTACAGTCGGCCATGAGACTCGAATACCGAATTTTGAATGCTTTATTTCCTCAAAGACGAGGTCAAAATTGCAATGCAGCTCCATTGCATGGTAACAAGGCGGCAAATGCAGCACACAGGAACTCACATACTTGGGATGTTTCCCATGCTTCCCATGCTTCCCATCGTATCGATCGGTTGCATATATCAGTATGGTCTCTGCACCGTATTCGGCCGAGCTGTTCAACGAGACCCATGCGAACCGGTAGTTATGCGTTAACTCAATTCGGTAAGATCTGGGGCCTCTCAGACATCATGTGAGAAGACATTCAGCATGATGAAAGTCAATGTGGATTAACAGTCGGCCCGATTACCGAGACCGACAGATTCCTCATATAGGGACACCGTAGCCATGCTCTTTGGATGGTTAAGCACTCATTCTATCAATACGGTATCTATAGTTGTCAATACCACCCTCTTTCGTGTAATTCAAATTCCTCGCCTATAGCCTCGGGCAGTCCGAATTATCGACTCCCCGACTTCCCCGACATGGAGTTCAGCAGTAATCCACAAGCTATTGGTTCCAGATAAGCCCCGATAGGCACAACAGCAGTGGGGAGTGTTAATCATTCTCAATAAACATAGACCTGATTAGCGCAAGAGCCACATCCGAATCCAAGGCCCTGGGAAATGCAGATCGTGACATAAATGGAAGTGGAGTCATCTGTGGCCTTGCCCATATATCAACGTGTTGCCGGGCGTAGATCCTGTGTAGAGAGTCAATAAGCACAGAAAATGGACGTGAACTGGGATAATTTACTCCCTCAGAAAGCTTCGGTGCCGGCTTTCATCTGTCCAGCACCCAATTGCGGCAGGTCCTTTTTACGAAAGGGCCATCTGAACCGGCATCGTCGCAGTCACCGGCCATATCGTCCTCACAAATGTTTCATATGCTCTCGGAGTTTTGCCAGAAGGTTAGTACAGATAGACCCCCGCAAATAAATGGAAAGGGCCATCGAAACTAAAGCATGCTAGTGACATCCTCAACCGACACGTCCTCCTTCACAACGTCCCTCCCGAAGGCCCTAAACGAACCCTGCTTGCCTGCCAAACCTGTCGACGGCGAAAGATAAAATGCGATTCCAACGAGCCTTGTTCGACCTGCTGCAACCTGGGCATTCAGTGCGTCCGACAGCCGTCGAGCGTGCAGGCGGCCAATTTGACGGCAATAGAGTATGACACCAACGACGACACCGAGATATACTGTGATGACGAAGAGAAGGGAACGTCAAGTTTAAATGTTTCCCACGACGAGCTAGCCATGCGTCAAAGCAATGGTAAGGATCTTTTGCCGTTTCTGGTAGACAATGATACAGGTTGGATGGCCGAGGCTTCTGCACTATTTCTAGAGAGCACAATTAGTGAGGCCTCTATGCCTAGTTTCGGCAATCTCAAATCGCCGGGATCAGTGCCGACCTTGACTTGGTCCCCTCAGTTTGACTATCAATTGGAGCATACGTCGTCTGCCGCAGTTTCTCAAACCTCGTCGGATACACCTACACAGTCCAGTCTTGATGATTTCCACAGAATGTGGCCCCATATACACCAATTTACGATACAACACACACCACCATCCGGTCTACTAGGTCAGGCCTTGCAATCTGTTGCTCACAATACCACGAATATCCTTGACACTGTAACCCTGGATGAAATCGCAGGTCGGCTTTTGTTATCGCATCCTACCAGGAAACAATCTTCATCTGTTTCCCTTTATGATCTCCAGGCCCTGTCTGTAGTACTCATCACAACTGTTAGCCAGGAGATGACACCGGCTGTGGCCACTTGGGCTGCTCAGTGGATTGAGATTGCTGTCAGCGCTATGCGCCGCCTGGGGATATTAACCGAAGGCTCTTGGAAGCCGCCGAACAGCTCATCGCGGGCAGATGACGAAGCCTGGGTTCGAGGAGAAGAGAGTAAAAGACTCGTCTACACCATGCTTCGCATCGACACCTATCTCAGTATCATCACCGGCCGGCCCCCATGCCTTCGAGTCCAAGAATTGGAGCTTCCGCTACCCGTTACAGAGGATCTCTGGAGAGCACCGACAATCGAAGCCAGGCGACAACTGTACTGGTTTGAGCCCGCTGGGCGGACTTGGACCACACTGAGCGCCATCGTGCGAGATGGCCTCATCCAGTCTCGAAATCCAATTGCTGACACGGTCGGTATGCCTCCTTTGTTACCCGCAGATAGTCATTTGGTCCTCTGTGCCCTCCAAGGAGAAATTTGGGCGACGGCACAAGAGACGTATAGCCTCAACCATGGAACGTTAGATTTCAGACCATCCTGGCATGCACCCGAGTCTGTGCATTTCTGGCATAACTACCTTGTAGACTGGAAGACAATCCATAATAGACCTGAACCATCCTCAGCGCAGATCGACGACCCCGCATGGAATGGCCTCAACACAATACAATTCCATCTGTGCCAGTTGACGCTCCATGCTCCCTTGTCGCTACTCGAGTCGCAACAATGTTGCACACGCTGTCGTGCTGCGGATATCACAGCCATGCTGCACGATTGGGCATCGTCGTTGGAGGCTCGACGCGCGGTATATCATGCAGCCCAGCTGCAGCGTTTTTTTGACAGTCAGGCTGGGTTTGTCAATTCCTTGCAGTCCCCAGCACTTCTCGCCAGTTCTGTGGTCTTATGTAACTATGCTGCGGAAAGGAATCCCCTTCCTAATGGGGATCCTATCGAGCTGTGCCAGGAGGAAGTCAGCGGTTCGTCAGCTATTGAAAAATGGGTTCAATATGGAGGGCCCTCCATGGTTTTTGGGCGAATGCTTTGTCCAACGAACTTACCAGGACTGTTCGCATGGTGTCAAGAGCAGTTAGTGATGTTTCCGCAGAGCCTGGCAAGGTTGGAGGCGTTCATGGCGATGCTATCATAGTTTTCGAGGTAGTGAATCAGAATAATGCTGGGCGAGTCCGATGAGCGTGGTCTATTTAGACCAGTCATCGTGCTGTGCTATCTCCAAGTATCTTTCTTCGTCCCCTGAATAGAACCAGGTATAGAATAGGAATAGAGAAGACGGATGGAGAGGAATGAAGAGAGAAAGAGGGAGGCAGGAGGGACTAAGCTAAAAAAGGAAGGAGCCTGGATTACTAGTAAATGTTGACCACAAAATATATAGACAACTTTCAATACAGCTAATTAGGAAATATATATATATATATTTGTACTCCGGAATAGAACATGTTGAAGAATTGTTATGCCTGGCAAATGTAACCCTAGTATAGTTGCTGGGATGACTTCACCTCCGCTTGCCACCGACTCTTATCTTTCTTGCATCTCACGCACACTACTTTCTCTCCAAACATGACAATTCTCACCACTCGTTAATTCAATCAAAATGCATTTTTATCTTCTTCCTCTTCTTCTCCTCCTCCTCTTCACCAATCTCGTCTCTGCTATTCCCGCCAGTTCTAGTATCACCCCGCCACCTCCAGCCGAACCCGTTCAGCTTCTCTCGCAATCCTCCGATCCGTCGCGACCCTGGACCAGACTACGAAACTGGGTCATTGAGACTGTCTGGAATATCCCAAAATCTCCTTCGCAGCGACCCTTGAAAGATACTGGCCGGAATCGCTCACCTCCATCTCGGGTGTTGACGCGGTACGGCAGCGACGTCGTTCTCCGGTTTCGGGTACAACATGGCTACGAGGCTGAGGCTCTGGCGCAGGCCAGCGATATTTTGTTCTTAGATGTTTGGGCTTCGACGCCGGAGTTTGTGGATATTCGACTGGCGCAGGAAGTAGTGAGTCTGAATCTACACGGTTTGATGGATGAAGTGTTGACAGCATAGATTCCCTCGTTATTAGGCCTCCTGCCTGATTCCCTGCGAACCGCTTACACCCCCCTCATCGATAACCTCGCGGAATTAATATATGCATCCTACCCGACGAAACAATCAATTGGCCTCGAAGGCCAGTCCGGATTTGTTTCTTTCCGCCCACCAGCGCAGGTCGCAGATCTCTTCTTCCATGACTACCAGCCATTCTCCGTCTTGGTGCAGTGGATGCGCCTGATGGCCTCCATGTTCGCGTCGCACACCCGTATAATCAATGTCGGTATTTCGCACGAAGGACGCGAGATTCCAGCTCTCCGTATCGGTGGAAAAAGCGACGCGTCGCCCGACTCGCCGCGCAAAACGGTCCTGATCACGGGAGGTTCCCACGCGCGAGAATGGCTCAGCACCTCGACGGTGACCTACATTGCGTACCAATTGATGGCCCAATATGGGAACTTGAAGGATATTGATCGTCTGGTAAATGCATACGACTGGGTACTGGTACCTACTATCAATCCAGACGGCTATGCCTATACGTGGGAGTCTGATCGTCTATGGCGCAAGAACCGTCAACCAACGAGCCTCCATTTCTGCCCGGGGATTGACCTCGACCGCGCCTGGGATTTCGGATGGGATGGTGAATCGACAAGATCGAACCCGTGCGCCGAGACATACGCCGGAAACGAACCATTTGAAGGCACAGAAGCGCAGCAACTCGCACAGTGGGCACTCAACGAAACGCAAGAGCACAATACCAATTTTGTCGGCTTCATCGACCTACATTCCTACTCCCAGCAAATTCTCTACCCATTTTCCTACACCTGTTCCTCCATCCCGCCTACCCTGGAATCCCTCCAAGAACTAGCCATGGGCATGGCCAAGGTAATCCGACGTACGACGCACGAAATCTACGATGTCACCTCAGCGTGCGAAGGAACAGTCACAGCCGGCGCCTTTGGTCCTGGCTCCGATGAATCGAAGCGGTTCTTCCCGCGCGGTGGGAGCACAGGCGGAAGTGCATTGGACTGGTTCTACCACCAACTGCACGCGGCGCATTCGTTTCAGATTAAACTACGGGATCGCGGCAGCTATGGGTTCCTTGTTCCGGCGGAATATATAGTGCCAACTGGGAAGGAGATCTTCAACGCGGTAGTTATGTATGGACGGTTCCTCATGGGCGATACCATCCAAATGGACGACACAGGGGAGGACGAAGACAACGTACCGGAATTCTCAATGAGCACCTATTGATGTCTTACTCTATAGTCACGACTTACGAATACACGTTGGACAGTACTACATAATAATATCATAATTCATTCCATATTCCATGAAAAAAAAAAAAAAAAAAAAAAAAACAACACTGTAAATCTAAACCATAAGAGTCTAAAACAACCAAGAAAGAAACTTTTCATAAAACCAACCCCCCGTTGGCTCCCTCATAGCCTGCACAGCGAGAAACTCCGCCTCTTCACGATCAATCTCCTCCTTGCCCGTCCACAAATCCGCCTCCTCAGGCTTCACCCGCTTACACCCCGTAAACACCTTATACCCGGTAATCAGCATAAGATACAACGGAATCCCCAAGTATGCCGTGATAAATGTCTTGTAGTCGAAACTGCCCCACTCGGGGCTGTGCGTGAACACATCATAGCTCTTCGTCAGCGCGATGATAATGCAGAACACCAGTGCAAAGTAAGAACCACCGGTACCAAAGGGCGCGCGGAAAGCGAGGTTAGACTCAGGCACGTTTTGCGCTTTCCGCGCACGCACGAAGAATATATGTGTTACTAGTAGCGAGATCCAGGTAAGCAGGCCGAAAATGGTGACTAGGTCGACGAAGTAGCCAAACACGGTTTGGGAGTCGCTGCTGACGTTCATGTATGCGATACATGCGATCAAGGAACAGACGCCTAGCGAATACACGGGGACGCCGCGGTTATCTGTCCAGGAAAGGAAGGCGGGTGCTTTTCCTTCTCGCGAGAGGCCGTAGATTGTGCGGGTGGCGATGTAGAGGTCTGAGTTTGCGGCGGAGAAGACGAAGATGAGGATACATGCGTTGAGGATGTGAGGGAGGACGGGGATGCTGGCTAGTTTGATAGCAACGACGAAGGGGGATGCGGCTGCGGAGTTGGAGTTGGAGGAGTTTGTCGCGGAGGAGAGTTCGGGGGAGTTGTAGGGGACCAGGGTGCCCAGGAGGAGCACGCTGAGGACGTAGAAGAAGAGGATACGGTAGAAGGTTAGTTTGATAGCGCGGGGGATGGTCTTGCGGGGGTTCTGGGCCTCGCCGACTGTTACGCCGACGAGTTCGGTTCCTAGGTATGCGAATGTGGCGGAGACCATTGTGCTCCAGAAGGCGTAGAAGCGGCCTGGGGCGCCGTCGTCGATGTATGTGTTGAAAGCGCCTGGGTTATTCCAGTATCTGAAACCTTTCCGGTCGTGGTCGGGCCCGCCGCCTAGCATGAGGATGAAGCAGAGGAGGATTAGGGCGACGATGACGATGACTTTGAAGGAGGAAAGCCAGAATTCGAATTCGCCGAAGAATCGCACGCCGAAGTAGTTGATGAATACGATGACCACGAGGAATATGGTGATCCAAACACCGGGGTTTATGCGCTCGACGTCTACCCAGAAGGATATAACCATGGCGGTGGCGGTCAGTTGGTTGGGGGTGACGATGATGTATTTAAACCAGTATCTGTGTCATTAGCGGTGGTTGAAAAGTATGTAGGGCTGTACTTACGTGTATCCTATAGCGAATCCTAATGCAGGGTCACAGAAGCGGACAGCGTAACCGGTAAAACCAGAACCCAAGGGAAGCCAGGCGGCCATTTCTCCCAGACCACACATGACCAGATAGACAATGAAACCGACGGCAGCGTAAGAGATGAGGATGGCACCAGGCTAGTCATGTTAGAGCGAGGAGCGTATTAATCTAGACAGCTGACTTACACCAGCTCTGTTTCTGTTAGCACGTCGCTTAATGTTGCGTGTGGAGAGAAACTCACTTAGCTAGGGCTTCTCCAGTCCCAATAATCAAACCCGTTCCAATAGCACCCCCAATGGCTGTCAATTAGCAGAATTCTTTCTCAACGGTGGAAGTTACCTACCAATCATGGTAATATGCCGGGACTTGAGAGCCCGATGAAGCTCGACATTGCGGTGCTGACCAACATCGCCCTCTTCAACGAGCTCATTCTTGACGTGAACATCGGAGGTTTCTTCTTTGACAGCCATTTTGCAGAGCCGCGTACACAGACAAAGAAGAAAAAGGAAAGAAAAAAACAAGAGAAAACAAGAGAAATTTAACAACCCAGACAAAGGCTGACAGCCTCGTCCGTGACCCGATGCAACCCCGAGGAAAAGCGCGAATATCGTGTTCGGTTCCTCCGCACTTTGAATTTACATTATGTTAGCGAATTAGATATGATTCGACGCTCTCTGTCATGTACATATCCCCGTCCAATCAGCAAGAACTCAACGGTATCTGAGCCGTCCCCAGATATGTTCATGCGGCTTTCGCCGTGCCGTTAATACATTACTATTTCCATTTCCGGAAATCCCCGCATTCTTGGCGCCGAGCCGCTGTCAATCCCGCTGCCCAATGGGAGGGTGCTTGGAATAACCTTATCTCTTGGCAGCGGTCTTATCTTGGCCGGTTTGTGCACGTGACTTTACCCTGATGTTAGTGATAAGGAATAATGTCGGACCGGCGGAACTTGCCTAATCGGTCCGACATTATTCCTTATCATATCGAGCTGTGCTTGACAGTCACGTGGCTATCGGAGTTTCGGGAATTGCCAAAGTCCGTACGGGATATCCCCGAAGCCCCGGATGATCGTATAATCGTATTTAGATCTCCTGACGAATTTCTCGATGGGGCTCTGCTGATCCTCGGCGTATATAAATATCTGAAACCATGAGGCTCGATATGACGGACAAGTATTATTCAGCTCTCAAGAGCCTAACATCGACCAGCCTGTGCCATGGACAAAAAAAAAGAAATCGTGACGAAAGGTGAAGCCTCAGACCAGGTAGATCTAGATGTTGAGCAGGGCTCAGAAGAGAAAGATGGGGAGCCTGAACAAGCTGCCTCGATAGGCAGCTACTTTGTATGCCATACCCAACTGATAGCTAATAGTTTGCTAACTAATTCCCAGAGACTCTTTTCCTATGTGACAGGAAAAGACCGTATCGCTCTTGCATTGGCACTGCTGTGCTCGATTGCATCTGGTGTGGTATGTTGATACCTATAGTGTGGATATGTATATCATGCCTGACAACACAGCCCCTGCCGCTTATGAACATTATCTTCGGGAACCTCGTTGGCGAGTTCCAGGGTTACTTTATGCCGGACACACAGGTGACAGAAGGGGAGTTCAAGGCCTCTGTCAATAGATTGAGGTGAGCTTACTCTGCCGTATTTTTAGGGTAGGGACTGACTCTTCAGCTTGTATATTGTGTACTTGTTTATTGCAAAGTTCGTTCTAACATATGTCTCAATGGTGAGCCCCATCCCACTCATTCGGGGCGCTTGGAATGGTTACTGACTATCTAGTTTTCCTTCCGTGTTATCGGTCTTCGAGTCTCGTCCAGTGTACGGCTGCACTACATGCAGTCCCTCTTCGCTCAGCCCATCAGCAAACTGGACGAAGTGTCCGTGGGAACCGTCACTAATACCATCACAACCCTATCCAACACGATCCAGCAAAGCATTTCCGATAAGCTAGCTATTCTCTTCCAATCCCTTGCCCTACTCATTACTGCATATGTCATCGCTTTCAAGTATTCCTGGGCGTTGACCCTTGTCACGAGTTCTTCATTATTGTTCATACTCATCTGCTGCATGTTTATCATGCCTGCCATGACCAAGGTCCAACAGCGGGTGGACAAAGCTGACGAACAGCATTCTTCAATTTCAGCAGAAGTGTTCAGCTCCATTCGAACGGTGTTGTCCCTTGGTGCTGAGGAAACACTAGTCATGAAGTACGCCAGCTGGGTCGATGAATCGCGGAAACGAGGGCAAAAGATGTCTACCGTACTGGGATTGCATCTTTGTCTTATGTTCTTTGCAATGTATGCGAGTTACGCGCTGGCATTCTGGTTTGGGTTGAAGCTTTATCGTGAGGGCCATATTGCGGATATCAACACGGTTATCATGTTAGTGTTTCCTTTCCCTCCCCTTCTCTAAATATACTAACAATTACAGCGTGTTCTTCTCGGTCATGATGGTGGTGAGCGTCCTAGGCGGCATCGCATCACCGTTGATGATCATCTCCAAAGCGACCAGTGCGGCATCCTCGTTCTTCGAAATGATCGACTTGGAGACCATGGACAGAGGCGGACTTAAGGACCCTGAGGCTTCATCTGATGCGGATATTACATTACAAAAGGTTCACTTTGCGTATCCTACCCGCCCCGGTATCCCAGTCCTCAAAGGCTTCAACGCTCGGTTTCAACAAGGCAAGACAACGGCATTAGTTGGTCCGTCTGGCTCAGGGAAAAGCACCATAGTCGGTCTGCTAGAGAGATGGTTCGAACTGAGCACGCAGAAAGGGTACCATCAGGGGAATATTTTTGCTGGTGAACATAATCTCACTGGTCTCGACTTGAAATGGTGGAGATCACAGATCGGACTTGTGCAGCAGAATCCGTTTCTATTTGACGACACCATTTTCAACAATGTTGCTTTCGGTCTCATTGGCACAAAATGGGAGCACGAAACCCACGAGGTCAAACAAAAACTTGTTGAGAAAGCGTGTGAGCAAGCATTTGCCGATGAATTCATCAAGCGCTTGCCAGAGGTATGTCTATCCCCGGTCTTATTTGAAGTTCCGTATCTGATTGTCACTAGGGCCACGATACTCTCGTGGGAGAAAGTGGCAAAACATTAAGCGGCGGCCAGAAGCAACGTCTCGCTATTGCCCGAAGTATCGTCAAAGAGCCCTCTATCTTGATTCTCGACGAAGCCACAAGCGCAATTGATGTCCACGGAGAGAAAATCGTCCAGAAGGCTCTTGACCAACTCTCCAAGAACCGTACCACTGTTGTTATCGCTCACAGACTATCGACCATCCGGAAAGCGGATCACATCATTGTTCTGAAAGACGGTATTGATGTTGAGCAAGGCACCCATGATGACCTCCTGGAAATAGAAAACGGAGTATATCGTGGTCTCGTGAGTGCTCAGAGCCTCGCACATTTGGCCGATGACGGACCGGACGGAAGCGATGGCTTTGATGCTCTAGAAAAAGGAACCAGTACTGTCCAGGTTTTCCATGAGCCCGAAAAGAAAGAACAACCGGAGAAGACATACAAGAATAAGGGTTTCTTTCGCAGCATCGGACTGATACTATACGAGCAACGTACCCATTGGCCGTTTTATTCTCTAACGCTTCTTGGGGCTGCTGGTGCTGGATGTAAGTGATCTCACTCTCCATGGATATTCCATGGATTGAAACTGACGAAATGCAGCTTCCTATGCCCTTCAAAGCTGGTTGTTCGCGCACATCATTGAGGTATTCGGGTATCAAGGCCAACGACTCGCAGATGCCGCCAGTTTCTGGGCCTTGATGTTTTTCGTTCTCGCCCTAGGCGTGGCTCTTTGCTATTTTCCTGTGGGATTCTCGTCCAATACTTTCTCGATGGTACACCCCCCATTTATCCACCTACGCGCGAAATACTAACACGCAATAGAAAGTCTCCTCATTCTACCGAGAAGAATACTTCCGCAACATCCTCCGAAAACCCATCCCATTCTACGACCTCAACGAGAACGCCTCCGGATCCCTCGTTTCCCGTCTTTCCACAGATCCAAAACAAATCCAAGACCTCCTCGGCGCAAACGGCGCATTTCCATTAATCTCGATCTTCAACATCCTCGGCTGTATCATCATTGCCTTCACATTCGGCTGGAAACTGAGTCTTGTTGCGGTATTCGCAGCTATGCCATTTGTCCTGTTAGCTGCGTTCATGCGCATCAGATTCGAACTGCAGTTCGAGGCTATAAATGCAGAGGTGTATAGTGGTAGCTCGCAATTCGCAGCAGAGGCTATTTCGGCTTTCCGGACTGTATCGGCGTTGGTGATGGAGGATGCGATTCTGGGGAGGTATTTGGGTCTTTTGCAGACGCAAAGGAAGAGGGCTTGTCGGAAGGCGTGGTACGCGACGCTTATTTTTGCGTTTTCCGATAGTGTTGAGCTGTGTGCTATGGCGTTGACGTTTTGGTAAGTCCATTCCCTAGTCCTAGTCACCCTTGATCTGGGTAGTGCTGACTGACTGCACAGGTACGGAGGACAACTCCTCGCCTCGAGAGAATATGAACCTAGTATCTTCTTCGTCATCTACATGGCTACCATCCAAAGCAGTCAATCCGCGGGTCAATTCCTCAGCTTTGGACCGAACATCGCTCAAGCTGTGGGCTCTGCCAATCGGATGTTGAGCTATCGCCCGACTTCAGCTCCGCGAGACGACCTCAAACAACTTATACCGTCCGACTATCAATCCGCAGCGAGCGTCGAGCTCCGCAACGTTGCGTTCAAGTATCAGTCGCGGGACGTTCCCCTATTCACAGGTCTGAACCTCAACATTCAAGGCGGCCAATTCGTCGCTTTCGTTGGACCTTCTGGCTGCGGAAAGACCAGCATTATATCGCTACTAGAACGGTTCTACGACCCAGTTCAAGGCGCGATTCTCGTAAACGACCAAGATATAACCTCTATCGAAATTTCATCATATCGCAAAGCACTGGCACTAGTAACACAAGAACCACGCCTTTTCAATGGCACAATCAAAGAAAACATCACGTTAGGCCTCCATGGCGACGATATAACGGATGAAGAAATGGTGCAAGCCTGCAAAGACGCCGAAATCCACGACTTCATTACCTCCCTCCCCGACGGCTACAAAACAACCCTCGGCACAAACGCCCAAACAGCACTGAGTGGGGGCCAGCAACAGCGTCTCTGCATTGCCCGCGCTTTAGTGCGAAAGCCATCCCTCTTACTGTTAGATGAGGCGACATCAAGCCTTGACTCTCAGTCCGAAAGACTGGTCCAAGGTGCTCTTGAGCGTCTTGCAGGGAGACGGGAAACGACTATTATTGCGGTTGCGCATCGATTGGCAACTATTCAAAAGGCAGATATGATCTTTGTGTTTGGGGAAAGCAAGAGTGGGAAGGGGTCGAAGATTGTTGAGCAGGGGACGCATGGGGAGTTGTTGAGGGGTAGGGGGGTTTATTGGCATATGGTGAGTTTTGGTTGTGTTTGTTGTTTGGTGAATTTGGCTAACTATTTACTAGTGTCAGGAACAAGCGCTGGATAGATGAGATTTTCGGGGGGGGGGGGGGTGGGGGGTTGTGTTGTTGTTTTCGGGCAATGGGCCTGCACAGCGTTATATATCAGAGCCAGAGATGCCGGTGCTTCCAGTTTAGCAAGTGAATCAGCAGTAGACCCTGCTTCGATAGACTTGACATTTTATGCAGGAATCAAAATCAACCAAAAATATAATATCATACAAAGGTTATCTACAATTTCATATAGCACCAAGATCTGGAGGCGCGAAGCTTTCACGATCTAGATACTGCCCACCAGCCCCACGCCATTAAATAGAGACCAAGCTTGCACAGATCTTGCAAGTGAATGAATCCCTGGAATATATGATCCACAGGAGTCTCCTGATGCAAGCTCGTTTCTTCCATACATATCTAAATGAACTGATCACGAAAGCGACCCAATCCTGGACGCATGCTCTTTCTTGATGGTATTAGATCCAATCCAAGAGTTTAAAAATGCGCCCTTCTGGTTTATTCTTTTGCAAATTGCAACTACACAATCCATTAATATCTTCATCCGGGATCTTGCTGTCCGTCCTGCCGTCCTAGAGTGCACCAGCTGCTTCCGGAGGCCATAACGTCTACCAGCCCCCGAGGTCCTCCTCGGCTGCGAATCAAGCAAAATCTGTCTGGTACCAATGATCAGGCAAGTCCAAAAAGTCGAAAGCGTTTTCGGAAACTACTAGGTTTCGAACGAGTCGAATTGACGGAGATGTATGCTGGGCATGCGGAAGAGCTTCTTTCCAGATTTGCCATGTCATCGTAAGCGACGACAAACAGGTAAGCAAGAGCTGTACTGTACCATCTGGGTTAAATATATAATAACAGTTTTAAGACAGATTTCACGCCCAAGAAGGGTTCATTTCCTTTAGATTCGCAAGTGAATGCAATATCTTTGTGTCCCACCTCCCATGACCAATTTGATAACAACTTGGATTCGGGATTTGTCTTCTTGCCGGCTGACTTGAAGTACTTTATTTATTACGAGATAAGCAATCTTGCCTTCGGGGAATCGATGTGACCGAGATACTACCCCAGCCAAAGGAGTCGCACAGTGCCACTTTGGCAGCAATCAGGCGGGGCCTTCATGCGCTTTGCAGTGGAGACTTAGGAAGAAAGTACAAGCAGATCCTACAGCAGGCACAATTGACCGCATTGAATCGGTCTCGAAGCGGATTACGTACAATTCCTTATTGCGAGCAGTGAAATTCATACCATGCCCCGTCTCTATGATCTTTATCACAGCGACGAAGATCCAGGCTTATTGGAATATTGGGCCGTATTTTTGTAACATAAACATTGTGATTTGGATCATCCCGATGGCTGAGGTAGAACAATCATAAAATAGAAATACTAACAAAGACTAACATCACTGCACATCGTTAGCTTCCAGAATCCTTGAGCTAGCGGCGCAATTCCAGTCGGAAGCTAGCGGATCTTTGCGAATATGGCACTGCATTCCTACTGTCTTCCAAGAAATGTACACCAATCAATTGGCGCAAATGGAAGCTAGCAAACATCCATATCACCATGCATAAGCACATCCACAGTATCGCTTACGGGTTGGACAGGGTTGGCCATCATACTCGAGGGATCATTATCAATGGCGACTTTGATTGGCAGAGATGTACTCCCGGCGCTTAAAGTTATTTTTATCGCTTGGGTCGCTGATCCGATTGGGTTCCGTAGTACTGGTATAGAACCGTGGACATTATTGGTCAATGATATGCATTACTATTTTAGGCTGACAGGGTGGGGTATTTGTGCTTATTTGTGCTATGGGGTGGATATAAACCCGGAGATTCCTCGAGTGAATCCATACTGTAACTCCTTTTACCTACATTCTCTTGAACAGCCATGGGTGTTTTGCGATTTCCCCGCCCAACAGGCATCTTCGTCCCTCGTTCAACTACACCCATTCTCACCACCGATATGATCTCCCCTCCACTATCGCCTAGTATCTACGGCGACTCGGACAACGTCACTGCGTCTATCATCCCCGCCCTCGAATACATCTCCTCCAAGCTCCAGCAGAAACTCGTACATGTCACTCTATTAATCGGCCGGGGGAATCCATTCCCCGCATCAAACGCATCAAACCAGATGATGGTCATCCCCGTCAGCGATCTAGACGAGCCATCCTGGCGTCTCCTGTACAGAACCGTCTCCAAGGCCGTCCGCAAATTCGCACTCGACAACAGCTGGATCGACGCTTTGACCCGGTGTCAGCATGAACGCGACGCACATTGGTATCTCATCCAGCAGTCCATCCGGCAGAACGAAGTAGTGTTCAGCAGTGAGGGATTGACACTGCTGAACATGGACCGGATCTACACATTCAAGCGACGACTGTGCATTCTCTCGCACCGGGAGTTGGACGTCTCAGATGACCACCCATACATCGCATCCTGCGTCCGTCTCCTACACCGCACCATCGCCGATTTCCAAGGCCGCCCATTCAGCAAAGCCTTTTTCCACCGCGTCTACGAACAATTAGACGTCCGCGACGAACACCTCGCTCGCGTGGCACGCGTATACCAATCCGAATACGAACAAGAAGGAATCGTCCTCCCCCGCCCAACACCCCAACCAGATCACCGCCAACACCAATCTCACTCAGCTACAGCAGCACGCGCCCGCCGAATGCCGGTCCGCCCAATTCGACGACGCGGCCCTCCGCCGACCTCATCTATTTCACCGAAACAAGGCAAACGGGGCCCCAAGACGCCGTTGTCTGCGTCGGATGTCACGCCTATTACGCGAAATGAGTGGAATTTGCTCGTGGCGGGCGAGATTCAACGGGCCAAGGCGAGTGTTACGAAATGGACGCCGTCGCCGACGGTTATGGCGGCTGTGTGAGATGTGTTTTGTGTGGGTTGAATGATTTGCATCCACTGAGATACATATTTTCTTCCGAATCATGCCCGTCATTTGGCGGGTCTGTGATTCCTGCGCGGACCAGACGACATGAGTCTTGTGAACCATGTCCCGTGCGCGATCAGTCAGTCCGGTATATTGCCGTCTCCGGTCAAGTGCTAGACAACGGGCCATTCAGAATGCCCGTCGGACAGACATTCACATATGCCGGGAAGGCAGGCAGATAGAAAACATGAAGACGATGTATAATCGCATCGAATAATGTTATCAACTCATCTGCCGGCCATCGGCAAACGTTATCTCGGCGATTCTCCACAGTTCAAAGTACGTGTCAATGCGGATATCAATCCCGAGTTCGACCTCAGGACGGAGACTACCAGGGGTATGAGCAGATATTATCGAATGGGATGTGCTATTGTGTGCTCTGATCCTGGGAATACTACATTGGTACGTCCTGCGAGATTGAAAATAGCAGGACGTGGGTTGGCCGAAGACCGAATGCGGATGCCGAATGCCCACTGTACCCACAGGGGGGGGGGGGGGGGAAAGTCAAATGCAAACATAATAATGTATCAGTAGCAGACTAGTTAAATGAAAAGATTTGCAAGCCAAGTATTCTTTAAATCCGCATAGTCCCAGTTCCATCCCTCGCCGATACAAGCACAGTGACGTCTTATCAATCTACCCCTCATCACCTGACTTGCACTACAACTTCATCTCCTCTTTTCTTTTCTTTTCTTGTCTTTTCTTTTACTTTTCTCTTCTCTTCTCTTCCTCATTTTCAAAGATAGTCGTAATACTGCTAACCGGACATGACTCCGGACCAAAACCCCCCCGTCCAAGTCCGCACGGACGAGGTGCCGACTGACATTACCAAGCCGAAATGGTATCCTCGCGCATTGATCCGGCAGGCTGAGCGCTCGCATCGTCGATTGCCGGGGATCAGGAAGGTTCCTCTTCGGGCTATTGCTGCGATTTTGTTTATTGCGTTTTTGAACGTTTTGGTTTGGATTGCTGCGGCTATTGTGTTGGTGAGTCTTCGATTTGAATTGGGAAGGCATTGGCTAACGAGTGTAGCATTATTATCCGTATGTATTGTCTTGTGGTCAGGGTTATGTGTGGACGGAAGCTTATGGTTTAGGTCTCTCGTGTCGAATGCTGTGCTCTCGTATACGCTGGGTTTGAGACATGCGTTTGATGCGGACCATATTTCCGTGTGTCACCTCGAATCCAATAGTGGGAGTATTGATGCTAATACATATTGCAGGCCATTGATTTGATGACCCGGAGACTGCTTGCGAGTGGCCAGAAACCCGTGACCGTGGGCACCTTTTTCTCTTTGGGACATTCGACGTAAGCAGCCCATTGAATTCGAACTAAAACGGCAACTAACAAAAACAGAATTGTGATCATCACCTCCATTGTCGTGGCTGCCACTGCTGCTGCAGTTTCCTCTCGCTTCGACAGCTTCAGCACTGTTGGTGGAATTATTGGCACCTCTGTCAGTGCGGCGTTTTTGATCCTCTTGGGTCTCATGAACGCGTACATTCTGTACAAGCTGTACAGACAGATGCAAAAGGTCCTGAACCTTCCCGTCGGTCAAGAGGACGAGGCGTGGAAGGTGGAGGGTGGAGGAATTATGTTCAGTGTTCTCCGGAAGATGTTCAAGCTTATTGACCGGTAAGCATGTTTCCCCAATGCGTATGAACAGCGTGCTGACTCTTAACAGACCATGGAAAATGTACCCCCTGGGAATCCTCTTCGGTCTTGGTTTCGACACATCCTCCGAGATTGCCCTCCTCGGTATCTCTTCCATTGAAGCCGCACGCGGAACCAACATCTGGGTCATCCTCATCTTCCCCATCCTGTTCACCGGTAAGTCCTCATCCCCCAATCAACCAATCCCACGCTAATAAAACAGCCGGAATGTGCCTTCTCGACACCACCGACGGCGCCCTAATGCTCTCCCTCTACATCCAACCCGCCGCCAACTTCCTCCCACCAAAACAAGACGGCACCATCGCCTCCGACGACCTCCTCACCGACCAAGAACAGCAACAACCAACCGAAGACATCCACACATCCCAAAACCACCGCGACCCAGTCGCCTTCCTCTACTACTCCATCGTACTAACCACGCTCACCGTCATCGTGGCAATCGTGATCGGCATCATCCAACTCCTCACCCTGGTGTTGAACGTCGCCGAACCAACGGGTAGATTCTGGGACGGGGTGCAGACCGCGGGTGACTACTACGATGCTATTGGCGGTGGTATCTGTGGGTGTTTCTTGGTTATTGGTCTGCTTAGTGTCTTTGTTTATAAGCCGTGGAGGAGATGGATTGCGCGCCGGAATGGACGGCCGGTTGTTGAGCCTGCTAATGAGGGGGGTAATTATCGGGATGATTTTACGGATGAGGAGGATGCGATTACGAATGCGAACCGTGAGCGGGAGCAGGGTGCCCAGGTTCCGGGTAAGACTGGTTCACAGGTTACTGTGAGGCCGGCGGGTGAGTCGTCGAGTTGATGTGTGTTGTGTGGATGTATACATGATGGATATGGGCTGAGATGATTAATACCATGCTGTGAGAATAGCATACAGTATATCTAGTGCGGAAGGTTTGGAAAGATTGACACTCATATAATTACATTTCTACTCTATACTACCGCATTCGGCAGTTTCTGCCTCAGGCGTAATATACCTCAGGGCACACGTGACGTCAAGTGCACATCGTCTCGACTTCATCTTATCTTTTCAACGATCAATTGACAGATATTATTGAATATCGGCACGCGTCTTGCACTTATCCCTATTCATATATACGAATAAGGTCTTTATGTTATGATATGACTCTTGTGCCGTGATCATGGCCAGGGATTAATCCGGCTGAGCTTCGCGACCCGACGAATAATTAGCTGAATCTACATGCCATTGAGCATTCGACCTATATAAAACTACAACATATACAATAAGCAGACATATACACATGCTGGGCTATCGTTACACAAACAAAACAACACAAGACATGCCACCGCCACCCCTACAACACAACCTCTCCCAAGCAATTGCCACACACACATACCAAACCCACACCCCCATCTACAATGTCAGACTCAACCCTCTCCCACTCCCCCTCCCAAGACGCCCCCCTCACTCAAACACCAACCTTCACCTCCAGCCCCCCAATCTTCGTCCTACCCACCCATCTCACTCTCGACGAATTACACAGGGTAGAAGATATCCTGGGCAATCGCGGCGCGAGACTTACGTATGATGTCTCTGAAGCTAGGTTGGTGATAGGCAAGATAGGGCAGAAGAAGAGGGCGGCGTTGGAGTTGAGGGCTAGGGGGGTTTGGACGGAGGAGGTTTCTGTATCGGGGGAGATGGATGGGGAGCCGCCGGTTAAGAGGAGGCGTGTTAGTATTCGTGGTGAGGATGGAAAGCGTATTGGGCAGTTGCAAGATGGAGATGTTAGTACTGAGAGTGAGGGCGAGGAGGATGGGGTGGAGAGTCGGCATAATCCTGGGAAGCATTTACGGAAGATGTCCGTATCTGTTGCTTCGACTTCAACGGCTGGTTCAGAACAGGAGAAAGATGTTATCAAAGTCGTCAAGCTACAATGGCTTGAAAAGTCAATACAAGCACAAGAACTCCTCCCCATTGACCCATACATCGTGTACCAAGCTCGCATAATCCAACCCCCCGCAACTTCGAAACCAACCACAGCATCCGACATAATGCAACGAGCCCAACAGGATGCCCTATTCAAACCCCCGGCAGCACCAGCCTCACACTCCCACACCCGCCGCCAAAAAGATGCCCCGGACAACGTCCCCGGCCAAATCCACCCCATTCCAAAACTCTACCGCCAAACAACCTCCGAACATGACGAAATCATTCCCCTTCCCCCAGTCCCAGACTGGGTCAAGAACCGCATCATGTACGCCTGCATGCGCTCCGCACCCCTCCACCCCCCAAACGAACGCTTCATCGACCAACTGATCAAAATCCGCAAAACCCGCGACCTAACCCTTGACGAAATCGGCGTCCGCGCATACAGCACCTCCATCGCAGCAATCGCCGCATACCCCTACCACTTCAGCCGCCCCTCGCAAATCCTCCTCCTCCCAGGCTGCGACGCTAAAATCGCAAACCTCTTCGCTGAATTCCAAGCCAGTGACACCGGAATCTGCCAATCCGCAGACTTCCTAGACACAGACCCAGATCTCATGATCCTATCCCTATTCAACAATATCTGGGGCGTAGGCGCCAAAACTGCACGAGACTTCTACTACACCCGCCAATGGCGCGATCTCGACGATATAGTCGAATACGGTTGGTCCGCTCTCTCACGCGTACAACAAATAGGCGTAAAATACTACGACGAGTTCCTAGAAGGCGTACCCCGGTCTGAAACAGAGTCTATCGCATCCACAATTCAGCGCCACGCAAACCTCGTTCGCCCAGACGCAGACTACGACGGCCACGGCGTGGAATGTATTATCGTGGGCGGGTATCGGCGCGGAAAAGCAGTCAGCGGGGATGTAGATGTTGTACTCAGCCATCGCGATGAAGCAGTAACTAAGAACCTTGTCGTTGATCTGGTGAGTAGTCTCGAGAACGAGGGATGGATTACACATACCCTGGCACTGCACATGACGACCTCAAACCGCGACCAACAAACCCTCCCCTACCGCGGCGGCGATAACTTCCCAGGTCGCCATTTCGATACCCTCGATAAAGCACTCGTCGTGTGGCAGAATCCTCACTTCTCTGACCCTGACCCTCAGTCAGATACCGGTGGTCGAAAGAAACGAAACCCCAACATTCACCGCCGCGTTGACATCATCATCTCCCCCTGGCGCACCGTTGGATGCGCGGTACTCGGCTGGTCCGGGGATACGACCTTCGAGCGGGATCTACGGCGATATGCGAAGAAGGCGCATGGGTGGAAGTTTGATTCGAGTGGTGTGAGGGTGCGGACGAGTGGGGGGCATGTGTTGGATTTGGAGAGGGGTGGGAAGACTTGGGAGGAGAGGGAGAGGATGGTTATGGAGGGGTTGGGGGTTGGGTTTAGGAGGGCTGAGGAGCGGTGTTCGAGGTGATGATTTACTTTGATTTAGTTGCGTAGGTGTTAGGTATATTTTGGGTACTCCGTACAGAGTAGTTAGGGTTATATATATGCTGAATCTACATTGGACAAGTCATAGTCAGGATTGATATTGGTCATAGAAAACAAGCTAAAAGAGAAAAGTACAGATAGAAAATAAATAAATAAAAAAGGCTCCCATACATACATATATCGTACCACAGCCAAAAAGTGTAAAGCAAGATACATGAAAAAAAAAAAAAAAAGAAAAAGAAAAATCCGATCAGTTAAACCACACAGCACCGAAAGCCGGAAAAAAGAAAGAATTGAAGAAAAACGATCTGAGAAAACCATGAGGCAAAGTTGGGTTACACCAAATTCCTCGAACTAGTCATCTCTCCATACCTCCCTCTCCCCCGCGTCGTGTCGTAGGCATTAACAACCCGCATCTGTGCGCCCTCATCTGCCTGACTGAACGCGTACCCGCGCTGTTTCCGCATCCGCTGCACTTGTCTGACCTTTCGAATCGCCTTTTGGAATTGTTCCATGCGTGGCCGGTAGTCTTGCACGTTGAATTTCTGGATCTCCTGTACGTGGTGGTAGTGTTGCGGGTAGTACATGCGTTTCGCGTATTTCCACGCATAATCACGGATCAAACACAGACAAGGCAGAACAATAGCCATGAGGTAAAAGACCGGTGATGTGAAAAGCGGAGGAATAGTGCCGTAGTACTCAAAGGAGAAGCCGATAGCCGGTGCGCCGTAACCGTAAGCAGGAAGGAAGGCAAGCCAGATAACCATGGAGCCCGGGATGGCGATGAAGGTGTATTTGGTCCAGGTGTTGGTGATTAGGGCTGCTTTGCCGAGGACGGTGGCTAGGACTGCTGTGTAGAGCGCGGAGCCCCAGACCCAGTGGCCGGATGTTTTTCCGTCAGTCATTGGGAGGTCCCAGAGGTAGATTAACTGGGAGAAGATGTAGAGGATCAGGGAGTGGTAGAAGCCGTTGGCGATCCAGGACCAGAAGCTGTGCTTTTTGAAGAATAGACTCTTTTGTCCTAGTTGGTACAGTTGGGGGTATCGGTCTAATAACCGAGCTGACACGTACTGGTCACAGATGCCCATGGCGAATGGAGGAAGAACGGTGAAAAAGACGTTGTAGAATGAAAGTGTCCATGACTCGTAAATAACTTCACCAGAGAATGCGTTTTGGAACGAGTACTGTATTGCGTTAGCCTGAAATTCAGAAAGGGGGTCGACAGGATACTCACCCAGAACTGCGTCATGTAAAGCGTAATGTTCTTATAAAACGAATAGAGAATCACCCGACTAATCCGGTGATAACTCCAAGCCCCATGAACAAGCAACAATTTACGAAGAAAGCGGAATTGGGCAATCGAAACATCCGCAGATCGAGCTGCTTGGAGACCTTCAAGACCGCTAATACCAACTCCAACATGGGCTGCCTGAATCATAGAGACGTCGTTTGCACCATCGCCGATTGCCAGAAGCAAGGACTTGAGATGGCGCTTGACGAGCTTGACGACCAAAGCCTTTTGAAGCGGGGAGACACGACAGCAAATCACGGCCTTGCACAAGACCGCCAAATCCAAAAACATCTTTTCCATGTCCTTTTCAAGGGCAAACGTTAGAGATCGGCCATCGATAATCAGTGCCAGGGTCTCGATTTCACCAGAGGCTCCCTGGCTCTGAACAGCCTGGAGCTTCTTCGATATGTTCTCCCTTGTAGCTTGTGCCGTTTCCTCGTTCACAATAAGCAGCGTCATGTCCTCAGAAACCAACCGGCAAGACATGCCAATGTTGATAGCAGTTTCCTGTCGATCACCAGTAAGAACCCAGACCTTGATACCAGCCGTTTGAAGGGTGTGAATCGTGTCCGGGACTCCATCTTGCAGTTTGTCTTCGATGGCCGTGGCACCGAGGAGATATAAATCCTTTTCGATCAACTCCGCGGCCTTGTCCAGCTCGTCTGCACGATTTCCGCTGACGGTCGTGGCAGCCTTCTCTTGGATTTGGTACCACTGCTGGAACTCTTGCTCAGAAATTTCGCGCATGGCCAGACAAAGGGTTCGAAGACCTTCAGACGCGTACTCTTCCAGGTGCTGTAAGGTAGTCTCGACCATCGGATTATCCGGGTGCAAGCGTTCGAGGATGACAGTATCAGCACCTTTGGTGTACATGCGAAGCTTACCATCCGGGCATCTGAAGATAGTCGTCATCCGCTTCCGGGCTGAGTTGAATTCACAAACGGCAAGCAACTCATATTCGTACTCCTGACCTGCAACCGTAAATAGCACAGAGCGAGGTCTCCGGTTTGTGAAACGATAGCCCAATTGCGCAGCACCGTCGACCAAAGCACCTTCGTCCGGGGACGCCGCCTGATACTTGATCTCTCCAGGCTTGTCGTCTGACCGCTCGGGAATGACGGTGTGGCAGGTGGCCAGGAGGGTGAGGAAGTGGTGAATAGCATCTTTCGACGGGTGGAAATTCAGGTTCTGCTGTAGTTTCTTGAAGTCGTGGATACCATCCGCTTCGTCGTCGTCCGCAGTTGCTCTCCTGTCCTCTTCAACGTCATCACCGTATTGAATACCGCCTATCGAGCACTGTTTGAACTCCATCATATTGCAAGTCAAGGTACCTGTCTTGTCGGAGAAGATATATTCGATCTGACCCAGCTCTTCCACCAGGGATGACGTTCTACAAGTCGCCGGTGTATCTGTCTTGTCGTGATAGATATCAAGGTCGGAGTTGATGAGGAATGCTTGCGCATATTTGACGATTTCAATGGTGACGAAAAGCGAGATAGGGACCAAGTTCGAATACAAAACCCAGTAGGTAAAGATGTCGAGAACGAACTGCTTGACCGGGTTTGTACCGCTGTAGTAGAGATAAGAGAGTTTATCGGACTGAGTTTGACGGATGATCAGGTCACCAACGGAACTGATCACACTGAGAACCACCAGGATACCGACTAACATCAAAATCTGGATGTTTACCATGCGCTCCACCGCCGTTCGCTTGATCGGGGTTGCCGTGGCATTGCGCATCAACTTCGTTTCGTGACCGGTAAAGACAACAATTCCATGAACCCACGGGGTGTTACGAAGGGTAGCACCTCGCAGCAACAGCTGGTCCGGCGCCAGGGGAAGCTCCTTCTCGCCTCCTCCAGCGTGCATAGTCAGTGTAGCTTCGTAGGTATACAAACTGCTGTTAGGCTGTTCCGAGCGAATACGGCCACTTAGACGGCTGAGGTCGGACGGGTTGACAAGATGTGCCGTCTCGGGGATAGCCTGCTTGACTTTCAAGTTGGTTTCTCCATCCAAATTTGCCGTTTCAATGTAGCAAAGACCTTCCGGTTCAGATGTCGCCAGCATCACCATATCGGCCGGAAAAGGGTTCTCAGACTCGACACGGACAATATCACCCACGGATACATCGACCCATTTCGTTTCGTGGAATGCGGATCCCTTGAGAACTTGAGTTTTCGAATAATTGAGCGACCTATCTGACGCTCTCCGCTTGTAATCTTCCACGAGTTCCTTAATTGCCGAAACCAACAACACAACGCACAGCGGACCAATGGTAGTATATCGATTCGTCGGACTGACATTGGGAATCTGCTGAAGAACGGCCGTAAACAAGAAGAACAGGTTGGCGTATTTGGAGAACTGCTCGAAGAGGAATTTCGGAATAAAGGTGATAATGTTGTACTTCGCCGTCGAGACGTGGTTATCGACAAACTTGTGAACCGCATTGGCCGGCGGGTTATTGAGCACAATGTTCCGAGGGCCCAGTGTCGACGGATCGGCCTTCCTTCGTCCAAACCCGAACTTGAAATCCGGTTTCCGCGATTTCTTAGGTACCGTTTCGTCCGGCTCCGCGCTTTCGACACGCGCATTTCTCGCGCCAGCTTCCGTCAGCGGGAGGTCCATCTCTGAGTACTCCCCACCCATTCCCAGCATGTGTTTAGCCCTGCCCATAAACCCGCCTCCCAGACCCAAGATACTGTTGCGCTCCTTTGCCATGCGAACGTGTTGCGACGACGGGACATTATCGTCATCCCGGTCCATATCATAGTATCCATGTAACGACCGTTCATCTTCGTAGTCATCGAGCGAGTAGCGATGGTAATTGCTCAGTCCGGAGGTCTGCGAATACGTCCGGGACATATCCGCGCCGGTATAGGGATCATGGAGAATCGCCCCGGCCTGGGGGACATGCGCAGGAGGGACGACCACATTGGCATGAGCTCCGACATGCGATGTTTGTGGTTGGTGCTGGGCCTGCTGGGGGTAGTGCTGGTGGGCGCCTCCCACGAAGTCATCGTACGACACGGACGGACGCGCTTGCGGATAATCGGAATCGTCGATATCGAAACGTCTCAATAAATGCTCGTCGTTGACTGGCGGAGGTTGGCCCGTACTGTACATGGGGGTTGTATCCTCCAGCTGCAGCAGATCATCCTCCGCGCGGCCATGTTGGAATCCTGGCGGCCTACCGCTGGCCATGATGGACGGGACGGGCAAAAACCCTCCTCTCTAAAGTCGGAATGCAGTAGCTGGAGTGGCCCTGAGGCATTGATCGACGGAAACGATCCGGTTCATAAAAGGGGATGTAGTGCGGAGGTATACGGAGGGGGGTTCAACGGTGCTTGGTGTACTTCTAGGTGGACGGAGACGAGAAGACCCCACAGAGGAACGCGCAAAGGTGAATCAATGGATCGCTGCAGAGAATCGAGAAGCCGAAAAGACCGTATAAATCGAGAACGAGCGCGAAAAAGCGATGCGAGACGGAAGGTTGAGGGAGTTGAAAGACCGTTGAGAACGCTATGGGAGAAAAAGAAGTCGTCGTGGCTGGAAAAGTTGGCGGTGCTGATGGTCGAGGCGGCGATTAGCGCGACCGAAAATAGAAGAGCCACAGTATTTATAAGTGAAAATTTGAGAGAATGGAATAGAGATATTTGGATTCAGCAGGTAAAATTGTCTATACTCAATTGTATTGGGGTTTTTCATACGAATCTGCATGCAAGCTATGGCGGTGCGAACCTACAACGCATTACGGAGAAATGACCCGGAAAGACCATAGATATCGAAGGATGAAAGTGTTCTACATAGAAACATTATCGTGGCATATCATACATTTGTATAGCGACTTTTGATTCGTCTCATATCCGGCTCCATCACCGGTCATTCTCCGCTCGTGATGCTTCAACCATTCCAGTATCTGTCCGTTTCGCCAAATCCGCCTGTAACGCCTTGTCGATAATGCCATTAATCTCCTTCACCTTCTCCAGCGCGACAGTCGACTTGGCCACGAACACAATCGCATCAACCGGTGCTCCTGAGAACTTTGAGACGTAGCAAACATCTCCTGCGCTATTCATACCAATCACCACGTCTGCCTCCGACGCCTGTTCTTCCTTCCGTGTCGCATCGAGAATCACCCGCTTGCCTTCATCGAATGTGTGGAAGGTGACAGAGAGCGGCTTGTGTGTGATGTTGAGGGCAACTGGGAGTCGTTCGTCGATACCGTAGACGACAACCTGACCGTCTTTAACGACGGCGTCCGGACGACGGAAGTGCTGCAGACCAGCCATGACACCGATGCAGGCGGCGTCAATCAAGTTACCATCGTAGTCGACCACGTGAACATCGGCTCGGATACTCCAGCAGCTCACGCCTTTGAGGATACACAGCGATTCGGTGTCGAGCGCATTCGAGTGTCGTACTACACGGTCAACGACGTTGGTCACGTATGTCTCGAGGTCTCCTTGACTTTATTCCAACTGTTAGTTTCTCACACGCATGCGAATACACTTCATATGTAGAACGTACCGCCCATTATCCCACGCCGGAGAGCCCATTGCCGAGAGTTCCAGCGCAATTGTAAAAACGCCATCGAACGGACGGTCATCGCGAGGTTTCGTGACTTCGGACGAGATGCGAATAATCAAACTTCACCGCTATATTAGCATTTTCTCCTCTATGAGAAGCAGAAAGAACATACGTAGTTTTCCCCAATTGCACCTTCACATGCCCATACTCCTCTCCAAACGAAACCTTCAGCGGACGCAGCTGGTCCAGCCCCCGGCCGTCCAGGCGCACATCCTCGCGCAGCGCATTGAGAATAAAATCGCGCTCGGCAATCGACAACAGTGCTTCCTTGTTCATGATGGCGGAGGCAGACCCCCGGCGCAAGAAACGATTTTCTGGACTGGGAAAATTGGGGGATGCGCAGCGTCATCGCGACTGGAAGAGCTTTGTTCCGGTTGACTAATGCGGCAGCCTGAGGCAGATTCGGCGGCCATCAAAGTATCTTGTATGCGATTGACGGCGCTTCAACCATTGACTACAGCTACATTTAGGCACCATGACGACGGGTATGTCTGCTTATCCCCTGCACCTCCGCTATTATGATACTGACTCTTTACAGCTCACAGACCGACGTTCGATCCCGTACGTGCTATCTAACCACCCGATCATGACCTCTACTCACCGTCACAGGCACAAGGGCGAGAAGCCCTCCGCGGGCCCGCGTATCACCAGCGCCTTCTCCCCGCGCACATGCACCTGAAGACTCGGTAGGTCCGTTCCCGAACCACGATCCAATCACGCGACTGACGACCCCAGTCAACAAGGCCAAGGTCATGAAGGCGAAGTGCAACAGCGCGACCTCCGAGCAGAACTCCTCCAAGCCGAAGCAGCCCACTTCGCAAAGAAGCGTGGCGTCCCCGTCGATGAACCAATTGTCGAGATTGCACCGAAACGTCAAATCGAAGGGCCTCCTGGTGGCGATGATGGAGGAATGGGAGAAATAGAAGAGGATCCGGAGGCGAAGCGGCGGCGTGTATTGGAGGAGACGCGAGATATAGATGCGGATTCGGATGGGTCGGAGGATGATAGCAGTGAGGATGAGAGGTATGGTTTATCTGGTGGATTGGTGATGATTCAGGCTGACCGGTCATAGTGACGAGGAAGACGAAGCAGCTGAATTGATGCGCGAGCTGGAAAAGATCAAGAGGGAAAGACAGGAGCAGAAGGAGAAGGAAGAACGCGAACGAGCCGCCGAGGAAGAGGAACAGCGCGAGGTCGATATTGCCAAGGGTAATCCCCTGCTGAACTCTCAAGACTTCAATCTGAAGCGGAGATGGGACGACGATGTCGTGTTCAAGAACCAAGCCCGGGGGACTGAGCAGAAGAGGGGGCCGGAATTCGTCAACGTATGTCTATTTGGGTCTTCTAATGCGCGAGCTAACGTGATATAGGACTTATTGCGGTCCGACTTCCACAAGCGATTTATGGTATGTACTTTTCTTTGGCTCTTTTTAACGCCCACTGACAGTTTCTAGTCCAAATACGTCCGGTAAAGCGCATCTACTCTAGTTCTACTTTTTCTCAGGTGGAGGAAGACAAGCATTTCAGGCGCAATCTCAAGACTGCTTACTACTTTCAATAACAAGGATACCCAGCGACTCAAGAACGTCCTGTACTCGACCATCATGTATACAATGGTCTAATGAATCAATTGTCTTATCTAGAGACCATACATCGTAGAATGCAAATCGTAGCCACCGCCTTACACGCCGCCATATACTGCCGACTGATCTGATTTGCTCTGATAGTCGATCCAACAAGATAGAAACAAACAACTGCTTCAATTCAATCAGACAAAATGGAGTCTCAACCGACAGCCAAAGCGTTACACAGTACGCCTTACCCTTATATTTCTCAAATCGATGTGTTATACTAATGCACGAACAGACCGCATCAACAACAACATCTCCCAACTCCTCCAGCGCTTCGAAAACATCATGGCAACAGCAACAGTACGTCTCCCTTGACCCGGCATTATTCGAAGAGGGTGTTATTGACAGATTCAGGTCGAAAACACAAGCCACACCTCCACCGCCGTCGAAACCTACCAACTCGACGTTGAATCAACAGCCTTGGTACCTCCCCCAAACTCCCAAACCCCAGGCCCGAAAACGAACGCACTCTAATCACAAGTTGACGCATAGGTCCGCGCCGCAGAAGACATCCTCTCCCTAACCCGCGTCATGAAAGAAACCTGGCTCTTCGGAAAACTGGATACATTAGGTGAAGACGAGCGCGATGTTAAGCGGAGGGAGGAATTGGAGGGTGATGCGGAGGCTATGCGGAAGGTTATTGAGGAGGGAGGTCTTTTGAAATAGTTTCTTTTGTCTGGGTTATTGGGATGATATTGGTGTTTTGGTGTTGATATTGATATGGGGGGTTACTATGGTGTTGATTGGCGTTATAAGCTTGGATGCTATATTTGGTTTGAATTGTACGAAAATATGTATTGTGAATAGATACCCTTGGAAAATACCTTTTACTTAACTCAAGCCTGTCTCTGTCTGTTTGTATAAGATACTCTCTACCGGAGTAGTAGTACAGTAGCACCGCTATCACCGCGGGGGCCGATAAAGAATCTCCGAAACTTCACCTCTACAACCTCACCACAACTACTCAACCCACCTCAATACAAATCAACACAAACCAATGCTCAAACCCAAAATGCCTTCTCTATCATCAACACCCCTAACCCTCATCGTCGCAACAACCCCAATCCCCCACCCCACCACGACAACAACAACAACAACAACACCCCCGCAAAATGCCTGCCCCAAGCTCGGAATTGGCCAAAACGGCACCCTCCCCTGGCCACGCATAAAAGCCGACATGAGCTTTTTCGCGCGCGTAACCTCCCGCCCCCCTCGCACTGGTACAACGAACGCAGTAATCATGGGCCGCAAGACATACGAATCCATCCCCGAGAAACTGCGGCCGCTGGGGAAGAGGGTTAATGTTGTTGTTACGCAGGATGTGGAGGGGAATGCGGGGAGGGTGAGGAAGGAGCTGGAGGGGAAGAGGGAGAGGGATGCTAAAAAGGCTGCTGAGGCAAAGGCACAGGGGAAGGCTGGGGGTGCGGGGACGGAGGGGACGGATGCGATTGTTAGTGAGAGTTTGGAGGGTGCGATGGGTGATTTGGAGGGTGCGTATGGGGCTGGGGAGGAGAGCAAGTTGGGGAATATATACATTATTGGCGGGGGGGAGATTTACGCTTCTGCACTGCGGTCTGGCGCTGGACTTAACCGGAAGATCCGCATCGTCATGACGAATGTGAAGAGGAAGGGGGATGAGGGATACAATTGCGATACGTTCTTCCCCGTCAATGATTTCAGCGCTGAGAATGGGTGGCGGACGGCTAGTCCTACGGAGGTTAGTGAGTGGGTTGGGGAGAATGTTGATGGGGAGTGGAGGGATGAGGGGGAGGTTGTGATTCAGATGGTTGGATATGAACGGGTTGACTGATGTGTTTCTATTGTGTTATTTACATTGAGTGTGTTCTGTACATGTTTCATATATCATTCAAAGTATATAGGAATGCAACCGTGTACTCCATGAACCAAAAATATGCAAAGATATCAGAATGTCAAATGTCAAAAATGTAACAACGCTGAAATGCATCATTCGTTCTCTTTAAGAAACTTCACGAACGCTTTCTTATGTACCAGGCCCACGTACAATCCATCCTGAAGGACACCCAGGTACCGCAGGCCCAGCTTGGCAAAACATTGATAAACGAGGTCTATAGGGGAGTGAATGTCGAGAGCAATGGGAGCCTGCATGGTCAGCTTTCTCCCCATGAACCTTCGAGAAGGAGAGGAGAGGACATACCGGATCAATATATCTCGTAAAATCAACCCGATCAGCCGTGCCATCATCCTCATCGTCCGAGCCACCAAAGGACGACGTATCCGTAGTCATCAGACACAGCGCATTCTCCTCATCCACCACATTATCGAGCGCATACTCAAGATCCGGCGCGGGAATCAACCCAGCCAACACGCCGTGACGAAGGATAGGCAGGCCGCTATCTAGCTCGCCGGCCATGAGGAGATTCTCGAGCTTCGCGCGTAATTCTGTGGCTGGTACCCAGGGTGAACTGGAGATATCGATGACACGGTTCTTTCGTACGGGTCGAACGATGTCCCCGAGTTCGGCATCGGATAAGGTTTGCAGTTTGTTGTCGAGAAATGGGTAGGAGTTCATGTCCGTCAGCAGGTCCTGCACAAATTAGCTTTCCTCCGTTTCATTGTTATTGGGTGTCACATACGTAAATACTGCGAGGCTCAATGGCATCCGCAGTCCACTTGGCACAAAGAACCGCTACAGAAAACGGCAAGACATGGTTCAAACTTCCCGTCAATTCAAATAAGATGACTGGCAAAGTTACCGAAAGACGGGTTACTCCGCACATCGTAGCTCCAGCCGCGACCAGCGCATACACACCAGGAGTCACACACGACTCCATGCCAGTGTAGGCAGGACAAGCAGCGAAGGGGAGGTAATCGGGATACTCCACAGCCATGTACTGAACAACATGGCCAACGATCCGGCCCATCAAACCACCTACAACCATGGACGGCACATAGATACCAGCAGGTACCTTGATGCCAAAAGTCACGATGGTTAGGAGACTCTTGATAACGAACGCCACGGAAAGGTAACGGATTATCTCGCCGATGCCCTCCGAACGAGGACACAACCCTGTGGCAATCTCCGTTTCAGGGTCGTCACACGGTCGTGCCAGTTCGAACAACAGCTCAGAAACAGGCAGCTTGGTATATCGATTCCAGAAGCTGATCACTCCCGTCAACACTGCGACCAAAACGACCTCGAGCATGGGCCAGCGCTTGATGGCAGGAATCCGGCGAAATGACTTGGCCCATAGATTGGAGGCCTTAATAAACAGCGCTCCAGCAGCACCTCCGAGAACACCAAGGAAAATAAAGATGATCATCTCGAAGATTTGCCAGTCGCTCAGATAGCGGACTTCGAACAGGACGATCTTACCGGTTCCATAAGGATTCAAGAATTTGAGCGACAGGGCGGCAGCGATACAACAGAAGAATGTCCGGAATAAGGTCTTGGGAGGGAAGTAGTAGCTGACCTCCTCCAAGCTGAACAAAACGCCTCCAATCGGTGCACCAAAGGCTACGGCCACACCACTGGCCGCGGCGGCACTCAGAACCTCGCGACGTTTACCATCGTTGAGGTTGTACTTGGAGAACATCCGGCAGCAGATATTTCCAACACATGTACCAATATGCACGTAAGGACCTTCCTTGCCCAGACTCAGGCCAGAAGAGACACTGAAGATCAGAGCAATGGTCTTGACAACCAGGGTCTGGAGTCCCAGATAGCCGTGTAGGACGAACCCACTGTTAATTACCTTGACCTCAGCCACGCCACTCCCTGCAGCCGGATAATAGACCTTGGCCGGACGCGACGGAGGAACAGAGGGGAGAGCGCAAAGGCTCGACGAGGACTCGGGGCTGTGGCTACCTACGTCTGACCTTCTGCCACGCGACGAGTCTGCCCCGAGGTTCTCATCGAGGGTCGCCAGGGAGACGGTGGACGGCACAACCGTCTTGGTCAAGAGGGTCAGTGAGCACGAGACGACCGACAAGACCACCACCCAGAGCACAAACATGCCGAAATTCACCCACTCGTTATTCTGACGCATAGGACTCATGATGGACGACCAAGAATACCACTCGTTACAGTCCATGTTCCCGCGACAACAACTGCTCCGACTGTGGAACCATCTCGTCGTGCAGAACCCTTCCTTGAGATCAAAAACGAACCCATCCGATATGTCCACCAAATATGCAAGAGCAGCCATGATGCAACCGATAACCGCGACCAAAATCCATCCCTGAGCACCGTCAACTCGAGCTAGAAGCCGACCGCGGATATCCTTCCTCTGTCGCAGTTGGCGGAGACGAGCATTGTCGGCAATGCTATCATGAACCCAATCGGTAGACGTAAACTGATCGTACCACGCCCGCTGATCCATGAAAGACGCAGTCAGCGGGTCCTTAAGCGATGGCGCCACACTTTCCGGACGCTCTGTATCCATACTAGCTCGTCGACTGGCATACCGGCGGACCTGCGAGTTCGCGCAACTGGGGTGTCTCGAACGGCGCAGACTCCCTGCTGCCAGGTTATGTCTGTCGTTAATCGTGGCGTACGAACGGCCTCGAGATCCGGTAGGATTGTCCTGCAATTTCCCTAAAAGACTACTCGTCTCTCCGAATTCCCCTAAGGACTGATACCCCGAGTGGGGTTCTTCAGGTACCAAGCCATAACCCCGACGGTAGGCAGACGGTGACGGAGGAGCGGTCCGGAGGTGAAAAGGGTCATGGTTTTCATCAGGGAGTTGAATTCGAGAAGGAGGTCTATTGACGTCGGAGGCGATTGAGCGAGACATGGTCAGCTAATGCGACGGGAAGCTATCACTGCTTCGGAAATGCGGTATCTAGGATATCTTTTAAATCAGCACCAGGGTCCCTCCGATAACGGTGGCGGTTGAAGTGCAAATAAAAATAGGAGAGTCACACTGACAAGCATACTAGATCGAGGTTAGTACTACTATTGAGTAGTATCATCGAGGGTCAGAATCACGACTCCGGGCCGGGCAGAGGGAGAGATAGAGCGAGGGAAGGCCGATCCCGTTTCGGAGGCTGGAAATGGCGGGGGAGAGTCAATAAAGAGAAGGAGAGAGAGAGAGAGAGAGAGAGAGAGAAAGAAGTCAGTTTATACGCTAGTTATTATACTGGAATTTATATGCGAGAATCAACAATGAGGCAGATAAACGAAGTTTGAAGCCTTGATAGTGCTGGAGAGTTTCGCCCATTGCCCGAATAGGAAAGACAGAGGTCAGCTGATCAGCATACAGGGCCGGAAAACGCGTCAAATGGTCAGAATTGTTCTGCTCTGATACATTCCGATGATCAATGCCCCGCTAACACTCAATCATAGCAACTGGTTGACCTAGTCATGCCTGCTTCTGCGTCATTAGCATGGTCATCTGCTGCATATGCACCGTTTAATCTATTCCTCGTATCGGTGGACGGCACTCATATAAGTAGATCCGATCGTTACAGGCCTGAGCACAAGCTTAGCATTTATGGCATACACTACATTCTTTTTATCATCTGAATATCAACAGGCTAAGCGCTCTGCAACAGGCTCTCCCACCACCCTGCCTCCACCCCTCCCACACCAAACGCTGTCTGTTCGGGCTTACATTTAGTCCCATGCTCGGGCAGTGTACCGTTCGCGAAGTACTCCCGGATCGCTTTGATCGTGCATTCCGAACGGTGATTCATCACACCATGCTATTGATATATTAGCCGCATCCTACTGCACCTCGGAAACAAAACTTACCCCATGCCCCTCATGCACTACAACCCGACTGTTCTTAAACCCAGCAGACACCTCATACGCAGAACTCAACGGCGTAATCGGGTCGTATGGACTATTCGCCAGCAAAATCGGGAAAGCGGTGCTGATGTTCCTCCAGCTGCCTTCATACCGTTCCGCTGCGTCCATCTTCCACTGAGCGCATACCCATACTTGTGGAACGAACGCGTCAGCAAAGGTTCCCTGCTGTGACTGCGTCTGGATCAGACTGTACATTTCCTGGGGAGAGTTGGCCCGGAACGTGGTGTCAGAGCAGCCGATTCCATGGAAAGCTTGTTTTGGGAGATTCCACGAGAGCGCATCAGCCTGGTCAGTCGGGTTCGTATAGCTGGTCCACTCGCGCGAAAACGCCAGATATATTTGAATCATGAGTATCGTGAATGAAGTAGGATTGTAGAGCCCATTGAAGATATTGAATTTCAGCTGGTTCAGAAGGTTCAGGCCCCCAGGTTGCCACCAGTACCGCAGAGGGAAATTGTCCGGGAGGATGATGGGTTCGTCGATTAGTTCTTGGAAAACCTCACCCAAGGCGGCGGTGAGGTCCTGAGGCGTAGTGTCAGGCCCGGTTTGGTTGGCAAATGGGCATTTTTCTGGCCCAGCGGCGATACATTCGGTGAAGAAATTGTTCAAAGAGTTGTCCGTCTGGCGGATTGCTGTCTGCCAGGTGCCCGAAAAGTAGTCATCTGCTAGGAGGACACTGTCGAGAATCATCCGGCCTACACGATCCGGGAACATAGCCGCAAACGTCTGGCCCAAGACGGTACTATAAGACCGCCCCCAGAATCGTAGCATCCCGTCTTCATTCAGAGCATCGACGATCTGGAGCATATCGCGAGCAACGAACGCGGTGCCATACAAGTGACCGGTGTTCTTGAAGGTCTCGTAGCAAGCATCAGCTACGATACCTCCATCATGCCACGCTTTAGATTCCAGTAAGTTCCAGACGTCTTCCTGGGGCAGTGTCGTCACTGGCGTGTCGCGACGGGCTGTTGTGTTCGACTTGGTCTCCGGTAGGTTGCAGGTATATGGGATAGTATGCCCGGTACCCCTGCACAGTCGTTAGACAACTTAGTTTCAAGGGGCATTTTGCATATACTTACCGAGCATCGAACCCAATGATATCGTATTGTCCACCTAACGTCTCAACATAGAGCGGCCCCTGCTGAGCTACCTCTTCCACGCCAGAAGAGCCAGGCCCTCCCGGGTTGAAGATGACACTCCCTTTGCGTGGCCCCTGGGTAGCATTCACCTTGACCAGCTGCAGGTCCAACGTTCTCCCATCTTTGGGATTGGTGTAGTCAAGGGGGACTTTGAGAGTCGCACAATCTATGGGGACGGTGATTGCGTCTTGCAGTGATTGGGGAAAGTCGAGGTCACAGGGTGCCCAGTTTAAACCTCCCTTAGAAGTAGCGGAGTTCTTGCTAGCATGGGGAAGAGCTTGCACGAAGCCGTACGATAAAAGTAAAAATGCTGTACTGATAGACCACATGGTGAGCGGCGCTGATATTCGGATAATTCCGTGAGCAACGAACCTACCCTGTAATCGGTAGTATTTATACTACTCCAACGCATCGTATATCCAAAAACGTATACGAGGCCCAGCGCAGAGATGCGTGTCCGCAAGATGGTTCCGTCCATTCGGATTTCGTATTCTGTCTCGGCGTCTGGCTTGGCCATGGTCAGCCTTGCAAGTATGTTCTCTTTGGGCACGCTGATGTCGATCAGTCGGTTGTTCGTGTCTATTTCTTTTAAATAGACATGCTGCAGAATGATGTAACTGCATTGAGTATGTAAATAAAATCATGGTCTTCTGAATGTTGAGCCAAGTTTGAACGGCGAAACTGTATGGGTGAGGGGAAAGTCTCGAATTGGGTAAATCCGGTTCACCACTTGATGGAAAGAATTGTTTGTTACTCTGCCTAGAATAGTCGTCTTTTCATCTACGTGTGTGGATACATTACTGTTTAACCCCAATGATAGATTCTCGCGGACAAATCCTATGATGATCGATTTGAGAACCACTCCACACATGTTCCAAACCTGCAACGAGCCAAATGTCAAATGAAGGGCGTCGGCAAGATCGGGCCCGATGGCACCGAACAAAGTTGTCTAGAGGTTTGCCTTATGTCTCCCAATATAAATTGCTGGTTATCCTAGTGACCAAGTTTAGATACGTCTCGGATTTTCTAGACGACCAAGAAGATTTTATTGGGAAGTCTTACATTTTTTTTGCCTTGAATCGCTTGAAAATGGGCCATTTCGATTCAGAACACGAATTGAAGAAACCCTGGATTGAAACGCCTTTGATCGAGTCGGCGACACTTTCAAAGGCTGCCGGATGGTAAGATTGGGCTTTTATTTTCACTAATTAAAGTTCCGGGCGCTGAAGAGTAAATATAGTAGAATTTTCCTCAAATTAGAGTCGCTCCAACCTTCTGGCTCGTTCAAATCACGGTGAGTTCGGCATTCCATGTTGCAGCGTGTCAAAAGAGGTCTGATACAGAATCGAAACTGGTTCAGGGGCATTGGAAACTTGATCCTCACATCTCTTTCTGATCCATCAAACAATGGCAGAACCCTGCATTTTTTCAGCTCCTCGGCAGGCAATGCGGGGCTCGCAGCAGTTATAGCCGCTGGGGATCTCGGTTGTTCCTGTACTGTTGTTGTGCCCCTTAGCGCGAAGCCTATGATGATCAAAAAAATACGCGCTGCAGGGGCTTCGGATGTTATCCGCCATGGCGCCAGTTGGTTCGAAGCTGATGCGTATCTGCGGGAAAATTTCATCGAAAATGAAGACAGCAAGTCAGATCCCTTGGCCAGGAACATTTATGTCCCACCATTCGATCACCATGACATCTGGCGAGGTGCGGGGACTCTGGTTGATGAGATAATTAAGCAGTTACCTCCAAGGCACTACGGCAAAACCGATACCTATTGTTCATTCCCGGCAGATGCAATCGTTTGCAGCGTTGGTGGTGGTGGTCTTTTGAACGGGATTATCGACGGCCTTGAGAGGCATTTGCCAGCCCATCAACCGACAACGCTTCCCAAGAAAGCGGTGAAGAAAGTTCGAATTCTCGCTGTTGAAACCGCTGGGGCGGATTCGCTGGCGCATTCGCTACGCAAGGGTTATTTGCAACCTCTACCTGCAGTTACATCGCAGGCAATCACCCTGGGGGCACTCTGCGTGGCACAGCAGACGCTGAAAAACGTGCAATCCCCTCCGCCCGGTATCGAAGTCACTAGTATTGTGGGTACCGACGCTGATGCTGCGGTGGGAGTTGTGCGTTTGTGTGATGAGCTGCGGTTGGAGGTCGAGCTGGCTTGCGGAATAAGTGTCCAAGTTGGGTTAGATAGGCTAAGGGAAGTCATGACAGACCTAACACCGGATAGTCGAGTTGTAATCGTTGTTTGCGGAGGAAACGGTGTTACTTCTGAAATGATTACGGATTACCGCCAGAAGCTTGAGAATGGTTGGCAATGAAAGATGACTGGAATCGATGTGGGAAAAAGCTGATGTTGGAACTGGTTGGTGGAAGGTCATGAATTACCTACTCTCCTGGTCAGAGCCATCTATATATTGACGCTTGAGGGTAATGAAGCCACAGTATTAGATACAATTTTAGAAGGGGTTCCAAAATTTTTGCCAGCCATGCTGTGAACTGTTCGATTCCAGTGTCCGCTGGAGTTTTCATGGAGCGATGCAAACACGATCGGAAGAATTGTCTGCACATTATTGGTGACGTATAGGCAGACGAGCTCATTGTTCCAGATATAAAGAGCACGCTCGGCAACCTGGGAATGCGGGCTGCTGATACACTTGGCCAGTTGAACGAACAGAGGCCGCTGCAACTTGTAAAACTCAGCTGGACCTATTGTTTCAACAATAGTCTCCAGCTCATCGAGGTACAGTACCTCCTTTGAACTGTTTGTCTTGGGCCAGAAGCGCAACAAACCAAAGACAAATGTCTTCAGTCCATGTGAGATCTTTTTTCAAGAACTGAACAACGCAATAAGCTAGTTGTGGGTAATACATGCTTAAACTCCTGAATGTATGAAGTGGAAGCGAGACCCGAGTGAAGAAATTTTCATATTCTTCCTTCAGAGGAAGTGCCAACCCATCGATAATCGAACCAACCAACCCCCCCCCCCCCCCCCAGCAGATCTGCTATTCCGTTGTGACGTTCTGTTTCGTAGATGAATTGGAAGAGGATGTTGTTGATTGATCTTCGGATATATGGCCGCAGGCAATGAAATTTAGCATAAATGCGATGCAACGTTCTTTTGAGAAGTTTGCGTTCTCAGGGGTACCCTGAGTCAAACCGATCTAGAAGCTGAAATACAAACCGATGGTCGATAAACGGCTTCGCAATCGTAGTATCGAATTCCTCGCTCTCGATAAAGGCCAGGAAAAACTCATACACGAGCCTCATATGAGGCCAGGCGACTTCTCTCGCGCACAATCTAAAGCCTCTAGTGTAGAGAAGAAATCGCTTCGACAGAAAATATATCGGCGCAAGACGAATCTAGAGAAAAAGTTGCACGAGTATAGCAATATATGCGGGGCGGATGTTTCCTTGGGCATACGAATTCGGGAATCGGGACAAGTGTTCATCTTCGCGGATGCATCGGGGTTTTGGTCGTTCCTTAGCTCTCAGCTAGTATGTGCTCCCAAAAGCCTCCGTGACTTCGAGTATCCTGACATTTCTAGAGACCCTACTATCCAACGCCAGTTCAGTGAACCGAAAAGAACCTCTAGGTGGCGAAGCATAAGGATTCCGAGGCAGAAAAAAAACATGTATGCCATTCAATTCAATGTGGGCGCGCCGACGTCTAGCTATTTTTAGTTCGCCTTAGCTTCGACTAATGGCTCTGGATCTCGAATTGAGAGGGCATTTATGCGGAGGAGGATTCGATGCTGAACGACGAGATAGACCACAACAAATCATGCAGATATCCGTTGGACATTTCATAGTATCTTCCTCAGGAGACGAGGGCTCTTGTGGCTGTTCAGGCAGATCATCCTCATCATCGAAATTCCAATTGACTCGGTTGCCACATCTGCTCGGTTCGCAGAGCCGCAAAAGCGCAACCAAGTCCTTGGTAACCTGGATGCGTCGAGCAAGTAGCTTGTCCTCATCAAAGTTCTCTGCGTCGGGGCCGTAAAAGTTTTCCACAAGACGTGCCCGCTCGGGAAACGCATATGTTGGAGTAGGTAACTCCCAGTCTTCATCAGCAGAACTTTCAGCATCAAATCTTTCAACATCAGATTCGCCGAGAAGTTGCTTGATCTGTCTGTCGACTTCGAGTACGGGTGCATTCTGGAAATAATCCTTTCTAGCTGTCTCACGAGTATCGGTTGCCAAGGTTTTCCGAAGTTTGGCCAGATCTTTTTTGACGGCTTCGTGCCTTTGGTAGAGGTGCGGAAAAGGCTCTCGGGCATTCTTTACAGTGCCGGCCAGGGATCGCATTTCCGCCATGAGCTCTCTCTTCTATCGTCTAAGCTGCAAGGTTTCGGGACGTTGGCAAATGGCACGCTTGTGCGCATCGGTAAGATTGGACGGTGCTAATGGATCCCTTTTCCTGATAATGCTTCCAGCGACGCGTAGAAGGCCTTCCTGGGATGGTCGAAGAAGAACAACATGCTGGAGATCACGCCCAATGAATTGTGATTGGTAGTGTTTTTCGAAGACCGCGTCGCCAGACTGGCCAAGCACCCTTTGCCGTTCCTGGCTAGTAAAGTTCCCTATAAGCAATTAGTGACACCTAATATGAGAGTATCCCCGTTATCATAGCGGGGGAAGGGCTTCATCAACGGGTAACATACGGTTGACTTCATTTGCAGTCCAGCGGCGGAAGTTGTAATGTCCAATATCGTCTTCGAATTTAGCATCTCGACCTAACTCCCTGAGTGCCTGCCGACTTGATTCATAAGTCATCGGCAAAGACTCATGGAGTTCATAGCCATATGGGGTGTGCTCAAGACGCCGAAGGAGGGGCATATTCAGAACCTCGGGCTTCCACCGGAGGGGAAGAGATGAACTGCGTTTTGGAACACACAGCCGCCAAACGAGCTCTGGAGTGAGCTCAGTATTGACAAAAGCCCCATCGCGGAAAGCAAACGAAATAATTTGAGCAATTGGGCAATATGCCAGTTGGTAATCGCCGTGCATTAAAAACTTGGTTCCGGAGTCAAGGATCAGTATCGGATCTGCTCGGTGGAATTTGGAGGGGAAAAAATCCCTTACCCATCAGCGCCTTCTGACCGACCTTTGAGATTTTGAAACTCGATAATGGCACAAATGACATCTCGTTTGCTTTTAGGGTCTTTCAGGTAGAAAAGTTCAATATGTATCATGATAGCACACTGGATCCGGAAGCTCTTTCAGGGAAACGTATTTGGGAAGATCACTTTGGAAAGCCTGAGTTATCAATAACCATAAAAACTCTAGGCACCTCGTAAGGATTCATTTCGATCTCAAAAGGTTCTCTGCTATGCTTTTATTCAATACGACACTGTTGGCGCCACCATAGATCTCGCCCGATCTAGGAAATGATGTGCATCCCCTCAATTGCTATGAACGAGCAAACTGTATCGCTCAAGTTGCTTTGACTACTAAATAAGACAGCATGGCGAAGGGTTCCTCTTTGATATAGGGCTGAAGTATTCGGGCGGCACATGCACCTGACCCACGCCGACCCACGATCCATATCGGGAATACCTGTCACCCCACCCAAGCCATACATCTGCCCCTCTTGCGTCTTCATTATCCAATCATTTAACAGCCTAAAATAAAGGAAACACTCCCCGAATCGTGGGTGTCTCCACACCCCACCTCCACTTCCCCACGATGTCTACCCCGGATTTACCATTCAACCCGTCTCAAATATGGCAAATATCTCCTGTAGTTTAAGACTATATAAGAAGTAGAAGACGCGGGGTAGTATGTTCGTAATTGCCTTTGCTTTCCCGGGCACAAAAAATGTCGTTAGAGACGAAAGAGTCCTCGATCGAGGAGATAGACAATGGTAAAGGATATGCGGAAAACATTGAGCAGGGACAAATCACAACAACCAATGTCGAGTCTTCACTGTCTGAGTCTCATCGCGAGTATCTCCTTAAGCGCCATGGCACTCTTGATCTCGATCCGATTCCTAGTCCATCTGGTGCGGATCCGTATAACTGGCCGGCTCGGAAGGTAGTCTGCCTACCTCTGTTTACATCAAGAGAGGCTAATTGACTGTCTGAATAGAAAATAGTCAACCTCATCCTCGTCGCATTTCACGCCAGCATCTCCACAATCACAGCATCCAGCATTACACCCGCCTACAAAGACATCGCCGTTGACCTCGGTGTATCCCTCCAACGGGCGAGCTACCTAACATCCCTCCAGATCGCCATTCTAGGCGGAGGACCGTTTATCTGGAAGCCTCTATCCCATCGCTTTGGTCGTCGCCCTATCTTCCTATTGTCCCTTATACTGAGCGCAGTGTGCAATATTGGTTGTGCAAAGAGTCCAACATATGCGTCCATGGCTGCATGCAGGGCTCTCACGGCGCTGTTTATCTCGCCTGCTGCGGCAATTGGGAGTGCCGTTGTGGCGGAGACGTTTTTCAAAAGGGAGAGAGCAAAGTATATGGGTGTTTGGACGTTGATGATTACCGTGGGGGTTCCAATTGGTATGTTTACGCCTTCGGCGCCTTGTGTGGTCCATACTAAATAGTACAGGACCACTCGTCTTCGGCTTTGTTGCATATCGCGTCGGCTATCGCTGGATATACTGGGTCCTGGTCATCACGAATGGCGTACAATTCATCCTATACCTCTTGCTTGGTCCGGAGACGAGGTATCTCGGCGGCAATGTCGAAAACCAACATTCAACCCTGAAATCGCAATATCTTTCCCTCGGACGAATTGACCCAAGTCCCCTAACATGGACGGAGTTCATCCGTCCTCTGTCCATGGCCAAGCATCTGAACGTCCTCTTCCCCTCAATCATTTACGCCATGGTCTTTCTCTTCGGCAGTGTCCTCATCACAGTCGAAGTCCCGCAACTCCTACAAGAAAAGTTCGAACTAAACACAGAACAACTAGGCCTCCAATTCCTCGGTGTGATCATTGGCTCTGTCCTAGGCGAGCAGGTCGGAGGCTCCCTCTCGGACTTCTGGATGAATTCCCGCGCACGCCGGATACAGCGCAAGCCTGAGCCTGAGTTTCGTCTCTGGCTGAGCTACCCTGGTATCCTCTTGGCCATCGCGGGTATTATCGTGTTCCTGGTGTGTATGGAACAAGCACCTGAGGGTCACTGGGTGGTCAATCCTATTGTCGGGACAGCTGTGGCGGCGTTTGGAAACCAAATTGTCACGACGGTCATGATCACTTACGCGGTGGATTGCTGTCCGGAGGATCCGGGGAATGTGGGTGTGTTTATCACGTTCGTGAGGCAGACGTGGGCGTTTATTGGGCCGTTTTGGTAGGTTTACCTTTCCTCTCTTGTGATTGATGTGTTGCTAATGAGGTAGGCTCCCTGATATGTTTGAGAATGTAGGAGTTGCGGCTAGTTCGGGTATTACGACTGCTCTTATGGTTGTTTTTAGTTTGATATTTGCCGTGCTTTTGCATGTGGTTGGGAGGAAATGGCGACCTGGTGTTGAATAACTGTCTTTGCCCTGGGCTTGGGTATCACTCAATTGATCTGAATATTATATACTCCCTGTTGGGCTGGGGCAATGTTACACAATAACCGTATATTAGCCCTCGTTGGAGTATTTCCGTCCGCTCAGCCATGTTTCAGCTAACACCAACACGAGTCCGCATAGTCAAATTAAACTTCATTTTCACTACCGGTATGATAATAGATCTAATGTCCGGCAAATCCGTCCATGGTTGGTAACTCAGTAGTAAGATTCACTTACTAATGCGGGATACCGGGATCCATGTGGGATATATGCGGCGGGATACCACTATCAGGTTACATATAAAAACCTAACTCTAGCAGTCTAAAACATATTTAATATAATAAGGCTCAAACCAAGTTATTCATTGCTCTTTCAAGGATTTTATGCACATTCAAGTAGCCGCCAACATGAGCTTCGCATTAACCGATGACGGCCATGAAATCTACTACGAAGTACATGGCACTACCGGCCCGACCCTAGTACTTGTATCGGGCTACATGGGGCATCGCCAACATTTGGAAACCGCTACTAGCCAAACTGGGCCCAAAATACCGCTGCATCGTCCACGATCTCCGCGGGTTTGGCCGATCATCCAAGCCCGAATCTCCCGAAGCCTACAGTGTCCCCCGCCACGCTGCAGAACTGGACGCTATCATCAAAGCTCTCGGAAGCCAGATCAACGAGTGTTTAATTCTCGTAACTCATTCCATGGGCAGTAACATCGCCACTGCATATTATCACAGCAATCCGCACAATGTCGCAGGCATCGTCTACACGGGGACTTACTTCGACGGCAAGCTCATCGAGAACTTCCTGCCATACGACGCACTCACATCTGGCATTGAGAGCCCAAGTAAATGTGTCGAGTTCTACGCCAGCATGGGCCTCGACGAGACCATTGCCCTCGAGGCAGCAAAGTGGCCCCCTTGTGCACGCAGAAATAATGCCAGGGCGCTATTGTCTTTCGAAATAGGTGACATGTACTTGACTGCAAATGTCCCTGGGCTTATCATCCAAGGGGCAACGGATATGGCTACTCCCGTGGAGGGATATGAGACCGATTCAGCAGGCGACGCCTTGTCGACTGGAGGTCCTTAATGAAGTCCAGCATTTTCCTCCTACAGAGGCACCGAGTGAGGTGAAGAGGTTAGTTGATGAGTTTGTCGGGACTTTGCTTTGAGTTTCTTGCTTGCTTTTTTTTTTGCTGCTGCTGGTCTGCTTCAGTATACAAGTAACGTCTAAGTGCTGGTCATGAGCAGCTCTCTATTTCCTTTGTATATTATGTTAGAATATATACTCACGACGAGCAACATTTTGCGAAAGGAAGGGATAAGAAAACGATGGATCAATTGGGTTTAATTAGAGTTGGTATAACCGAGTGCATTTATACTGGCAGCCACACTCGATATGCAGCAGTGCCTTATGAGCCTCCTATTCTTAGCCATGCCCCCCAGGAACAGCAAAGTATTCTGATTTTACGAGGTGGGCCTTATCAACCTCAATGTTTTTGGCCCCATCTTCCTACTGATAAGCAGCCCAGCCGTCATTCTACATTTGATATTCGATATACCCCGCCAAACCCTGCCAAACATTAATCACGCCCACAAGAGATCATTAGCATTAGTCGCGACATCAAGAACTTCAATTTACTCGTGTGTAATTACAAGGCGCGCTTGCGTTGCCGGATATACAAGAGATAGTTGATCAAGATCATGAGATTAATAGAGCGTTGAAGGATCTGCAAAATCCTATGGATAATTGTCGGTTAGCGTGCGATCGGGTTATGCGCAAGTTGGTTCCGCATCTTCGGCTTGAGGAGTCTGCGCATAATGGCTCTGGAGATGGGTCGAAGCGGCGCATGAGACGGGGTGATGTTATGTGGTTTTGGAGGCGGAGGGAAGGCACAGCGAGGTTGTGGAACTACTCTTACAACATGGAGCAAATCCTAATGCTAGGACTAGTTCTGGTCGACCGGCACTACAGGAGGCCTGTATGGGTGACGATCCAGAGCCAGTCAGAGTATTACTGAAAAACGGTGCTGATGTGAATGCAAGAAGCTATAATCATGTATGTGTTGACCCTTCAGGTTCAATGTTTTTCATCGGCTAACCTTAATATAGGGCTGGACGCCATTACACGAAGCTGCTCACCTTGGTCATTTTGAAATCCTCCAAATCCTACTACAATACAAACCCCTACTCGATATACCCGCGACACACGAACCCGAGGGAGCAACACCATTATACTTCGCTTTTCGAGACCAAAACATCGACATCGCCAAACGGCTCCTAGCAGAAGGCGCAGATCCTAACGTCCCCATAGTCGAAGACATCACGCCTCTCCACTTAGCTGCCACAGCAGGCTGGATAGATGGTATCAATGCGCTGCTCGACAAAGGCGCTTTTATTAATCTCCGCGACGAGTTTCTTCGCGAAACTCCCCTACATAAGGCGGCACGGAACCTAGAGAAAGTGGCGATTAAGGTTCTATGTGCACGTGGTGCTCACGAGGACTTGAAGAATCTTGATGGTCTGGATTATCGGGGTCTTTTGGAATGCGCGGAACGGTACCCGGATGAATGGCATGTTGGGGATGATATGGGTACTTATTGCACCTACTATTAATTTTGAAACTTCACTGAGTCCTATGGTTGAGGTGCATTCCAGGCTCGTCGCGGCTCTCCAGTTATATTTATGATTGTACCACTATATTGAAAGAGACCATAAATCATTCCCACCCTTCAATCCCCTTCTCCAGACTATCCTTAACAGAAGTAAACCCAGACAGCCCATAGAACCCACGAAGCAAATCCTCTGCTCTTCCTCGCGGTAGGACATTAGTTCGATCTAAATATTCAAGGAAGCCCTATTGAAGCTTACAGGTGGAGTCGCTTTACGCAGTGGTAAAGAAGCTGAGCGATAAAATCCTCAACCAGAGTGGCATCAGTTGAGCCGTGGAAGACACGAACAATCCCATCCTCGGCATATGCAGGCAGTATTTGCGAGTCTGCCGGTGGAGACACAGCCGTACCAACCATGAAGCCAAAGGCGATCCTGAGTGATCGGGGATCAGTTCTTACTCACGCCCCCGCCGGTCTTTTTACCTTCTCGCCGGGTCAGTTTTCCGGCGGCGCTATCTGACTTTGCTCAGCCCTTTAATATATATTACTCGCCTCAGCCGTGGGAATAAAAAGGGCCTGATATAAGCGCGCTCACTAGCAAAAATATGACCAAAAATAAATGATATGCTCGCTTCGCTCAAAAAAAAAAAAAAAAAAAAAAAAAAAAAAAAAAAAAAAAACAAACATACAACAGCCTGGATTCGTTGGTGTAGTAAACAAGTCTACACCTGGTCAGATTTTCGGTGTAGTAATCATAAATTTTTCTAACCCTATCGGTATAAAAGTTCTTACTTATGATAGTCTAATCCATTTACTGTGACTCAACACCCTGAGCATACTCTCTCATGTACTCCGCCATGACCTCATCTATGGTACGGTTAGAATGTTCAAATCAATTGAGAAGAATAATTTGTAGGCAGAGGGTACTTACAGCTTGCCACAGACTTGGTCAAGTGCAGCTTCATGTATTGGGGTTGATCCTACAACCATGTTCGTCAATAGGCAATTCAGAATTCGAGCCAGGCTATCCATACCGTGCTCTTGGCTCCTTCGTTAAGCCAGTGTTGGATCTCCCGTGCATCTTTAATAGTGGACTGCCAGTAGCCTGCCAGTATTCCGGCAGACAACCTAAAAGAGTTGAGAGAGCTGTTTCCAAGCAGCTCCAGCTCTTGTCGAGTCTGTCGAATCTTCTCAAGCTGCTTCTCGAGCTTTTCCTTCCTTTTGGTCTTCTCATCGATTTCATGCTCCGTCACTGTGAATTGTTAATATTCATCAGATTGGCCAATAAATTGTACAGGGTCCATACGGTTAATACCAACAGTGAGGCCAACAATAATTGCAATGGACACACCAGCAGCAATGAGCCCTCCGATCTAGCCAAGTCAGTCAGTCTGAAAAACCTAGGTACATGGTCGACATTAGGCCATATGTGAACATACCACTATCGGGACGGCGCCAGCTTCAAAGACTTGGACTAGTATGCTGATCACTGGGACAATACCAGCCCCAATAGTGACGAAAGCGTCTCTGGCAATCTTAAGGTCCCTCAACTTCTTTCGCAGATCCTCCAATTTCTTCTCCAGCTCTTCGATATCCGCGGTAATTTTGCCCTCTTTATCTTGAGCCCAGCCAGAGAAAGTGCCGACAAAATCAGAAAAGGACTGAATGAGGTCTTGGAAACGGCTGTCGAGTCCAGCTGCATCTTTTTTGAATTTCTCGGATTCCTGTATCAGTGTTAGTTTTTTTCATAATTAAATTGACATGAACCACATAAGGGTCATCATCACCTCGATGTAGTCCTTGATTTGACTTTGGCGCTCCTCGATCGACTGGTTTTCATCAGCGCAGAATTTGACTGTAACTTTATCGAATGCTAAATAAATGCTAGGTTATTGAACATGGCTCTCATAGAAATGATCGAGCAGCAACTCACAAGATCCGTATTGAGCGATGTCAACTGCAAATATTGCGACTATCCCGCAGCAGCGTCTGGTACGTCTATTGAAAATGGGTGTTAGAGAAAAAAGACGCAACAACAGTCTGAGTAGAATGACACACGTTCTGGAGCTCTAGCAATGGCTTCTGAAAGTCAGACTTATGGACTTTATCGATCTGAATTATTTTGAACAATGGCCGCTGGAAAATGGAATTGATCTCCTTTGCCGCTCGGGAGGCCGACGAAGACGAAGCATAGATATACTCCTTGGATTCTGGGGATGACGCGGTCTGAGCAAAACCAATGGCAAAGTCCTGCTTTTCTTTCTTCGTCTTCAGCGGAAAATGCTTATCAGCGCTCTTCATGAGGACTGCGATCTCTCCTTTGGAGAGACCCTTGGCGGCATCGAGCACCTTCTTCGGCGTTGGATTCGATCCAATGAGGTCATTGAGCTTTTCCTCCACCTCTTCATAGGGTGGAGGGGGGCTGTCAGTCACATATTCATCGGGGGAAGAAGCCATATTGAAAGATGAAAAGGAAGCAGGCAATTGTCTTGAAGATAGAAAGACATTGAACTGGGCTGTGTTTGTTTATATGCGTGCCTACTGGTCATGTGAGCCGATGCCAGGAAGAAAAAAATCACTCAATTCATGTGTCTGGACATACCTCGACCACGGCTTTACGACCTGTTCGCTAAGCATTGAACTCAAAAAAAAAAAAAAAAAATCTGGTGAGGGAGGGTCCAGCATCGACTGTCAATCTTCAGCTGAACTTATGCACGTTTCAGCTGGCGTCATTCCAACTCAATCATGCATAACACCTAGTGGGTTATTTGTTATTGTAATATCTACTCCGTATCTAACAGCCTTGTATTCTTGGGTATTGGCACTGCCATGATCTTCAACATGCAGTTGCTGGCTAACGCACAAAGCCCAGAATGGGTTTTCAGTGCACAGGTTTTAAATTTACAGTACCTTCAGCTGTATTATTCAACCAAAGAAGTCATCCCGAATATTTCGCCAGCTCCTGACGTTTCAGTACTTGCAGAACTGTTCGGATTCATTGGCAAGAATCCCACGCCTCGAAAATACATCGGGGCGGGGGAAATGCTGTCGAAAACAGAAGCAGAAACAGTCATGCAATCCTCGAGCAAGATCCATCTCACTGATGCAGAGAAAGAGCAGTATATCCTTTCTGTTGCTCAGACACTGTCATCCGAGGACATCGACGATGTCATTGAGAAGACAGCCAAAGAAGCCTACCAAAATGCAAAGGACGTTCAGTCTGCATTTATGAAAGCTACTGTTGGGCTTCTCGTAGGTAACCAGTACAACAATACACAATTTTCGCGTCGGATAAAACCGATTGTTCGTGTAAATATTCTATATTTTTGGGCAGGGCTAAGAGAAGAGGGGTTAGTATCGGACAGACTTAGTATCCCTCTGTCGAGGAATATTGCCCAGTACGGAGATAGTGAGTTCCACCACTAGAAAGTCCCTGTTCATTGCTAAGGCCATTCAGAATTTGACGACGAGGTCATTTCTCTCTGTACGAATCTAGACTTTTCAATTGACCAGCGTAAAGCGAAGATCGCGCAATACATCTCGGTATGTCCTGAGTTGAAAAAGTACACTAGCAATGCGCAAATTTTTGTCCTCACGGCTGATGTCACAGGCAACAGAGAAGTTTGAGAAATAGTCCAAGGAAATCCTGGATCGACTAGACGGTCTCAGTTTGACATTTGCCCGGCTTATTGCAGAGGTCCACAGCTCAACCCATGATCCGAGTGGCTCTCTCCAAATGGTCGAGACTGGGTATGAGGATCCAGTTCAAAGATTCGGATCTGGTGTGAACTTGGGTCTACCACTACTCTCATTAGCCTTTTCTTTGTCTGCTCCTCTATCTGCCTTTTCTTGTCGGTAGGTAGTTAGTCTCATGCCAGGGTGTAACAGCTGAGCTGAACTGAACTTGATCATAACAGATTGGAAGACCCATTGGCCTTGGCACTATTCCAGCGCCGAATGCGAGTCTAGCCATCAGTTTCGCAATCCAATCGGAGGCAGCAGGAGGTGTCTCCACGCATGCGTACAGAGTATGCAGACAGGATTTGGGTGCTGATCCTTTCGACAGAAGTGGCCAAAGTACATGAAAACGAACCTTGACAAGGGTGTCAAACTCTGTTCATCTCTTGTACATGCCTTCATCTACATCAATTGCTGATCCATGATGCTACAGACACTGCCTTAGCGAAGTATCTCCGAGGGTATGTATCTCCGATGGTATGCCCAAGGGATTGAAAACATGCACGCGGGAAAATTACCAATGTGGAACTAGTTAGAAGATGTAGTGGCTACACTCAGCTCAACTCAGCTGGTCATGGCTTTGCGAATGTCCTCGATTTCGAAAATGTTACATGCCGTATTCTCAGGAGTCTTGATAATGCACAGGTTAGATGTGTGAATAATCTACATTAGTTTAGGCTGAAATATCCTATAGCCTATCGTGAACGACTGTTGAGGATGTGGTAGAGCTGAAAGTACGTAGTATATATCTTTAATAATGCTAACTATATCTGTGAGGCACTCGGTTAGGGAATCCATGTGAGTTGGCAGTAGATGAGAATAGAGACTTAGCCAATCGGAAATAGGTCGTCTCTGTACATAATCCATGGGCTTTTGCTGGAAGTTGTCCAATCCGTCCGGGCCGTCCCGTGCGGGTTATAGCGCGGTCTCTGAGCTGTCCATGTTCATCCCAGCTTTCTTCGATTGGAGGCCGACAGTGTGGTGAGGTGTTGCTGCATAGCATCATCTGCAGTCGAGACCTCAGCATCGATTCTTAGTACACTGAGTTGAGAGGATGTCAGCATAGCTCGTTCATTAACATGAATGCACAGCTTGGTCTGGCGGACTCCCAATCGACTAATTCATTGATGTCTCTATGAAAGGCCGCGCCAACGGCAACTTTATCGCGCACAGGGAAAACGGCACCCTCGCCAATGTCAATCTCAGCAAAGATCGAGGCGTCGGCAAAATGAAGCCTATAATCACTCAGTGATTCATTGTGCAGAGTGTCCCTATCGACATTGACTGCGACTGCCGATTCATCTTCTTCTGCAGGGTGGAGAACAACGAGTGGAAGGTACAATACGTCAAGCTATTTTACGAGAAGGATAAAGTCGTTCCAGTGGACAGCAAGACTGTGCCCGATTTCCCCAAAGAAGAACTGGAAAAGTATACACCAGGGTATCAGTACTTGTTTGTAGCACAACATTCGTTGGGCCATCCAATCTTGAATGACCTGCCAGACGCGAACAACGAAGGTTTCACTGCCATGTACAAAGCCATGGCAGACTGGATTGAGGGCAAAGATGTACATTTATTCTGGGAAAAGAAATAAATCAGCGCATGTTTAATGGGAGCTCTTGTTAATCATACAATGTTTCGCATTGCTGTGCATGAGCAGAGGTTGGGTACCTGGCGTGTCCAAAGTAATCTTCGGCCAACATGACATTATTTAGCCCAGTTGGTCCGCAGCTGAAAGTTCGGCAAACATCATCTCCTTCCTTTACATTATCGTCGACCTTGCGGAAACCAAGTCTTGTGTATGGTTAACAAACCGGTCGCTTCAATTGCGGCTTGAAGAAAGTCTCGGAGAATCTTGGAAGCCTTGAATGGCTAGCTCCACCCTATCTCAACATCCGGTGCTGCTCTAGACTTTTGTCAGGCAGTGATATGTATCTATGTGACTCCCAGTGCCAGAGTGCAAGTCATTATGCTAATTCATCCAGCGCGAGACATCGGCGCAAGAGATGTTGATCCGAGTGCTGGGATTGGGAATGTAGAATTACTGGAAAACATAAGTATTTTAATCAACTATATACAGGCTTCCTAAGCTCTCTAGTCGAAATACTAGAATAAGGGTAATTCAAAAAAAAAAAAAAAAAAAACACAAATTATCTCCAAAACTTTTGCTGCTGACAAGCTGTGAGAGAACATGGGGAGAAGGTAGTTTGTGATCCCCACTGTAGAGTTTGAAACCATCTTCTATGTAAAAACTGTTCTGGTGGTCTTTTTCCCTTTGAAAGACATCATGTTGACTTCCGTATATTCTGAACGTCTGATATATTTGCAGCCTGAGCCTCCCATCTACCCAGAATGTATAACCTACTGATGCCTGAGCATAGTAGTTAGCACAAGGTTTGTCTGCAATGGAAGGCAGTTGGAGGAGGTCTACCAAGTGAGCAATCCCATCTACTCCATCTAGTACACGCTGATGAGATGAATATCGCTAGGCAGTTGATGGAAGCAAAAGAAATTGTCTAGATATCTAACTAAGTACATCCAATTGGACCCCTACAATCTCATCGCAGAAAATACATTCTCCAAATCCCCCGCCCGAGTCACCCCATCTGCTGTGCGATGATTCCGTCCCCCAACTGGCGCACCACATTCAGGGCACGCTGTCGTCTGCACTGCTCCTCCACACTCTCCTATCGTAAAGGGGTGTCCATTCTGGCAGTAATACCAATGTCCGGTACCCCGGAACTCACGTGCCATAGCTTGGATAACCGCCATGCGTTCGTTGTTGGTAACGGCCGTGTAGAAAGTGACACCCTCAAGCATTCTTTCGACACTGTCGATTTCATCTGACAAGCCTTGTGTTTGGCCAGGGTGGGCTGTGCAAAGGGATCTTGCTTCGGTGATGGCTGCACGGCAGTTCTGCAGATGTGCCTCTGCAGCTTCTGGAGGAGAATGAGACCGCTCCAGAGCGTGCAACTGCGCGAGAAAAATATAACCTTCTGTCTGCTGGAGAATTCGGCTTGATTTGGTTGCCATGCTGATGAGCTCCTGACAATCTTCTTTTGTGTTGTCCAATTTAAGCTCAACTGTCACATTAGAAGAGGTCTTCTGCTTCAGAGTTAACAAGTCGGCCAAGAGCGCCAGATCAAGTCGTACACTGAGTGCCGTTCCCTGCAGAGCCCCCTTTGTTTGGAGCACGTTGTTGTCGAATTCAAACACGCTGGCTAACTTGTTGCGTTGTCGAGCATACCAGACCAAATCGCGAACCCGATTGAATGGCTGCTCATCCACATCGACACCTCGGCAGTACTTGTTGACTCGCTTGTGCATTTCGAGAATATTCTTCCATCGCTTTGGCGCAACCACATTCATTATTTTAACCATAGTGTTGACCTGCTGAGATCTCGTGCCACTGATTTGATAGCTATCAGGCCACGGTCGCCTCCCCTCATCCTTGGAATTCTGAAGCTGTGCGATCTGTCGAGGAACCTCCTGAGCTAAAGGCACATACTCCCGGTTGAGGTACAGAATCAACTTCTTAGTTGACTCATCTAGAATCGCACGACGGACGAGTCGACCATATCTCGCAATATCTCTCAGCGGCCCACGGCATGTCGCACATGTCTTGATATCGCCCATGGAAAAAGGATGGACTGCATCTGTAATGGCGACTGGCCTGTCCTCTGCATCGACGTCGTAGTGTTTTTTGAGATCCATTTGTGCATCCATACTCTCCACGGTTAGAAAGTGGCCACATTTGGGAAATACACATGGATTCTCATCCAGGTTGATTTCCTTGTATGGCTCACCGAGGATGAAGTCCACTCCGTGATTCTTGACGTCCTCATCTCCACATATCTGGCAGTAGCGACTAGATGGACAGGTCTCTCCACAGAGAGAGGGACATTGATGTCCACAGTCCAGCCTTATTTCGCATCGACGGCTGCAGGGAATGTGGTCGCATGGTGCTGCACAAGGTAGTGTACATGAGCTGTGCGGACACGCAGAAAAACACTTTTCTGCAGCACAAGGTGTGCAGGGCTCCTTGCATTTCCGCATACATCTTGAATGACCGCAGCTTACATCGCAAGGAGCCGGGCAAGGTGGACAGGGTTCATCTCCATGGCATTGTGTGGTACATGTGTGTGCACAGGTTGAGTGTTTTCGACCGCACTCCTGCTTGCAGGCACCATGGTCGATTTGCACACCTCCAGAATCAGGTTTCGTGACGCACTTTGAACACAAATTCTTGCACTTATGACCGCAGGGCAAGGGTTGATGGCATAACTTGGTACACGAATATTGACGTGATTTAACATCAATGAAGCAAGAAACACTGACTTTATGATGACAGTCCGGAACTTCCTTCATGACCAGAGTTGTACAACGAACTGTTGAAAGGTCCTGGCTCTGCCAACATGGGAGATTAGGCATGAGGTGGCCACATTCAAGTACCCTGTCTTTCTGAAATACATTGACCGTACACTTGGCTGGACAAGGGTTACCACATCTTTTTGGGCAGGGATGGGTACATCCTTTACGTGGTCGTGGACAAGGCTCCAGACAGTAGACTGCATTATGCAGCATCTCAGAATGGCACTTTTCTATGCAGGCATGACCACATGATAGACGATTCACACAGCGTTGATTGCAGCCTCCTTCGGGTGAGACTTGCAGGAAGTCATCAGGTTGAGAGACAGACATTGGGGTTTGTGGATGTCGAGGACACTGTAACTGCAAAGTCGCACCAATATTGTCATTTTGACGAAGGATCTCCACAACATTTGCCCACATGTCGACATGAATGGACGTCTGCGAATTGCCTATGATATACATCCCATGCTGTGCTCGTGATAAGAGGACATTAATCCGATTCGAAGTACGCAAAAACCCACATCGGTTCTGTGGATTGCTTCGAACCAGAGAGACCACCACGACCTTTGCTTCTTCGCCTTGGAAATTATCAATTGTCGCTGCCCGCAGAGTTTGCAGTAACGTAGCTTTAACGGCAGGATTGTTTGCATCGCCATCTTCGAAGCCGGCCTTGTCAAGTTCGTCCTGGTCTCGTTCTCCCAGTGTGATGGTGAAGGACTGACTAAGCTTCTGGCGAAGTCGATGGAGCTGGCCGAGATACGGAGTCAGGACTGCAATATCGCCATTTTTGTATTTGCCTTGTCGGACGAGATGGTTAACGAGTGCTGCCGTCATCTCAATCTCGTGTTTGTTCCAGTGGGAAGTTGACACGGCATCTGTACTCGAGGCGTCATTTTCAAACATGCGATGGTCAAGCCAGAATAGTCTCTTTCTCATCCCAACTACTTCTGGATACTGTAGCGTAGACGGGGAATCAATGAGCTGTGGATATAACGTATCGCGGACCAGTTGTGCGATGGATGGATGCATCCGACGCTGGGTTTCCAATGTGCTGAATGGGAGGCCAGAGCCCATGACACTCTCTGAATCGACCAGTCGTTCGAATAAAGACACATCCAAAGAGTACTTTTCGCCTCCACAACGATTTTCCCGAGACAACTCGTAGTTTTGCACCTGGGGACGAAGCTGGAGATGATCACCAATAAGAATAGCATGCTCAACCGATGGCAAAAAAGCTGTAAGGAGATGAGATTCAAGGACTTCACCAGCTTCCTCGCACAGAACAACCTTGGATTGGAGACGTTGGAGCATATTCAGGTTCCGGGCAAGTCCTGTGGTTGTAAGGCCGATGATGTCTGCTTCGTTCAGACATCGCAGACGCACTTCGTCACGGATATTATCGAGCTCGGATTTGGCTTTAGAATGAGACGAGGCGAGTTCGATGACTTCTTCATGCATTTTCGCTTTCATTTCGGTACCCCAATGGTTGAACAAAGCTGCTCGCTCTGCTTGAGACATCTCATAAACGCTGGCTCTGTCGAGTTGATCTACAGGGCGAACAATCCCATTGCGTCGTGAGCCAGTATGCAACCATGTCTTAATGAGTTTTCGGGGGTCTTTATCTGGTTTCTCAAAATCATCTTCGTCATTCCCAAACAGCTGGTTGTAGTGGTCGGGATATTGCTGGTGAAGATAGACCGACAGTCGAGAAAAAGAAACATTCTTGTCCAAGCCAATGGTCTCGAATTCGTCCTCATTTTCCTCAAGCTGTCGATACAAATTCCATCGTCCCGACTTTTCCATCTTCGTTGCTTCGGAATTCCTGGCGACATTTCGCAGGTTAAATGGCTCCAGTCTCTCAGATTTGGACTGCGATCCAATACGAACAATCTGTGATGTCACATTCTTGTCGATGAGAGCCTCAAGCAACTGGTCGAGTGCGTGGTTGGTGTAGGTGACACAGATAATCGGTCCAAGTCGTGTCTTCCCACGCATTTTGTTTGCTAACAGTACTTTTATGAGTGCGACTCCAGTGTAACTCTTCCCAGTACCGGGTGGCCCTTGAACAAGTCCAATTTTCCGCTGGAGACAGCTGACCAGAGCAGCAGCCTGGGCATCGTCAAGACTCGAGTGCTGCTGAAGATATTGTAGGTCGACTGGCTGACCGGGACGGATGGAAAGATTGGCACCTTTATCCATCACACTACTAAGATCAAAAGCAAATCCAGGCTTCATTGCGTACGGAGGGAAAGAGACTTCTGATCTTTCGTTCGTAGAAACGAGAAGATCTGCAAATGGAAGACTCCCAGTCCGCTTCATTGACTGCAAGGCGCGAAGAGTTGGTCCGAAGGCAGGAAGAAGGACACCGGGGAATTCGACAAGAGTGAACCTCGAAGCACCCGAGCTGTAGTGATCAAGGATGCATTGAATATCCCTGTTGTTGGAATTGGTGAGTTCCAATGAGACTGTTGCAGTAGTAGATTCTTTCCACAGCCCATCCGACTTTGCTTGGGGCTTGTTCCGGTCTTTCTCCTTCCGAGGCGAAGGTCTTGGGGACTCGGTGACGGTGCAGAAAAGCACCTGGTTTCCCTTAATTATCAAACAGATGAGTGCCCCAGGCTGCAGACGTTTCGACATCCGCCACCAATTCTCCCGTTCCTTGGCCGATGGTGCTCTAACGGCGGCGGTGGGTTGCGGGAAGCCAATCTCAAAGTGAAAGCCCACAAGCTGGCCGAAGGAGAGCTTCACGATCTGGACATCGCTATACACATATGTACGCTGCTGTGATTTTTGCATTTTTGAATGTTTCGAACGATCCGTTTCGCTGTGGATCGCATCTCGAAGTTGGCCGATGGTGTCCTCACGTAGCAAACGGAAGTTTCTATCCAATAGTCCATCTAGCCCACCAACATGCCACTGCGTTGGATCAATAATGGGGAGGTACTCAGTACGGTTGCACGAGATTTCTTGGAAGCTGGGCATGATACTGATGTCGCAAATATCTCTATGGTCATTGTCATGGCGGCCACCAGGGGGTTCACGGCGTATGACAAAGGAGACGCTCGATGTTGCTGTTTTTGGCGTTTTCTTTGCTGCAGACGGTAGGGAGCTTCCGACTTCTAGTCTACACAGCAGACGTTCAAGATGCGAGCGCGCATTATGGTAGATGTCGGTCGTGTCAGTGCTCAAGGCAAGAAACACGTCTTCAAACCTTTTAGCCGGGGCTTTAAGTGACTCTTGGACGATTGCTGTCGAGTTTAAGTCCACGATCTTTGAAAAGACATGGACAGAGACATCGAATCGTGAGGCACAGTCCTCATCTTTATTCGCCGTTTCCAAAACATCACATATGTATTTGAACAAGCCGGAGGCTCTCTCCCCGTTAAAACCGAACAAGAAATTGTATATCGTTCCAACAACCTGCTCCAGAACCAGCGACGATAGAACACTTGGATGGGAGACTATCTCCAGGAAAGGCAACATCTGCTTCTTGAAAACGTTCTCTTTTTGCACGGTCGCCATGGACTGAAAATCCTGACCGACCAGCTCTTTGATTCGCATCAAACCACCGTCACGAGCGAGAGCTTGTATCACGTCCTGGCGTACACCGGCATCGACATCTATCAGTCGCCGAGCATCCTGGAAAAATGGCGCTAACCGGCCACGAAGGGGCCTGGCGTTCGCCACATCGAGTGGAATATCCCTTCGCCATGTTCGAAATTCTCGCTCGGAATTCGATAGATCAGTCGGTTTCGATTTGCGTTCCTTTGGATTGGTAGCAGGACTGTAGCTGCCTTTCACGTGGGCAAACTTGCATTTCTTGAACTTGCAAGCCCCTGAGTTTGCGAACTCACGGCATATCCTATATATGTCAGTAGGTTGCTGGAATAAGAGACTTGGAAACCAACTTTTTTGTATTCATGATGCCGCACAAGACCAAAAGTACGTCTGTTGGTGGATAGAATACTGGAAATAAAAATGGTGATAAAGTCTGAAAAACTGAAGAGCTTAACAATGTCAATAGAATCCTTTCTTTCTCTCTTTATAATTTATCTCGCAGAGCCATGCAAACCCTGGAATTTATGAGAATATTCAAGGCAGAAGCCCAAAAGATAGCTGTGTGTTTCCATATCCTGATACTTGCATCCAATCCTTTAGCCTCAGCGGCAAAAACCAACAATATGGCCAGCCACGGCTCTTCATTTGTCCCTTTTGTTAGCGTTCACCAACAGTGGCGACTATCTCAGTTAGAAAGTTGCCGTTGAACAGGCAAATCTGAGGCAGTGTAAGATGCGGCACAGTCAAAAGGCTTTAAGCACTCTTGCCCAACCATCCTGCCCTGAGTTCTTTTCTTACGTCGACCAAGCGCGCCCATGGACATTGAACATATTCTGCCTTGTCTCTCCCTCCCTCCCTCCCTCCAGTAATGCATAATGAGTGCTCTGCGTTTCAATTGTTTTGCTTACGGCGCTGCTCCTGTATGTGTGTGTTGTTCGAAAGGTAATCAAAGAGTCCTAGGCAACCTGGACTGTGGCACAGCTGAGCGGGTGGGCTATGGTCAATTATACCAACACATGTCGGCACATCTTGACGGCCATGAAACAAATCGAACAGGTGTTGTTGGGCATAAAATGAAAGACAGGAAGGCTTATACATGCATATGTAACATGTACGTTAGCCATACTAACTAGATGATGGCTACACACCCGTAGTTCTCATCCAATGGTATCCCGGGTGGTTCGGATCGTCATATTCTTGATTCTGTACATGTACGGAATCGGTCAGTCGTACATATACCATGCTATCTGATTTGCTGATAAACATGTGTAGACCCAGTAAATCTTGATAGGAGTTCAGTCACGCCATAGACAAGAGGCTTATCCGAGATATCAGGTTCCTAGGAAATAGAATCTAGGGATGACCGAAGGTAGTATGCTGACTGGATTTAGTCATGGAAGCGTTCAAACTCAGCCTTGTGTTGGAGCACGGAACCGAAAGGGAAAGCCGTCAACTTGTTAGGAAATCCGGTACACATGTCACGACAACTTGATATAGCCGACGTATCTGCGCTCACCAACCAAAGACGTTAGGGGATGTCGGCCAGGAAATGGAGTTGGCGAGGTTGGCATCTTGGACCAATATACAATCAACGCCACTTAAGTCTGACGCGTCCACCTTTCATCCGTACTTTGCGAATACATGCTGTTATTATTGTTCCCTTGTGAGGCAAAGTTGTCCGAGAACCGTTCGGGTCATTATTTACTAGCATCCGCTCTAGTCGCCAAACATATCCCTGATATGAGAGAGCTTCGTCACTCGGCTTCTTTGGCTGTTACAATAATTAGTAATCTCACAAATCTTCTATTCTTTTTTTATCGGCTCGCAGCTTAAATCTGTTGGTGGTATTGGTATGTATGTTCTTTGGGACATGCCAACTCAATCACAGTATCATTGTTAATGGATCTAGTGGTGTGTATGGATTTGGATGAAAATCAGTGATGAGACAGATGACGATCGAAACAGTCGGCCATGACACCGCGATGTTTACACAATAGGACGAGGCTTCTCAAGGCCAAAGTGAACTGAGAAGCTGGCTGGTTTCTGACGGTCGACCCAATGGGAATTTTAAAACAATCAGGTCAATTCGTTTCCCGCTTTGGGCTCAATTCTGATCATCTGGTGTGTTGGATCTGAACAAAATGCTCCATTTGCAAAGCAAAACCGGCATATCGTCCCCATCGCAAATATTGCAGTGATAGCATATCTGATCCTGATAGACCGAGATGTGGCAAATATTACAAGACTTTCGCGAAGGCTGTCGAAAAGGACACGCCTCGGTCATTGGGTGCATGGCTTCATCAGTATTTGGCTGTAACAATTTTGCAATCTCAGTAAATCCTCGCTAACTGGCGTCCGGCATTGCGGCCAAGGGCGTCTCTAAGATCTATGTTGATCCCGGTGGTGTAAAGCAAGGATCGAACCGACTCCAGGTGCACTGAATATCAGTAGGGATGATCTCCTACTATGTCGGAAAGAGTATATGTGCCAGTCCCTAGCAAGGCATACAGCAGACATCCAACATGTATGGACAACTCAGCCTATGGAAAGGCGAATAGGCATAAAACGCACATATTCGGCGATATATATGAACATACTGAAAAGCGATCAAACACATGCATGAGTGGCAAGCGAGCCAATCGGAATAGCCAATGGCCTGCCTATGCTGGTACTCTAAATTAGACCTCTGTCCGCCATCAGTGGAGACATGATGATCTTGATCGGGGTCCGAATGAGGAAATAGTTGAGGCATTGTCAGATGGTCTAATGAAAACAAGGCTGAGTCATGTCAGATGCTGAATTTCAGCTATTTAACAAGGTAGCTGCGTCACAGACGAAGTAAAACATCAAAAATGGCTGTGATGACGAATTATTCGCAAGTCCCTGAAGGGCAACAAGTCCATCAAGCATGGTTTGAAGCACCCGTCAAGAATTACCGTGGCAATAGTGAATACACTGAATGGTTCAAATCTATTCTCGCCGAGGAACTCGCCGTTCTCCAGGCCTTTCATTCATATCAAAAGAGCCCAGACGAAGCAGCTCACGACATCACTCGGCCCATCTCCAACTCCCCCGTTCCAAATCTGGGAAGCTATTCGGATGAAATTGTGGCTCTCTGTCATCTATGGGATGTTCTGGTGAAAGCTCTCATCGAATGGCCCTCCTCCCGCACGCCAGACCTCATCGCCCTTCTCACCGCGATATCGAACACCCCGGATAGCCTTCATCGGGGAGAGGCCATCGATGATGACGATAGCCTCCTCTCCTGGAATAGACTTCCTTATATTCACATGATTTGGGGTGATTCCCATTGGATGGAACCGGAAGACATCGTCGAAGAGTGTTCCAAGAGAGACGATTACGAAGCTGCCAGGCAGCATGGCCGTGATAATTATCTCAAAACACAAGACGTCGAAGCGCAACTCGTGGCAGCGGGTCTAGCCTATTTTGATATAAAGCGTGCATTCGATTACCTGATCTTTACACTCGAATGGCAACTCGATCCCAAGGTCGACCGGGTGGAAGCACCAAGGGAGGAACAGGCCAGCGAGTCATTTGAACCAGATTTTCACATTCCGGCTGTGACTTGTTGGGTCAAGCATACCGGGCGGAAGTTATATGAGGGCCTTTGCAACGAAGAGATGAAGAAATGGGATCTGAGAGATGTTCCTAGTGTGATAAAGCATTTTGACCAGCCTGCTGAACGGTGGGCGTTTTGGAAAGAACGATTAGTCGGGGTTGCCAAAGATTGGCCGGATGAGTTTGTCAGAAATGCAGCAGAACAGGCTGTGAAGTATATGCAGGATATCGCCTGAGATGACTTTGTGCAGAAATGAGAAAATTCGTCTACTATTCTACTTGGCACTTTGTACTTCACTATAGAATGGCTCGTAGTAAACATTCCCATGCTAGCTGATTCTCTGTTTGTGCGGGGCAGATTGCTGTCCGCTGAACCGGACGAATTTCTATACAACCCACTGCAGTTCTTTCTATACGGGAAAGAAAGGCATTACAATGTCGACAAACGATTCAGAGATTCTCTACAAGCCATACGACCAATTCATTCTCTTTGGCGACTCGATCACCCAGAACTCGTGTCAAAGAGACCTGGATTTTGGTTTCTTCGGAGCTCTTCAGGATGGTTAGTCTTCAACCCATTCTAATCATCACGCAGATGCTGATTGCTATAGCATATATTCGAAAGCTGGATGTGATCAATCGAGGCTTTTCGTATGTTTCTCCTGCATTTCCAACAAATCAGGAATGACTGACCGTCTCAGAGGATACAACACTGCCCACGCTGTCAAGGTCTTTCCCAAATTCTTCCCGCAACCTGAGACGACTACGGTCCGGTTCATGGTACGCCATCTTGCATTTCTGTCTCCGTTTCCAGTACTAACCACATAGACCATCTTCTTTGGCGCAAATGACGCCTCTCTGCCCCGGAATGCCCAATATGTCTCACTAGACGACTACAAAAAGAACCTGCAAACTATCATTGAGCACCCAGCAACCAAAGCCCAAAACCCACGGGTAATTCTTGTAGCACCCCCTCCGATAAACGAGTACCAGCTGGAGTCATTTGACGCGAGCAAAGGCTTGCAGCATCCCAGCAGAACCGCCCACCACGCCAAGTTGTACGCGGAGGCAGCTCGGGAGGTCGGTGTTTCACTAAATGTCCCTGTGGCTAATCTCTGGACGGCGTTTATGAATGCCACTGGGTGGAAAGAGGGTCAGGCGTTGCCGGGGTCGAGGGATTTGCCGAATGATGAGAATTTATCGCGGTTGTTATCTGATGGTTTGTTCCCTTTGGGCTTTGTATGATCTTGAACACTTGCTGACCAGGCAATAGGACTACATTTCACGTCGGAAGGATACAAAGTCATGTTTGATGTGGTTATGGAGACTATTCGCAAGAATTGGCCGGATCAAGACCCAGAGAAGCTTCCCTTCGTGTTTCCGGGATGGGTCGACGCTCCCAAATAAGTACATACTCACCTCTTGGCTCACTGATATAGACCGTAAATAGAATTTCAGTACATATTTCCATTGACATCCTCAAAAAAAGATGAAATGTTTTGCGTGGTGGTCTGTCATGTGACGTCACATGGCGAATGCGGACTTCGAAGCCCAACGGCACCACAGCAACTCTCGACAATTGACCACACACAAGCAAATGCGCCCAGGCATCCCATCAGCTATCTGTCCAATAACCAGCAAGGCCATAACGCAGCCTTTCCGTACCTGCTGGCCATCACAGACATCGTTCCTACGAATCCTTTCCCGCCCAGCAACAACCACCGCAACTACAATCCCCAAGTCCAGAACCAGAACCAATCCCCCACCTTCTCGCCCCGTCATCCAGAAAATACCCCTGACCATGTCCTCCGACAAGATCCCAGACCGCTACAAGCTCATCTTCTACACCCCGCATTCCCATATCGAACCGTGCAAGGAAGCCGTCTTCGCGGCCGGCGCTGGCGTCTTCTCCGGTGGGAAATACTCTAAGTGTTGCTTTCAGATGCCCGGCCAGGGACAGTTCCAGCCGGGTGATGGTGCGAATCCGGCGATTGGGTCTGTGGGTGCGCTGGAGTATGTTGAGGAGATGAAGGTTGAGGTTATGTGTGTGGGGAGGTCGATTATGTTGAAGGCTGTGGAGGAGTTGGTCAAGGCGCATCCATATGAGGAGGTTGCATATGAGGTTTATAAGATGGAGAATGTTTAGCTGGTCTAGGCATGGTTATGAGTTATGAGTACTCCGTATAGGTGTCTGGTCTCGGGGCACGTTGTTGATAGTGGCTCCCTCTGTCACCACCCGGCAGAGAGAAACACAAATAAAAGTAAAATAGGCTAATTGAAGAGCGTTCTCTGAACAACAATATTTATCTCGATTGATTATATCTCTGTCAAATGTCGAATGTATGGTCTTACTGTAAGCAAGGCGATTGGCACAAAGGCGGGAGTAATCTCTCGCCGCTGATTGGCTGCCCGCAGATCCCGCAAAACCAGCGACTCGCTCCAACTTTCGACTTTCTCACTGTATCGCAACGCCGACACCATTCCCCGTCGCTTCTCTCCTCTCTCACATACACCACCGGAAATGGCCTCGAAGCTCTTCCCCGTCGTCCCCCGGGTCGGCCGTCAATTGTTCCAGCAACTCCCCAAGTCCCAATGCAGAGCGTTCTCCGCTGGGCCGCAACTCTTCAGTGACGCCCTTGCCGTGGTATGTACTGTCCGGGAATTGTCGCAGAGAACATCGCAATCGTCTCTTCATGGGATTGTTAAGAAGATGTTGTTAACGAGTTGTCTGCTCAATTAGCACCGCAACAAGCCCTCCAACAACCCGACCCTCCCGTTCAAATTCAACGACCAGAACCTCCAACTCATCGATGAGATCCTCAAACGCTACCCTCCCCAGTACAAGAAGGCTGCTGTCATGCCTATCTTGGATCTGGGTCAGCGCCAGCACGGCTACACCAGCATCAGTGTCATGAACGAGGTCGCCCGGTTGCTTGAGATGCCCCCGATGCGTGTTTACGAAGTCGCAACCTTCTACACCATGTACAACCGCGAGCCGGTTGGCAAGTACTTTGTTCAGCTTTGCACTACGGTATGATTGTCGTGCTTCCGCCATTGTTGTCAATTGCTAACGGGCGTAGACACCATGCCAGCTCGGTGGCTGCGGTAGCACCAAGATCCTCGAAGCCATTTCGGAACACCTGGGCATTACCGCCGGCCACACCACCGAAGACGGCCTATTCACCTTTATCGAAGTCGAATGTCTCGGTGCCTGTGTCAACGCCCCCATGGTCCAGATCAACGACGACTACTACGAGGACCTCACACCCGAATCCACCAAGGCCCTTCTCACCGCGCTCAAGGACTCCGCTACCGCGACGGACAAGTCGGTCAAGGTTCCTGCCCCCGGCCCGCTGAGCCACAGAGAGAGCTGCGAAAACAGTGCTGGTCACACGAATTTGCAAGACCCGCCGGTGTGGAACCCGGAGACCATGATGAGAACGGATGGTGCTTTGGATGCTCAGCAATAAACGAATACAAAGAGTTAAAACGCGTTTTCCCTTTTTCCCGTTTCTTTTTTATTTGGTGGCATAATGGAATGGAGTCCCGAGATATATCCACCAGGCTTCTATTTGTATAGTACATTGTTCCTGGGGTTTGGGATATCATTTGAATTACTGTAGAGGTTGATCCAGCAGTACAATGCAGTTTATTGTCCAACATAATTGATGTTCTAGTACGTGTCTAATCTGAATTCAAGCATGGTTATTGGTAAGCGGGGGTCGCTTGACTTCCGTATTTGTACAGCTCCCGCACTTCATCCAATCTCACTCCGACAACATCAACACACAAAAAAAAAAACAACCCATCACCAGAAATGGCTCAAAACGCATTATCCATGACCAACGAGGGACCCTCACAGCTAATAGCCTCAGACTCCACAGCCTCCTCACGGCTAACCAACACCGGCTTCCCATCCTTCTCAATGAGCACCTTCTCCCGACGCTCCTGGAAGATATTCACGTCAACTGTCAGCTTCGCCAGCAGATGATAGACATGGACGTGTCTGGTCTGGCCGTATCGACGGCAACGTCCGATGGCCTGGGTCATGGATGAGTCATAGTCGTACTGGGTTTGGCCGAGGAGGGGTGAGAGGAAGATAACGTGGTTTGCGCATTGGAGGTTTCTAACTTGTTAGCAACTGCTACGATGAATAGAACCAAGGTAAATAGTATAAAGGGGGGCTCACAATCCAGCCGCCATTTCACCCCCCAGGTTCAATATCAAGACCCGGTTCTCCCCAAAGCTCGTTTTCTGGAACTGCTCGACCTTTTGTGCTGATCTACGATCAGTGGGAGAGATTACCGTGTGTTTGATTTGTGCTAGTTCCAGGGCTTTGGATGCGACTTCCATCAGTTCCGGGAATTGGATGAATAACAGCGCTCGTTCATCCTTGGGAATACCACGGATGATCTCCACCAGCTTATCCAATTTGCTCCCTCCAAATGTCGCACTCTTGTCCTCGTGATCGTGTCCGAGGGTGTTCGCTTTGATGACATTGAACCGCTTTCCTGAGCCACGGCAACCTTCCACGCTACACTCTTCCTTCAAAATAGTGTTCCGGGCACATTCCGCGCAGAGTGCATGTCCACAGGAACCGAGGATGTTTACATCCTCGAGGGTTTTAGGGCCATTCTCACACCCGTCGCATACGGGGATTTCTGTACCGGTTTGTATGAGGCGGACGGTTCGTAGGAAGCGGAGGGCTCTTTCCCGGAGTACCCATTCGACGATTAGGTTGCGGAGTGTGGACGTGACTTCGCGGAGGGTTAGTTCATATTCGTATGTTTGACGCGGTTTTGGAGGGAGGACGGATTGTTCGAGCTTGTCTGGTTTGAGGCTGGTGGTTTTCTTTCGTCCGGTTTTCTGAGCGGAAGAGCTTTTGACACCGTTACCAGCGGCTTTTGTCTTCCTTTTCTTGACTGGCCTTGAAGGTGGAAAGTCTTCATCATCTTCGTCTTCGGTATCGTCGTCTCTGGCGTCCGATTCTGATTGATTATGGGATTCCACGGCTTTTTCAGAACTGCCATCGTCTCGCGACTCAACAAAGAAAACCATCCAATCGTCATGTGTTGACATGAAGACTGCGCTCTTAAGAAGTGGATAGGCCTTTTCTGTGACCTCACTGTCACCGAAGTCGTGCCTTATGAGACTCTCGACAAACTTCTGGAAGGATTCATATTTCAAGTCGCAACTACAATACACCCAGGCAGCCAGCTTAAACTTCATCAGGATATCGTGCGTGAGGGCGCCAAGCTGCTTCTCACGAATAGCAAGAAGTGTGTAACAGGTGACAGCTTCAGGCTTGCCATTATCCCAACGACCCTGCAATGCTAGTGAGGAACATCGCTTAAGCAAGGCTTCTTCGGGACTCGAACTGTTGCCGATAATCTCGTCCAGTCTTTCGATCTGATCATTTCCGAATTGTCCCTGGTTGCGTCGACGAAGTTGGCGGTTCTGAGCCATTAGCTGTTTATACAGTTCGAGGTAAATAGCCCTCTCGGCTGGAGACTGATTGACTAGAACAATTTGCTCCGTGCAAGGTATCTCATCAATTTCAGCAACGTTCTTACGCGCGAAGCGGTCGAGAAAGTTTTGCGCAACTTCATGCCGTCGTCGGTGCCATGCCTCACTATGGGGCGCCTTGAAAGACTGGAAAGCTTCCGCTTCGGATCTATGTTTCCATAGCGTTTTGAGTCGTTTATTCTGGGACTGGTCGTCGTCATCATCATCGATTCCAAGATGGATACCCAGAAATGGAGCAATAGTGTTGACATCGGCAAAGTCGTTCAATGGAGGCGTCCCGGACAGAATCCACTTTGAGTGTGCTTTGAGCGATAATAGAGGAGCAAGTCTTTCTGGGTTGGCGTATGTGAATTCATCGATGACGAGGCGGTTGAACGAAAAAGCGTGCAGCAAGGGTGTTTTGACCGTCTCCCAGTCTTGAGAGTCGTCTTCTTCGGTGATGTTAAACTCCTTACGATCGTTCCATCTGCTTTTGCCGCTTGAGGCGCTGCCCGATGCGTCGTACTTGCGCTTCCTGCCGCGGCCTTTTCTGCAGCAACTGCGGGCATCGATGGGATTGTCTGTCGAAGAGTCTTCATACTCGGTCTCCTGGCCTTCAGAATCGGAATCATCGAGGTCGTCAGTAGGATTAGCATCGACTAATTTTGCATCTCGAAGCTTCAGGTGCCGGTCAACATTGGCCCTAAGTTTGTCAGGATACTCGCCGTCACTGGCGTCAGACTCTTCTTCCGCACTGGATACATCGGCATAGTGCATTTTGGAATCCGTGTCCAACTTCCCTTTATTTGCTTCTGCATACACCTTCCCTCTGAGTCGCCTGGACGGGACATACGTTGAATTTGCCTGCTTTTCCTTTACCTCTTGTCGCTTGGCACGAATGGCCCTCAAGAGGGCATTAGGGCCTTGGTCCATCAAGACCTGAACATGGGACCTGAGCGAAACCTGAGCATCCTGAAACCAATGATCGAAATTGCGTCCCGCTTTTATAGGAACGCGCGGCATGCCAGTGAATTTGTGCATCTTCTGGTAGTAGCCACCGTTATTGAACACAGACCAGGAAACCAAAATGATGTCTGCGTTTCGAACATCCCAGATTGTCTTGCTCGTAAACGAGGCGGCAGATTGGAATACCAAGACGTTATATCTGTTTCCTAGGAACTTCTCGATCTCCGATTTCCATTGCGGTAGCATAATATGAGGGACGACGATGAGCGTTGCATTTGACGGGATCAAGCCTTCAATCGGTGCCTGCACGGTATGATGGGCACTTTGAGATTGAATATCAATGAGTCCAAGAATAATAGCGGTCTTGCCATATCCAACATCATCCGCAAGAACGCCTCCGCGGACAACTTTTTGCGTGGTGGCCCTGGCTTCTGCGCGCCACATCATCAACGGCAGAAAAGCCTCCTCGGTTTCCTCTTCCTCGAACGGTGCAACATCATCGTCTTCTTGACCTACCATCCACGACAACGACCGCAACTGTTCCGGTCGCAGTTCCAAACGAAGTCCAGGCGGCTGCAGTGCCTGCAGATCGCGCTTGTTACTGCTCAATTGAAACTTCGGAGATACCAAATTCCTCGCATCATAAGCATTTGGAACCAATCGCCAAAATAACGATACCACGTTATCAATCTTCGACCCAACTAACTTGTCACAAGCCTGATGCAAAAGGGTCTGGATATTAAGAGTAACCCGCAGGTGTCCAAGATCATCCTCATCAACACGCCGGAAGACCAGAAATGGGGAGGGTTTTGCTTTAATCTGTCGCTCGTAGAGAGCTGCGTCGTGTGGGTCTTCGTATGCTTTGATCCAACCTTTTCTGTTCCGGCCCCATAGGGTTCGGGGTTTTGGTGGGACGCAGATTGTGCACATGGGATTGTCCGGATGATTGAGTTGGTTATTGTGGTTGGTGACCTCAGTCCATTGCTGGAAGTCGGAAAATCCGGCAGTTCTCTGCACTAGCCAAGAAAGGTCCTTTAACATGTCTGAAGAATCAATGGGATTGATGATTTCCCAGGAACCTTTCGGTGTTGGTGAGTCGATGATTGTTGCTGGGGCTGTGAAGGACAGCAACGTGACATTCGCTTCGCGGCATTCAACGCTTCCAGTGGAGATTTCTGCACCAGTTTGTAACTTGGCGCAAGTTATCGGAGCATCAGAATCGTACGGCGTCAAACGAGCCGCCTGGGCCTTGGTCCACTCTCGATGATACACATTAACATGCTCCGGTTCAGCGGTTGCTCTGGAGGAGCGCCATGTATGCGAAACCTCGGCGACAGTCAACCGTGGCGCATATCCAGGAATACGATGATGCTCCAACGAAAAAACAAAAGAATCATTCTCAGCCTCGTTGATCTTGTGGGGGTCCAAAAACAGATACACTGCAGGAGTGCCAGGAATAACAGCCTTCTTATGCAACGAGGCATTTGCCGTCCCGCATTCTGGTAAGAGCTCGTAAGTTCCGCGGATGTCTACTTCTAAATCCTCCACACTCTCATCCGGTGCTTGGACGGTGATCTGGTTCCAAACTTCGGATTCAATCAACCGCTTCATCTGTAGTCCGCATCTCGCTTCATATGACATGACTCGAGCACCAGTACCAGAAAAAGCCATTATACACCTGGAACTGATTGGCGCACATATTTCCCATTCTCCGTCGAGAAGGGACCCAGAAACGGGGGTCATTCGCGCAATGGGCTTGGAAAGTATCTCACGGTTCAAGCACAGAGCCGGTTCCAACTCTGACGGCTTCGCAAAAAATAACCAATGAATGTTCGTCGAACTAATGACAAGATTCAAAATGGAATGTCTTCCCTGGTAAGAAACAGTCCAATATTCACTCCGCTTGATGTCCAAAAATCGGAGCTCATCGCCAATTGCTCGTGAAACTGCTTCCAAGAAATCATTCCAGGCAACAGGTGGGCAACCTAGGGAGTTTGTGCTTAGAGAATTATAATCATCGGGAGATATACCGGAGAGAACTAGTCGGGTCGGTAGGATGTTCTTGAGATGACTGACAAAGTCCAGTGGTTGGCTGCGAGCTATGCTGGACCAGCGTTCATAGGCGTGTGTTGGGTTGCCGGCGCAGTCGGAGCAGGCTGTGTGGTCGCATAGAGTGCACCTCAGGATACTTTGTCGTGTTGCTGTTTGTCGTTCGCATGTGCAGTATCTTGCGCTGCGTGCGGCTTGTGCTTGGAGGTCTGTGGTGTCTATGCTGAAGACATGGCCTAGTGGCACGCCACTCGAAACCAAAGGGTAATCATCTCGTGGGGCGATCTGCTTGTGCTTCGATTGGGTCTTCTTCGGAACAGACTCGTTAAGAACTTTGTGTCCAACAATCAACGCCGAGAGAACCGCAGCGCCGACAACAGTTGAACTCATGGCGTTTCCTGCGAGGTCTTGCAGTTCGCGGTGTCTTTCTCTGGTGAGTAGCAGTCTGTCCAACGGGAGGCCCTGGAGGGCGAGTGCTTCAAGACCGCAGAGCGGACCGGCTCGGGTGGTTATGTATGGGATGCCGCAGGGCGTGATGCAGCCCACGAGTCCGTATGCGCGGGTATCGGTTTCTCGGTCGAGGCCTTGGGATAGATCGATGCATCTCCTGTATTACGTTAATCTCGTTCTTCTCAACAAGGCAAAGCGGGTGCTAACTCTTTATAATTCATATCATATCCATTCTCCCCAAGCTTCCGCAAAAAGTTCGCATCAATGGTATCCCAAACCCTCTCTGGCAACGACCTCACATACGTCTGCCATGCGAAATCCGGCATCTGACAAGTCCCATCCTCCTGAGACCTACTAATCGGCCGTCTATGCCCCAAGTTCTGCTCCAGACGATATCCCTGATGGCGGATTTGGTATCTCGCCCAGTTAACAGCCGTCTTGGCAGAAGACGAGGTGATATACGCTGCCATGTCCTTTTCGATCTGCTCGAGTCGTCGATCATCGCTGTCCATGAGGAACATTCCGGCTGGGGAACTGGCGGGGCGTTTGAAGCCTGTGAACAGGGCGATCCATTGCTCCATTTCGGTTTCTGGGATGTCTCGCTCTTCCAAGAGGTTGCGGTCAATGCAGAACATGTACCCCCGTTCACGGGTTTGAGGGAGGTAATAAGCCTTTGTGTCGACGGCCATATGCACGGCGAAATATCCAATCTCGTTCCAATTCTCTTTGATCTCGTCCCAAGGCGCATTCTTGACATTCTCCAAAATCACGATCCGTGGTCTGTATGTAGTCGCATACCGGACAATTCCCCAAAACGTTCCGCCAGACTCACCCTTTTCGTCTAGGGTTTTGCGGTTGTTGTTTAGGCCCGAGAAGTCGACGCAGGAAAAGCCGGCGATTAGGATGTCGGGGTTCTTGGGGATTTTCTCGAGGGAGCCGTATGCAGTTTGTCTGCATCATGCGTTAGCAATAATTCAGGTTATTTAGGGTTTGAAAGGACTACTCACGCCACTCTATCCTTCAACTCAGCAACATCACGAAACAAATACCGAGGATGAAAATTCCGCTCAATATACGCCTGCTTAAACGGCACAATCTCAGCGCTAAACAGATGCTTAAAATCAAAACATTTTCCAAAATCCTCCCTCAAATCTAAACCGTCAGCATACCACATTCATTCTCCTTCATATTCAGAGAAAGAGATCTTACTCCTCTGCACCATCTCTAACGCCAACAACGGACTCTCTGTCCCTGAACAAACAGTCACAACCCTCAACGCCCTACCCCCCAAATGCCCCACCACATCCCCAAACCCCAGCTCCATCGCCCGCCTTGTCATGTCCTGGTATATATCGCTTAACCGGTGCATGGGCGGGAGACCTCGAGCTAGTAGCGTGCGCGGGGACTTTTTGCCGGCGTAGGGGAGGGAGCGGGAGACTTCGGGGATGTCGCGGGGGAGGCCGTGGGTTGTGGGGTCTGGGGGTGGGGGGGTTGGGATTTCGAGGATGTTGAGGTGGTTGGGTTTGGTTGTTGGTGGTGGGGATGGTGTTGTTGTTGTCGTGGTGGTTTTGGAAGAGGGCTTTCGACGCGTTAAGCGGCGTGGGCGTGGAGCGATGGTGGGTTTCTTTTTTCGTTGTTGAGGGGGCATGATGGTTCTCAGGGATGAAGTATAGTCCAATGGATTCCAAGATAAAGGATGGTTCTTTGTAGAGGTGAGAGAGGGTGCTGGTAGGGTATGGAGGATCACGTGTGGAAGAGGATGAAGAGAGAGAAAACAAAGGGGAAATGTTTAGAAGGGTTAAGGCCATTCATGCAGTTGATCAGTGAATGTCTTTGTTTGCCAGGGAACAACATGTTTGCATTCACTTCTACTGGTACTCAGGTCTACTAATTTAGTGGTGACTATTATGAATGAATTGACAGTCTCAAGTATACTACATTCGCTGTTCAATGAATCAATCCTGAAAATCAACCCCTGACGCCATTTCATTACTTGATTTCGAGTGCCCTTGAAAAACGAAAACCAAAAACCACTAGGTCGAGTGAAAAATAGAAAACAAAGAAAATGCAACCGCTACCTCATCGCACCCTGCATCAATTGCTGTCGTAGAAGCATAATCTGGCTCCGCTCCATAGGAGGAAGCGCATCAATAGCTGACTGCGGCATTGTGAGCACTTGCTGCAAGAGCTCCTCTTGCCCTGGCATGGCAGCAGGCTGCGGCGTCGCCTGAGGAACGAAAGGCTGGTTGACAATCGGGGGCGTAGGAACCGCATTGAAGGGCTGGAATGCTTGCGCAGGTGGGGGAGCGGCTGCGGCTGGCTGCGCGGCTTGTTCGACGACCGTGCCCAGAGTACCGTAGTCGACGAGGTTCATGAGTAGGAGGGCCTGGAAAATAGCGTATGCAAGCTGGGGAGCCTGGCGCAACAGTTCCGTGGCTCGTGCCGGGTCAGCCAGGACCAGTGATTTCATTTGCGCGAGCACGTCAAGAAGTTGATTAGGAGGAAGGGAGGAGAGCGTCTGCGAGATGGCGTTGGGGCAGTCCAAATGCGGCGGCAGCTCCACGCCCGGCGGCAACGGTGGCAGAGGCGCGGATCCCTGGGGAGCGCCGCCCATCTGTATATCTTGTACTGGTAATTGTGACGGTTGCGAGTAGTCCTCTGGCACGGAATCCTTCTCGTTGTTGTGCGGCCAGTCCACCCTGATCTTGCGGCCCATGATCTCGTAGTCGTTCAAGTTGCGGACTGCTGATGCGGCTGCGTCTGCGTCTGCGAAGTCTGCGAATCCATAGCCCTTGGGTTTTCCGGTTTCGGGGTTCATCATAAGGCGGAATTTCGTGACGGTGCCGGCGGAACTGAGGATGTCTTTGACCTGTTCCTCGGTGAGGTCTGGAATTGTTAGTGGCTGTACCATAGGCTTTACAAGGTGACACATACTGTATGGGATATTCCCAAGGAATACACTCTTTCCGCCTCTTTCTGGAGCCATTTTGCTATGTAGTTGTGCTCAATAGAGCTCTTCTGACAATGAGAACAGTGGATTAACGGCGGCAGTGAGTTGATCAGAGCAACACAAATAGGCGATGTTCAAGTATAAATGAGTCGCTGTATGCAATGCAATCCGTAAACACTCGCAACCCAAAATCCCCGAAGAATCCGGTAAAAGTAAGTCGTTCGTTGTCGAGATTAAAATGCGTCGCGCCGCTGCAAAGGTGAAGCCGGTATTGCCCCATCGCAGTAGGCGGTGGTTAATAATTCAATCGGCAGTATAGCAAGGCGGTGGATAACACTCCGAACCTCAACGTCCTTTTTACAACGGCGGCCGTCATTCCGATTGCGGTACGTCCTTTCTCATATTCAACCACAACATCGCCAGCATGACTCAAAATCCCAGAGAACAGTGGGAGCGGCTTCAGCTCATTCTCAAACAACGTGGAGCCCGCGGAGGATTCGGTTTCGGCGGTTTCCCTAGCGGCGGGGGTCGCGGAGGATTGGGACTGGCGGCAGCTATTCTGGTCGGTGGTGGATTCTGGGTTCTGTCGAATTCGCTTTTCAACGGTGAGATACCTGTTGATGTGGTACTACTATGTATGAATTGGTTGCTAATTCTGTCTAGTTGACGGTGGTCACCGCGCGATCAAGTACTCGAGGGTAAGTGGTGTGAAGAAGGATATCTACAGTGAAGGTATGGACAATCTATCGAAACAATGCGTTTTTGCACGGCTCTGACGAGTGTCTCCTCTAGGCACGCATCTTCGTATCCCATGGTTCGAAACGCCCATCATCTACGATGTCCGTGCAAAGCCGCGCAACATTGCCTCTCTTACCGGTACCAAGGACCTTCAAATGGTCAACATCACCTGCCGTGTCCTGTCGAAACCGCGAGTGGACGCCCTTCCGCAGATCTACCGGACCCTCGGATCCGACTTTGACGAGCGAGTTCTGCCATCGATTGTCAACGAAGTGTTGAAGAGCGTTGTCGCCCAGTTCAACGCCAGTCAATTGATCACACAGCGTGAGAATGTCGCAAGATTAGTCCGGGATAACCTCGCCCGCCGAGCTGCTCGTTTCAACATTGCCCTGGATGATGTTTCTTTGACTGTATGACCTATCCATTGTTTCAGTTACAATGTTGCGAATGGATTACTAATACGCTATAGCACCTTACATTCTCTCCCGAATTCACTGCTGCCGTCGAATCGAAGCAGGTCGCCCAGCAAGAGGCTCAGCAGGCTGCTTTCTTGGTCGACAAGGCTCGTCAAGAGAAGCAGGCCTTCATTGTCCGCGCTCAGGGTGAGGCCCGTTCGGCAGAACTTATCGGAGACGCTATCAAGAAGAACAGGAGTTACATCGAGCTGCGGAAGATCGAGAACGCCCGGAACATTGCCCGTATCTTGCAGGACAACGGCGGCCGCAACAAGCTCTACCTTGACACCCAGGGTCTGGGCTTGAACGTCAATGCGGGAGCGGAGGATACGAAATAAGTTGAATTTGAAGCGTAAACGAGCAAGAAAAAAAATGTGATGTTATTTTGTTTATGATCCGGCAATCCTCGTTCTTACCGGCGCTTAATGTCGCCCTGGGGTGGGCGAACACAGTGAAATATGGTCTTTGTATAAATAGTTATCTGAAGCATCATGGCAACTGCTTTCTCTTCTCTAGTTTGTGCTCTAATATCTACCCCATAAACTTGCACAACGGCAGACGATAGTTGTCCACCACCCAATACGCCCTCTTCACACCACTCCACTCGCCCTCCAGCTTTGGCACCGGAATTTCCTCCCACTCAACATCATACCCAGCCTCAAACAAATCCATCTCAACCACCTTCTGATAAACATCATAACTAATCTGCCTATCGGCCCCCATCCCATTAAAGAACCCCCACCGACCCCCCTCCTCCAAAATCCCAATAACCTGCTCACTGAAAAACTCCTTGAAATCCGCATACGACTCCGCAAACGTATCATAGTAAATCGCATCAAACGTCACTCCCTCCTGCGCCAGCGCCGGCAGCACCTCACTCCACTTACCCTCGTGGATCGTAACGCCGGGCTTTTCATGCCACCCCTTGCGCTTCATCTCTGCGAGGACGTCGGGGTGTGCTTCGATGATGTGGTGCGACGAGGGCGACTGTTCTTGGAAGAAGGTGTCGATGATGCCCATGCCGTGGCCGATGTTGAGGACGCGGAGGTTCGGGGTGGGGAGGAGGTTTTTGGCGCTTCGAGACATGATGTCTGATTCCCAGGCCATCATTACGCCGTTTTGGGAGGCGTCGAGGAGGCGGTCGTTTTGGAAGGTTAGGTTGCTGTTGAGGTAGTTGGTGTTTGTGACTTCTGCGTCTGCGGCTGCTTCTGGTGTGGTTTCTGTGGCTGCGGTGATTGCTTCGACGAGTTGGGGGATTTCTTCTTCTGTCACCATTTCCTCCTTAGTCTCCTCTTCTTGCTGCCCTGGCTGCTCCTCGTTGTCCTCCTCCTCCTCATCATCATCATCGTCATCATCCTCCTCCTCAATCAACGCCTCATACCCATCCAACCGATTCAACAACAACTCCGCGCGCACCCCCGCATCAACAAGCGTCGCATAAATCTCCCCCAACCGAAGCCTTCTCGCAAGACACCCAGGCGTCTCATCATTCAAATCCAAATCATTCCAAATAGCACCCTCCTGCAACAAAAACCGCACCATCTCCAGACTCGCCTGCTTTACTTTCTCCTGCTCATCCCTATTCGCACCATTGGATTGTTCAGATTCCTCGTCAGGTTCGCACGCAGCAATAGCAGCATGCAACGGCGTAAATCCCGTCTCTGGGTCCTTGACGTTGGCGGGGTTGCCGGTTTGCGCGTTGTCGCGGATTAGGAGGCGGAGTTTGGGGATGTCGTGTTGGGAGGCGACAAGGAGGGTTTGTTGGATGTCGAGGTCGACATTTACATCGATGGTTGGGTCGGTCATTTTTTTTTTTTTTTTTTTTTAAAAAAAAAAAAATCTGTACAAGTACTCTGTAGGGATTGTTAGTGGAGGGTCGGGTTTGGTATATTTGGGGTTGCGATTGCGATGCGATAGCGATGAAAAGAGTGTGGTGATTTACCAGCGATGTTTATTTAAGGCTGTCTATAAAGAATAATTCAGACAGACTGTAGGTCAGATTCCTCTGAATATGTGGAATTGGAGTCCTGTTGCTCACAGAAGAGGTGATGGTTGAGTATTCCACTTTTTTTTTTTTTTTTTTTTTTGACTTCCCCGCAGAACCGCTTATCGATACGGCGCATACTACAACCCATGTATGGACTACGGACTCTGTTATGGATTGATTTTAGATATTCAAGATAAAGATACTGGCTATGGTGAGGCTGCTACATACATCTACTTCCACAATTTCACATGTAATTACTGAATAAACCTACATCGCTACATTGCCAGGGCTCACGATATATATCATCAGCATGACTGACTACGGAGTAGTGCCAGAGTCAAATTTCTTCAAGTAACCCCATTAAAGGAGATGAGTACAAGCTATTATGTATGCTATCAAGTCTATATATACAGTCCCAGTAAAGCGATCCTGCAAAAATCCCAAATCAAAACGCCACTTATGCTCTCAAAACTCTCAAAAACCGCTAATGCTTTCAACAAGATTTAATGCAACATCATCACCTCATGCGATGCGAAGAAAAACCCCAACCCAATTTACAGCTGAATAAGATCAACCTCTGAAAAGTCCGGCGGACTGCGGGTAAATATCGTCCGGCATTTACCATCCAACGCCTGGTATTCGTTACTGATCCAGATGTGTTTGCTGAAGCGCTGCGTGCGGTAGATCTCGTCGTCACTGACGCCTAGGTCGTCTCGCGGGATCCAGATCACGGGGCGCTTGGCGCGGAGTGCATCGTGTTGGAAGGCTCGCTGTGTGAGTTGGTCGCGTTCGTCGGGAGTGAGATCCTCCAGTTCATCTTGGATTCCGGCAAAGAGGGCTTGTGCTTGGCGTTTGTGGTGCGCGAGGGGACCTTGGTTTTCTATATCCTCGGCCATGTTCTCGCGCATTCGCTGGACGCTTGGCAAGGAAGTGGTCGAGTGGGTTCCGAAATACTTGGAACGCTGCCCAGATGACCGGTCTGCCCAGGATGCTTTTCTAGGTCCCAGTGGAGGAGGCGCCAGCTTGCCTCCAGGTTGCGATGATCCCGGCCGTTCTGCACCACTCCCGATATTCTTCAGTTCAATGTGGTTCTCTTCAGTTTCCTCGCCCTCGTGTCGATGCTCCAGTTTCGCTGCAGTTTCTCTCCTCTCTTTCTCCTCCTCTTCTTCCTCATCCTCGTCGTCTGAATCATCCAAGCCCAATCGAGCACGCTGAGCGCGACTGAACTCTTCGTCCCGTTCAACTGCTTCATCTTCCAAGGTAATGGGCAGATACCGAATCAAAGGACTGAAAGCCTCGTTCAGCAAGAATTGATATCCAACCGTAAGAATCATAACCACAATCATGCAAATAGCCTGTCCTTCACAGGCAACCGTGCCGTCGACGTCACGGACCAGGAAGAACAATCCAATGAGACTGAGTTCCATCACGTAGAGACCCGTAAACAGCTGGTTGATGGCTTTGGGAAAGAGTAGGCCACCGGTGTCGAAGCGGAACTTCGTGACATACAGCGTGTTGTACCGGTAGACGAACCAGAAAAGGCCAAACGTAATCACGTTGAAGACTAAGATCAAAGGAGCGATTACACAATAAATCAAACCTGTTCATCATAATAGTTAGCGATCGCTGAAACCTGCTCAATTCTATAGGGAAATAAACATACCAATCGATGCAAGCGTTGTATACACAGGGAAGAAGGTTCCCCATTGCATCTGGTTCAGGTTCGTCGTTCGTGCCCATTTCGTCCTAGCAGTCGTGTCCAGTATCGGCGCGAGAATGAACCAGCTCACCAAACCAAAGATTTGGACTAGCGCTCCTGCACTCACTGACAAAGCCTGCAGAATCATGTAAGAGAAGAAGTAGTTGCTCGACGAGGGAATGTTCTGCGCAAGCAACTCTGGCCAACTGGTAACATCCGTGACGTGGTTGATAATCGTCGAGAAACTCGAAGAGATGGCGACAACCAGGAACAGCTGCACAAATAGGAAGGCAAAGAAGTAGTTCTGCACGGTAAGCTCGACGGCCATACCTGTGTGTAGCCCTTGCGTTCTCGAGAGGAAGCGCAGAATAAGAGGCAGGACGGCCATCAGGATGGCCAAAAACAGTGGAGGCAGAATACCCTGGATGGCGGAAATAAACCAACCTGGCATCGTGCTGATCCACTCAAGCCAAGGGAACGTCTCTTCCAGGTACGTCAACTGAGACAACAGACCTGTGAAAGCCACGGGGAGAGCCCATCCAACTACCATGCCACATACCAGAGCAAGGATACCAAACGTCCGCAGGTACCGTTCCCACCATTTGATGGACATGTTGTCCCAAATCACATCGTCGGGGGAAATCTCAACGGTACGAGGAGCCATCTGCTTCGGAACGTGGTGACTGACTGCCTGACATGCCATGTGCGCGGCGACCTGGTGGTTGAACTGGATAAATGCAGAATTCATCAGGGGAAACTTTTCAGGATGCTGTTGGTCGATTTCGATCTCCAAATTCAACCGAGCCACTTCTTTACGGCAATAGTCGATGGTATCAACTTTCTTCCCAATGAGCCAAAGGGAGGGCATCCAACTCCAGCCGAAAATGGGTAAGCGCATCGTCTCGCGATCCTTTTGCCTGATGTACTTTTTCCACACGGACTCTCCAAAGTCTTCGTTGTCAAAATCCTCGTTGTACGCAAGCGGGTACTCTTGGCCTTCTTCGGTATCACCTTCTTTATGGGCACTCCCCTTTTTGCCTTTGGCTTTCTCATCATTGCGTGTACTAGCTCCGTCTGAGCGTAAACTTTCCGCATTGCCAATGGGAGACTCGGGGCCTGTCAAGGGATACTCATCAGGATCCGTCTTGTTGCTCACTTTCGAGTTACCAGATCCCCGACTTCTCCAAAAAGGCCTTTTCGGTTTGGGATCAGGCTCAGTAGTGACTGTAGCGTTCGAATCTTCACCTCCCGTTTCGTTGGTGTGAGCTCTGTCAACATCTGATTCTTCATGATGATCCTCGTGGCTTGCACGGGAATGATCGTCTGCGCTGACTTGGGCAGGGCCGTCTTCATTGTCCTCCGGAACGGGGTCGACGGTTTGAGTGAATGATCTGTTTGCCGCGGGCTCGGCCTTTCTGAAGCTACCGACTACTGATTTCCCCAGCTTACCGACACCGTGTCCGACCGCCTCTGCCGCGTACATCGCGGGATCCAATGGATTGTAGCGTTTCCGTTCCCCAGAAGCCGGGCGGTGTAAGACTTGGTTCAAAGTGTGCGCTTGATGCGGGTTACCGGAGCTGATTCCAGCACCCATTGCGAACTGAGATGCATGGTTATTGGTAGCTGCCTTTTCCTCGTTGCCCACAGCTTTGGCATTTTTCCCTGCCTTTTTCGCCTCTATTTTGGTCCGCTTGAGTTGTGCTTTTTTGCAGTTGATAACCAAGTTCGTCTCGGCAGTCTCTAGCTTCAGGGCCAGTGCATCCCGTTCTTTGACTTTCTCGTTGAGGTCGTCGAAGTTCCGGTTAATCCAAACATTGCGAATACCGCCGGGAAAAACATCATATAGTCCATCTAACGCCTCCACGCTGAGCCAACGTTCCGGAATGGCGGTCACCAGGACGGTTGTTGCGGATGCTCGTAGGCGATGTTGAGGGGAGGTCATGTAGGCCTGTCGGAGACGGATATAGCCCCTGAGTTCATCATAAAACACAGCACAGACATATAAAACCACAATAACCGCCATCACCAAATGTCCCCAATATCGGTGCACATGTTCCGGAGCGACATTTCCCCACGCCAACTGATCCATACCAGTGACGTTCCAGTGGCCGCCCGCCGTCCCATTCTTGAAATTCTGATCTTTACCATTCGCCTTATTCAACGGGAGAAGTACCGGCAATATCAGGATCGCCAGAGGAACGAAGATCTTCAGAAGCATGCGCAGGTATCGCAAGAAGAAGTAAGCATCCAGCCCACATTTCTGGATGAATTCGGTGCTCGAGGTGCGGAAAACGGGAACGGTCCAGCGGAACAGACCCGGTGGCGATGGTTCGGTACGTTCTCTGTCGGGAACGAGATATGTTCGAGGTTGACTATGGAGTAATTAGGGTTTTGTCAGCCATGGTTCTATAGGTTCCCCAAAAATCATTGGCCCATCACTCACTAAATACGGGTCAGCTTCCCCTTGAGAAGCAAGAAGAGTAGGAATTCGACTGCGAAAACGACGATGGCGGTGGCCAACGAAGCCAAAAAGGTCGAAATCCCAACACCCTCGTTTTTCTGACCGGTGCCGCCAGCATGCTCCAGGGCCGTTCCCAAATCGGGGGCAACCATCTTGGCTTACCACGGCCGTTCAAGAGTTGTAAGGAATGAGAGGAAAGGGTGATATAAAGTCGCTGAATGCAAGGCACTATGCAGTAATTCAATAAGGAGAGAGAAGAAAGGTATTATAAAGTATTAAGAAGGCGAAAGAGCCGAACAACACATGTCACGGGGGTCCCAGACCAGCCAGAACAGCACCCACGAATTAAAAGGAGACAATCGTCATATAGAGAACCGCATCCCTGGTCCATTCACTGCATGAAAGAGGCTGCGTTGAACAACGGGAGCACTGTGAGTGACAATAGAGCACATAGAAAGAGAGTTTAAAAAAAAAGTGAGGGAGGAGGGTTCGAAAGATAATAAGAGTCAAGCCATGACAAGCACGTCGCGCCGGCCTTACCGAATTGGGAATAGCGGAGTGGAAAATTCGAGGCGCCCAACGAACAGGGAACTGAGTGTTGTATTGGGATTACACAATACGTCCGATCCAGGGGCTACAATAGGTGAAATATATTGAATCCTGTAAGATATATGGTAACAGTGCCTGAAGATAGGAAAAATACACTGTACGGTCGATCGATGACATCAGGGCGCCTGGTGAAACATGTAACTGTTACTGTCTCTGGCGGATACAAGTATGGTATTGGTCTTTGTATTGGCGCCTAAATGTATTAATTGATCTGTTAACTATCCACCGTTACTCTGTAAAAAGCGGCATGAAAGAGGAACATACAAGTACATACATAGTAGTAAAAGATACGAGTACGATATGTGGCGTTGTCGTTTCAGGAGTTCTTCAGGGCATTCATGGATGCCTGCTGGCCTTCCCCACATGCCGATCAAATATGCGTGTGGCTAGTATATATCCCTCTTATAATTTAATATGCGACCTTTGTGGCGAACCTCGCTCTTGTGGTGTAGAGGTTAGCATCTGGGATTTTGATACGTTTATCAAGATCTTCCCGTGACCCCGGTTCGAATCCGGGCAGGAGCTCATTTTTTGCTTTTTTTTTTTTTTTTTTTTTTTTTTTTTTTCCTTTTCTTTTCTTTTCTCTTCTTTTCAATCTGCAGGTCATATGTTATTTTTTATTTTTATTTTTATTTTTATTTTGGTTCTTTCTTGTGGTCAACCATCTCGAATATTATGCTGCATGGTACGTGAAACAAATAGCAGTGTGGTAGTGTACCATGGTTGTCTGGCGTTGCTACACGGGACTTCGTATAAAGAAAGAAAATAATAAAGGAGAGAATGAGCCGGGAAGGAAAACAAAGTAGATATATTTGGTCTGATCTCAAAGGAATAGTCCGTTCAGACGGTCAAAGAGCCCTATCGTCTTTGGGTGTCTATTTCCAGGTCTTCGCTGGTGTTCTAGTCGGAGCGCTAGTTTTCAGGGCTGGTACTAATCTTTACTACATATCCACTACGGAGCAGTATCCTGGTCTTAAAGGAAAGAAAGAGGGGAAAGGTCTCGCCAATAGATGCCACTATGTGTTGCTCCTTTTTTGGGTGGCAAATACGGAACAGGCTGGTAGCCCAGTCCTGGTCCAAACGATGATATATTCGTGTTGACTTGCGCCATTTCGCTGTGATCTTGAACCAATGAGCCAACCTGTAAATATACCTTCACCCACATTCCAGCCATGCAGGTTTAAACCACACCATTTTAACTTACGATACACGGAGAGCGGTATCCTAGGATATCATGGCTGCCTCTCGGCAGGGTTACATGGAGGAACCCAGACATGCGACGAGATCACAATGGCTGCAGATAAGACCGATGTACATACTAAGCTTGAGATGGTAATCAGTCGTAATGGGTGATAGCAAAGATATACAGCTTATGTTGCATCGCATTTATTTTATTCGTTAGCTGATTACCTTGGACGAATACCTCGACCAAATGTGAAAGTAAATCCCGAAGACATTCTATTGTGGCCGTATCAGTCATGAATCGCTATTGGGCTAAATGAAGAACAAGTTGCTTCTATGGTGTAGAGGTTAGCATCTGGGATTTTGATAATTATATTAAAATCTTCCCGAGACCCCGGTTCGAACCCGGGTAGGAGCTGTTCTTTTTTTGACTCGATTTTTTATTTTGATTTATTTTTAATTTTCTTTTCCTTCTCCTTTCCATTGCATCATCTTTTGTGATTCACCAAATCAAATTCTCTGCTGTCTGAATATCAAACGTAAATTTGGCGTGGCGACCACTAAGAATGGCCTACACTAATCCGTATAGGGAAATATTGACTTCAAACGCGCTACCCGAAAATGGCAATCAATTAACGCGTCCCTCGCGTAGCAACGCGTCGGGCGAGTCCACCAAAAAGAATTCGAAGAACGTATCCACCGCAGCAGCCAACTTTACCACCACCACCACCACCAACACCCAACACCCTACACTACCTTCACCACGCTGCCATTGTGGTCGGTCTTTTTAATTACATAGTGGACAGCCGACCGGCCTCAGATTATCACCATGTCCTCCCCTGCGTCTCGCCGGACCCGTCAATCGAGGGACTCGGCCACTGCCTCCCCTGCCCGCTCAACACGGTCTCGCCAGCAACAGGAGCAAACCACCCCGCGAGCATCGAGACGTCTGAGAGAAGAATCAGCAATGCCGGCATCGTCTCCCATTTTCTTCCAATCCTCCCCGTCCAGAGGAAACGACGACAGCGCCGAGACACCGGATATTAGAATGGATGAACCTGGTGATGCGACACCCCGAGGGAACGCATCAACCGTACGAGGTATGTGTCTACTTCAACTTTCACATTAACGCAGCGATGAGGACTTACAAATTTACCAGAGTCTTCCCCCATTCAATACATGCCCAGTTCAAGCCCGACACGCGCTCAAAGCCGGGGTCTGCACTCCGACAGCAGTGGACTTTTCGTTTCTTCAAGATCCGCTACGGGTGGTAACCGCGGCGTCTCGCGCCGCAACGATCTGAATTCTGGCGGGATTAGTTCCACCCCAAGCCGTCGTCGAAGACTGTTTGTCGATAGCAATGGAATGCCTGTTCCTGATGGGGAGCCTCAATCTGACGCGACTTTTTCGAACATCAACCCTGGTACTTCAGAGGCCGATGTCCTAGGCGGCGATTCAACCCGGATTATCTGGGGTACGAACATCGCGCTACAAGATTCCATCAACGCCTTCAAGAACTTCCTCTACAATTACGCCACCAAGTACCGTCTGTGGGCAGAGGGTGCGACGGAAGACGAGACCCGTATAATGGGGGACCCTGCAGAGGAGAGGGAATACATCACCATGCTCAATACCATGCGTCAATTGGGTGTCACCAGTCTCAACCTAGATGCTAAGAACCTCAAGGCATATCCGTCAACGTTGAAACTGTGGCACCAGCTTCATTCCTACCCTCAGGAAATTATTCCCTTGATGGATCAGGGCGTTAAGGATGTGATGGTCGATCTAGCAGGGAGGGAAATGAACCAGTTGCGAGCACGCAACCGCCCCCAAGCTCATGCAAGAGATGCAGGCTCCGACGCTCAGCCAGAGATCCCCGACCTCGTTGCAGAAGTCGAGACCAGGATCTACAAGGTTTTGCCGTTTGGACTCGATTCTACGGTGAACATGAGAGAGCTTGACCCAGCGGGTTTGTGCGACCCATTCTAGAATCATCTACAACATTGGCTAACGTGTTTATAGATATGGACAAGCTGGTGAGCATCAAAGGCTTGGTTATTCGGACCACCCCTATCATTCCGGATATGAAAGAGGGTGAGTTCGGAACATGTTACATTGAAAAAAGAATCCAATCACTGACACCCCATTAGCATTCTTCCGCTGCCAGATGTGTAACCACGGTGCTCAGGTCGACATTGACCGTGGCAAGATTGCGGAGCCCACCATTTGCCCGCGTCAGGTTTGCCAGGCGAGAAACTCGATGCAGATCATCCACAACCGGTGTTCTTTTGCCGACAAACAGGTTATCAAACTACAAGAGACCCCCGACAACGTCCCTGACGGTCAAACTCCCCACTCGGTCTCGCTGTGCGTGTACGACGAACTGGTGGACATTTGCAAGGCTGGTGATCGCGTGGAGGTGACTGGTATCTTCCGGTGCAATCCTGTGCGGGTGAACCCGCGGCAGCGCACACAGAGAGCACTGTTCAAGACGTATATCGATGTGCTACACGTCCAAAAGACGGACCGCAAGAAGCTTGGTATCGATGTGTCGACTGTCGAGGAGGAATTGCAGGATCAGACCGCTGGTGATTTCGAACAGACACGCAAGATTACCGCAGAAGAAGAAGAGAAGATCAGACGTACCGCCTCGCGACCTGATATCTATGAGCTTCTCTCTCGTTCGCTGGCCCCGAGTATCTACGAAATGGATGATGTGAAGAAGGGTATCCTTCTCCAGATGTTTGGAGGCACCAACAAGACTTTTCAAAAAGGTGGCAACCCGCGGTATCGTGGTGATATCAACATCCTTCTGTGTGGTGACCCGTCGACATCCAAGTCGCAACTCCTCCGATATGTCCACAAGATCGCTCCCCGTGGTGTCTACACCAGTGGTAAGGGTTCTTCGGCAGTTGGTCTGACAGCCTACGTGACCCGTGACCCGGAAACCCGCCAGATGGTCCTCGAGTCTGGTGCCTTGGTCCTTTCGGACGGTGGTGTTTGCTGTATTGATGAGTTCGACAAGATGAATGAGTCTACGCGGTCCGTCCTGCACGAAGTCATGGAACAGCAGACTGTTTCCATTGCCAAGGCAGGTATCATTACGACCCTGAACGCGCGAACCAGTATTCTGGCCTCTGCGAACCCTATTGGCAGTAAATACAATCCCAACATCCCTGTTCCGCAGAACATCGACCTGCCTCCGACATTGTTGTCTCGTTTCGACCTGGTGTATCTCGTCCTGGACCGTGCTGATGAGCAAGAGGACCGCCGTTTGGCGAAGCACTTGGTCAACATGTACTTGGAGGACAGACCCGACAACGCGAGTGATGAGGAGATTTTGGTAAGTATCAATCCACATGGAACATCTATTGAATTATGCTAACCGGTATCTACAGCCCATTGAATTCCTGACGGCCTACATCACTTACGCCAGAAACAAAGTGAATCCCGTCCTTACGCCAGCGGCAGGCCGGGTGCTCTCAGACGCCTACGTGAGCATGCGAAAACTGGGCGATGACATCCGCACATCAGACCGCCGTATCACCGCCACGACCCGCCAACTAGAATCCATGATTCGACTGGCAGAAGCCCACGCGCGTATGCGTCTGTCCGAGGAGGTGACCGCCGACGACGTTGAAGAAGCCGTTCGTCTGATCCGCTCGGCTATCAAGCAGTCGGCCACTGACCAGCGCACCGGTCTCATCGACATGGGTCTGCTCACCGAGGGCACAAGTGCCAGTGAGCGTCGCCAGCGCGACGCCCTGAAGCGCGGTCTACTATCTGTGGTGGATGAGCTCGGCAGCGGCAGCGGCTCTGCCCGGTGGGCGGAGGCATACAAGGTCCTCAGCGACCAGAGCAGTGTTCCTGTGGATGGCGGCGAGTTTGCAGACGCTGTGCGAGCCCTGGAAACCGAGGGCGTTCTGAGCGTTGTTGGCGACGGTGCGCGTCGCAGCATCCGTCGTGTTGGTGGAGGACGGCTGCCGTAGTCACCTCAGGGTTAGGAGATTGGAATGATGCGACCACGATCTTATGCATTACAGTAATATCCAGATGATGGGTTGAGGATGTTATTTTGTTTTACCAATGATATGGATATGTATAGAGTGCCTGCCAGATTTGTTACCCGGTGTGCTGGAGTTGGTGGAAATGAGTTAGTTATATAGCAACGAGCTTCGTAATGGTACTTTTGACACATCTCTGCATTCATTTGTCTCATGTACTAGTTCAATGTAGCTTATCGTGTAAACGCTCTGGAGACATGCCGTATACAGCGGAGCCCGGAGTATTGCCGACAACACTAGCAGGGGGGTGAATCCGGCAGGTCGGCCGGATTCACGGTCATGTCCCAATCGGGAATAGTGTTTTCCACCGGGAATGAGCACGTGCCACAGTGAGTGGTCGGTATTGATAGCAGTGGACGGTCGTAAAGTCAATTCAATTGAAATTTGTATTGACAGAGATTTTGTCACAACAGAATTGACAGAGAATCAAGGCAATAAAGAGCACGAAAGACAGTGAGAATAAGGGAGACAAGAATACATAACTAGAAACAGCTCAGGTGATATTATTAGTGCATATCGAAAGAACCGTTGAACTGCGGTTGCGCTAACCGCATCTGGAAGACAGCTACTCCAGATCACATGGTCTGGACGTAGCCTCTCTTCTTCGTCATCTTCTCTCCCTCTTCTTTTCTCTGACTCTGACTCTGCATATAATTGTGGTATACAGGGACGGCATTCTTATTGTATAGACTGATTGCATTGTTTGATATCTCTTGTCTATTCTGCTTACTCTGTAATCTTTTTCTCTTTCCCTCCAGGCGGGCTATCGCCATCAACCGGTTAGCCCATCATGCGGTAAGTCATTCCATCCAGCATTCTTCTCGACCTTCTCTAACCGTTTACTTGCTTCTCAGGTTCGGAGAACATCTCCGCTCGTCCATCATCCAAGAGTACTACTGGTACTACATCGCCTACGACGAATTGAAAAAAGCCCTCAAGACCGACTTCGTCCAGGAACCAACCCCCGAAAACACAAAACCAGACCGCAAAGCATGGTCCGAAGATGACGAGCAGCGCTTCGTCTCCCTGCTCGAGAACGATCTCGACAAGGTTTTCAACTTCCAGGGGATCAAGAGTGAGGAGATCGTTCGGCGCATCCAGGCCAGCGAAAAGGACGTGAACGATGTCATCTCAAGGCTGGACAGTAATCGCAATCAGTCTGGAGCTCGTCGCTCGAGTGTCCGGTCTGTTACGCGTCCGCCTCCGTCCGATGAGGATTTTCTGTTCCTGGAGCAGGTCTTGAGTGACATCATAGCCGATGTTCATGATCTGGCTAAATTCACCCAGTTGAATTATACTGGGTTTCAGAAGATTATCAAGAAGCATGATGTACGCTTACAGCCATTCCGTTTTCCTTTCGCGCCAGTCTTTTCTTTTTCTTTTCGCGTCCCAGCCCAACTGCCGTCCGTGCGCTAACTTGGCCAGAAACAAACCGGCTGGCACCTGAGACCCGTCTTTGCAGCACGCCTTAAAGCCAAACCATTCTTCAAGGATAATTACGATGCGTTCGTCGTGAAACTCTCCAAGCTCTACGATTTGGTCCGGACCAAGGGAAACCCCGTCAAGGGTGATGCCGCCGCCGGAGGGTCTCAGCAGAACTTTGTCCGCCAAACCACGAAATACTGGGTCCACCCTGACAACATCACAGAACTGAAATTGATCATTCTTAAGGTACGCAAATGCGCCCCTTTCAAGTCAATGCAATGTCGGCTTCGAACTGACTCAATTCTCTATCAAGCACCTCCCCGTTCTTGTTTTTAATCCTAGCAAGGAATTCGAAGAAAAAGATACCGCGATCTCGTCCATATACTATGACAATACCGATACTTGGGAGCTATACCAGGGTCGTCTCAAGAAGACAGAAGGAGCCGAGGCGATTCGTTTACGTTGGTATGGAGGCATGGAGAGCGATCAGATTTTCGTCGAACGGAAGACACATCGCGAAGACTGGACCGGCGAGAAGTCAGTCAAGGCGCGTTTCGCGCTCAAAGAGAAGCATGTCAACGCTTTCCTCGAGGGTCGTATGACCGTGGACGCCGTCTTTGACAAGATGCGCAAGGAAGGGAAGAAGAGTGAACAGGAGATTGCCGATCTGGAGCAATTGGCCCGAGAGATCCAGTATCGCGTCATCACAAGAAGGCTGGTACCCGTTACCCGGTCCTTCTACCATCGAACGGCTTTCCAGCTTCCTGGTGATGCTCGTGTTCGTATCTCGCTCGATACCGAGTTGACCATGGACCGGGAAGACAATATTGGGCGCCGACGTTCAGGAAACAACTGGCGTCGCATGGACATCGGGGTCGACTATCCATTCAGGCAGCTCCCTCCTGAGGACGTTGAACGATTCCCTTATGCCGTGTTGGAAGTAAAACTTCAAACCCAAGCCGGACAGGAGCCCCCGCAATGGATCAAGGACCTGACTGCCAGCCATCTGGTTGAAGCTGTTCCTAAATACAGTAAATTCATCCATGGGACGGCCGCCCTCTTCCCTGACCATATCAATCTCTTGCCATTCTGGATGCCGCAGATGGACGTCGATATTCGGAAACCCGCAACACGCCGCTTTGGTATCCAGCGGCCATTGGCAAGCACATCAATGTCTGGCAACGACGAAACCCAGGATGATGAGGAGTCGGACGATGACTCGGGTGAAGCACAGGAGAACGACAGGCGCAGACTGGAAGATCAACCCAATGGAGATGGACTTGGGTTATTTGCTGACACCGATGGAAATGCGCTTGACATCGAGGAACGTGTTGCCGCACAGCCGCTACCCGGTGATGAAGATTATCCACTGTATGACTCGGATGACGATTTCATGGACACAGACGAGCTGGAAGAAGCTAGAAGAGTGGGAGGAAGATATTATTACCAGAAGCTGCTCCAGTACTATGCCGAGCGGGCTGGAAACGCAGTGGTAAACGGTCTCAAGGCCATTATTCCGCGGCCGACGCCGACAAGTATGCCTCCTCCCGAGCAGCGTGGAATCATGGTTCTTGGAGATCGACGGACAGTCATGAGATTCGAGGCACCCAAGGGTAAACGTAAGTGTTACATTGACTTCCTTCATTTTTGATTTCCTTTAACAATACTTAGGTATCCATGTGCCTATCCGTGTCGAACCCAAGGTCTACTTTGCAGCAGAGCGAACATTCCTGTCATGGCTCGAATTCTCCATCATCCTGGGCACTATTTCGGCCGCCCTGCTCAACTTTGGCGAGGACTACATCACCCTGAGCTCATCCTGGGCATTCACCATCTTAGCCGCATCGGCCCTCTTGTACAGTCTCGTGTTGTATATCTGGCGTGTGGACAAAATCCGCAAGCGCCGCGACGTCAAGCGTGTGTACTATGAAAAATGGGGCCCTACTGTTCTGGGCGTAGGTCTTATATTGGCGGTCCTGACGAACTTTGCATTGCGCGTTCGACAGGATGGATTCATGGCGCCGGACCATGATTTTGGAAAGGGGGGATATGGTCGGGTAGGAGACGAGTTATGATTCGTCTTCTTGACCGAGTATAGAATTTTCTTCAACAATATATGTTTTCAACAACATGGGGACACTGATGCCTTATTCCTCAGGAATCATAACAGAGCTGAGATCTAACACTAGTTAACTAAATCGGATGTGGCTACCTGAACAGCTGCCGATCACACTCCCACTTCTTCAGCTCTTTGCACAATTTTCCCATCTCGATTTACGGTTCGCCATGCGACGCTCCACAGTTACCAATAGTAATTGGCGATGCAGCGCATAGGTCTTCATTGTTCAGCTGAAAAGATTCATTGCATGCCGAATTGCAGTCGGTGAAATTTGAAATTTCCATGGCCAACCTTCCATGGCCAACCTATATAAACTCACAACTATCCCTCGGATATGCATAGTAAATCATATGAGTGCATTTGGTTTAAAGAGATTTTTAACAATGTCTCTGTGTAGAGAAACAACAACCGTTAAGCATTATACTTATCATGCAAGCACCTACACCTGTTGTTGAATGTACTCGTACTTATACAGAACAGGATGCCGTACATCGATTAAACACCACCCAGACAGGCTTCAATTCCAAAGAGAAATGCGAACTTCGTCGCCAGCTATTAGGTAAAGCCGATGTACCACAAATGAGGAAGTGGTTATCCCGTATCGGGTATACGGTATGCTTTCCCTTTCCACTAAACGAAGCATACCAAATCCCTAACCATAATACATCTCCAGCCCACCGACCTCAACAGCCTCAACGTCGTCCACGTCGCCGGAACAAAAGGCAAAGGATCAACCTGCGCATTCGTAAACTCGATCCTCAACCGCTACCACTCATCCATTGGCGCACCGCGCAAAATCGGCCTCTACACCTCCCCGCATCTCATAGCCGTGCGCGAGAGAATCCAGATAAACTCGCAGCCTATATCCGAAGAACTTTTTACGAAGTACTTCTTCGAAGTATGGGATGCGCTCGAGGAATCCGCGGTACGGGACGGACTCGATCCGTCGATATTGAAGCCAACGTATTTCCGGTTCCTGACGTTATTGTCGATCCACGTGTTTATGAGAGAGGGCGTTGATGTCGCTGTTTACGAAGTCGGTGTTGGGGGCGAGAACGACTCGACGAATGTTTTTGAAAAGCCTGCTGTGACTGGTATCACGACGTTGGGGATTGATCATGTGAATGTGCTGGGTGATACAATTGACAGTATCGCGTGGCATAAGAGCGGGATATTCAAGGAGGGGTGTCCGGCGTTTACTGTCGACCAGGTGCCCGAGGCTATGGAGGTTCTTGAGCAGAGGGCTGTGGAGAGGGGGGCTAAAGGACTTGGCAGGGTTGGGGTGTGTCCTGCGCTATTACAGCAAAAGGTGGATATCCGGCCTGCAGAAGACTTCCAGAGGAAGAATGCCTCGTTGGCTATTGCACTCGCGCATACTGTCCTGGGGAAACTGGGCATTGAAACTAATCCTGACCAGCAAAACCTCCCAGCAGAATTCGTCCAAGGCCTAGAAAGCGTTGTTTGGCGAGGTAGATGCGAGGAACTAAGAAGCAGACAGCAACACTGGCACCTGGACGGCGCGCACACAGAGGCAAGTCTGGAAGTAGCGTCGTTGTGGTTTGGGAAGGTATCACAGAAACGACACAGAGATATACCTCGTGTGCTGGTTTTTAATCAGCAGTCGAAGAGAAGAGATGCCGTCTCGCTGCTGAAAACTATCCACCAGACATTGCACGACCATTTCAAGATGTCTTTTCAGTACGCGCTGTTCTGCACGAACGTGACGTATAAAGACAATTCATACAATCCCGGTACGCTGCCCTCACCCATCGAATATAATATAATAGAAATGGATAAATTAACAAATAGCAGACCTTATGGACAAGAACACAGATCCAGACGCCATCCAGAATCTCAGCCTGCAGAGAGAATTGGCGAATATATGGAAGGATCTGAACCCGGGGACTGAAGTCGCGGCGCTGTCATCTATCGAGGGAGCCATTGAATATATTAAGAACATCAATGGTGGTGTGGGAGAGAGCCAGGTTTTGGTCACTGGGAGTCTGCACCTTGTTGGTGGTGCTATGGCGGTTTTGGATGACATGAAGGGTGAATAGGAGTCTTGGGGTACATGAGCATATAGTGAAGGAAAAAAGATTCTAGTCAATGTAAATGGCAAGGGTAGCTACATACGTTATCTACGACTTATCCCCCCTTTTCTTTTATTTTTTCTTTATTTTTATTTTTACATCGACACTATCCTCGCAAGCGAATCTCCTAGCTTTCTTGCGCAATATTCTACCTTCAGCAGTAACTTATGAAGACACCCATACCCATGCAGATACAAGAATAGATTTTCCCACCATGTCTGGGAACATTATATAGCCGAGACTAGAGTGCTCTCGACCATGAACTGATGTCCCCAATGCAGTCTAGACAATAGACGGGGGTGTCCGAAAAATGTATGCTGGATGGCATATACTAAAAGAGGATCGATAGAAAGATGAGAATTAAATTAGATGAAGAACTAGAATACAGGAGGGCGTTATGGCCGTTTTTATACTGGAGAAAAATAAACAAAGAAGCCGGAGATTTCCTTTTCCATACCATCATAGTCGCAGACAGCAATCTTCATGAACACGAATTCCTTGGCCATATCTCCAAGTCGGCTGTAGGAGCGGCAGCGATCAGGGCGTATTTCAGTATCTCAGTATAGAGGGCGAGAGATAGAGACTTGTAGACTTGGATATAAGACGATATAAGAATAGAGATCGGTTCAGGTATGGCGGTAGATAAGATGCGGAGAATCGGCGATGCGCAGCGGCTAAGACCCTACCCTTGTTACAAAGTCATAAGGCATACAGAATACTGGAAGCGTTGTTTGAATAATGATATTATGTGCCTGAAGGCTCTCCTACTAACATATTGAACAAGTTGCAAACAGAATAAGAAGTCATCCTCTGAAATGGGATCCGTAGTCCAGCCCGCGTTTTTTGAGTGCACGATACCATTTATCAAATTCAATCTGTCGAGAATAGGTCTGGCTCAAGGGAACATCATGTTCTTGATCAGCGCCTGACCGAACCTGACCCATGCAATGCTTCTTCCACTTCCCGTTTTGATAGGCTGAAATGGTAAAGTCAAACCATGGCGAGTCGACATTGTCTGCAAGCTTGACTTGTCACAGACTCGTGACCATCTCAGCAGGCCCGGAGCCCCCTAGAATCAGTGCATTTCGGATGAATATATTCCTCAGAGAATAGTCCGTAGATTCAGTCACTTGACGCACAGCTTCACCTGCCATGGCAACATAACCAGCAGCGGGAAAGACAATATTATTGCCAATCTTGTGGTCCAACCCAGAGAGCATCTTCTATATTGAAAAAGTTCCGCCAAGCCGGTTCTAAATCACTTTACTCCAGAGCCCGAGAGCCTAGGAGTTCATGGTGAGGATATCGGTGAAGTCTCCAGTCACGAACAAGACGGGGCTCGTCCCAGAGTCTTTCGTCGTGCTGTCAGGTATATGGGGGAAGTTCTGTCAAGACTTTGCCTTGCGCAATGAGGGAAGGGAGGATTATAGGTGCGCTGTGAGTGTATAGGTTCCCAGCTGTTACCAGAAGACTTCTCCACGGCTCTTTGCCCCTAATGATGGTTGGAAGATAGCGGTGGTCTTTCGTATCGGCCTTCGCAAGTGACTGACGAATAGGACCGGATAGCGTTGAATGGGGTCCGATCTCCAGGAATAGCTTTGACTGGTCGTCATCTCCAATGATCCGTTGAATTGCCGTGTTGAAAAGAACGGGGGACTGCAAGTTCTTGCGCCGGTAACGGGCGTTCAGAATTGAGGGATCTGATATAATTGTCCCTGAAACAGTAGAGTACATTGGCGCCATAGATAGTTTGTGTGCGCAATGCGGATGGACCATCTTCTCATGCACTTCCCCAGCTTCGACCATATGGTGTGAATGGTAGGCAACATTGACGGCGAGATGTCGACAAAATATCTCATTGTCGTGGGCATGAATGCCATCCAGAACTTCACCGAGGGTGTCACTATCACCTGAGAGCGTGACACCTTCTGGGCTATTGTCACAAGCGATGACGACGCCCGGCTTCAAGAAAGGCCTTGCCTTTTCTGAACCAAGACCAACGGCCGCCATGCCACCATGATGCTCAGAGGAGAAAGTCTTCATTGCTTGACCACGGAAGTATGCAACGAGAATTGCAACCTCAGCAGACAATGCACCCGAGGCATAGGCAACTGCAATCTCTCCACTGGAATGTCCCACCACTGCATCAGGTGTAATGCCCCAGTGTTGGAGAAGGTTTACAAGAGCTATTTGGACGGCTGTTCAGAGTGGTTGCGCGAATTTTGCCTCTACAACTCGGCTGTCATCGTCGAATTTCAAAAGCTCATCTGAATTTGAACGTTAGATTTGCTCTTTTGAAAAAGAATGCGGACATACCTTCAATAGACCACGAAGGCCCGTTCGTAACTCCTTGCAAGATGCGGTCCATCATCCGAATATCTTCCTGGAAGATTCCTACTTTTTCGATCAATTCTCGGCCCATCCCGGGCCACTGAGCACCTTGTTCGGTGAACACGAAAACGATGGGTGCCTTGGAGAACTTGGTCTTCTCAAAAGATGAGGCTTTTCCATTCGCTTCTGTGAATGCAAATGCCCTGTGTGGCATATGTTCTCGCCTCAAACCCAATGTGTATGCAATATCGCCTAATGATGACTTGGTTGTCTCCAGATACTTCTGCAAATTCTCAATCTATCCATCTAATTACTGTTTTGATCTCGCAGAGATAACCAGAAGTTGAGGGCCTGGTTGGTCATCCACATCTATGCATGCATCATCCTGCTGCAGGGGAGAGGCAGAATCAAGAATAACCTGACCATGTCAGCACCCACACGACAGAATTAGACGAGAAAAAATTTGCGGCATCAACTTACATGAGCATTCGTTCCGCCAATGCCAAATGAATTGATGCTTATCCTCTGGCTTCGGTCTTTCGGCCAGGCGGTAGCTTCTAAGGGCAGCTGCAGCCTCGCCTTTTCAAATGGGACTATGTTGAGCACATATTAGCACTTGGGCATATAATCTCAGATAGCTGAGAGGGTATGATAACGCACTGTTGGGATTGGGACTTTGGAAATGAACATTGGGTGGAATGGTTAGCTTCTCTAGCGCCAAAACACTCTTGATAACACTGGTAATTCCAGACGCGCCTTCAGAGTGCCCGACGTTTGGTTTGACCTTGAATTGCATTAGTATGTGATATCATTAGGAAAAGAGCTAGATAGGACACATACCGCACCGATATAAATACCTTCTTTTCCGAAGATATTGGCCACAACAGATGTCTCTGATGTATCTCCAACAGTTGTCCCAGTGCCATGGCACTCAAAAGAAAGCAGTTTGTGACACTTTGTCAATTCCCGCTTTCCTATACGCTCTTCTGATCAATCTTTCTTGCGCTGCGTAGGAGTCTTCCCATCGCAATTCACTGCGCTAGAGCGAATAACAGCACGAACCGGGTCACCATCCTGGAGTGCTTTGTCCAAGGGTTTGATAAATATGGCGTTGACTGCCTCTCCTCTTCCATATCCATCTGCTGCGGCATCAAAGGTTCTGCAAATTCCACTTTTTGAAATGACCATGTTATCGGACATCGAAGTCGTCATTGTTGGCGTGAAGATGAGATTCGTGCCAGCCACCAATGCAGAAGAACATTAGCCGGAATAGAGACCCTGACATGTTTTATGAAGGCCTACCAAGGAGGATGAGCAGCCCGTTCGAAAGGTGATGCTTGGGCCTCCAAGGTCGTACTCGTAGGAGATACGATTGGAGATGGCATAGTCACCCGCTCCAACCACGCGGTATCTGTCATTGTCTTGGGTGTCCTTTGTCTTCAAGTCCAGCCAATCCTCACCAAAAACCCCAACATAACAGCCAATGTTCCTTCCCCGCCATCCTGTCTGTCCACCATTCTCCATACATCCCCAGATTATCTCTAGTAAGAGCCTTTGCTGCGGGTCAAGTTTCGCAGCCTCAGCCTTACTAATGCCAAAAAAGCCCGTGTCAAACTGTGCAATATCATGCTCAAGGAAGTACCCGTGCTGTGTTCGGATTGCACCAGTCCTCGAGTCGTCGTGAAAAGCATCAATTTTGTAGCGGGTATCAGGGACCTTGCACAAGCCATCGCGCTTGTTAACCAGAAAGTCCCAAAACTCCTTCTCGCAGCTGACGCCCCCAGGCAATCTCATGGCCATTCCAAAAACCGCAACCGGGAAAGGGACACGGGTATCCTCAGTGTCGTCGACATCTTGGGGGATCGGGTTCCATCGTCGGTTCCGGGGCTCGTCGCGGGAGTATAAAGGGCGTTTTCCAAGATCTCAGTCGAGCTTCCACTCAGAGGCACCCCGCAAGTGAGCGCATTCTCGACAATTCCAGTCATCTTCGCGATGTTTTTTCGGCTGCAAGTGTGTGAAGTCAACTCTGGGGAGTGGCCGTGACGATGGGAAGGAAAATGATGTACGAGTAATCAAAATATAGATACCAATTCATCATAAAGATTTACTCCGTATCAATTGGAGAGATCAACACACGACTTGTCAGGCTACGTCGACTGCGTCGACCTATAGACTATTGACGAGCTGATCGGCGCCATTCTAGCTAGAGCATTCTGAATCCGGTACTGATGTGATAGACTATTTGATTTTAAGCTGAGGCTGAGAATACTATGGCAATTAATCGTCGTTAAGCTCTAGCGTGGAGCCGTGCGCTCGATCCCAGAGCCTTAGGCGGAGGATTCGGTTACTGTTTTTGCATAAACACTTTGTACACCGAAAAAAGCCATTGAGAGGATTACTCTGTACTCCGTATGAGATGGTCGATTACACTGCCATTGCTGCGAATCTTGCCCCACGTCGAGTCAAATCGCCGACCTTCAACAAGAGCATTGGGACCCGATACGTACATAGTACCTGTACTCTGCATACATAGTATGCAGTCGGAGGAGCACTAGTTGCTTTTGCTGTCATATTCTGTCGCATTTTCACATAAAATGACACATATGTGGTCTCGGTACATATGGTTCATGCAACAATGCCATAGTCTCCGCTTGGTTGGCCCCATATCACATATCTCAATTGTCCGTCGCCAAGCCCTTTTTCTCCAATCTAGTCATTGTGTACCTGTAATGTGAAATTGTGCATTTTCGGAAATATGCTACTACTAGTAGTATTAGTAGTAGTAGTAGTAGTAGTAGTAGTGTGTGTGTGTGTGTGTGTGTGTGTGTGTGTGTGTGTGTGTGTGTGTGTGTGTGTGTGTGTGTGTCTCTATTTTACGTCGAGGTTCGGGTTTTTCCACGCATCCTTGGATTGGAGACCTCGGAAGCAGAAAAGCCCTGGTCCCGGTGCGGGACATACGACGGGCAGATCGGAACTGCCTGTCACCTAGCTAAACTACCATCTATCATCTAAATACAGGTAGCCCCCCGCGCGGGGGGCTGCTTGGGCTTTCATGGCTGTCAACCAGCGAATCGAGCGAATTGGTTTGAAAGGGAGAGCAAGAACACGGGCAAGTAAGAAGGAAAAGGATACAAAAGAGGGGAAATAAAGTGAAGAGAGAGAGAGAGAGGGAGACCAGAGGTAAGCCTGGACATCCTGAATTTGGCGAGTTTAGATGTCTAATGGCGTCTGCAGACGGCTGTGTAGAAATGCGATTTTCCCAGCCAATCTGCATATGCAGTGAATCCTGTCTTTTTGGTGAGGATGTCTGCTACTGATTGTTGGCCCCACGGGTGGGCTGCTGCTTTGCGGCCTTCCCGGCAAGAGTAGAAATGGGAAGGTTCTTTCCTGCAGCCACATGAGCAGGTTAATAAGGCATCATCATGTTTGAAGCACTCATGGTACTCTGCAAAATCACCATGGCTGCTCCTGGCAGCTAGGAGGTGACCCAGAGCTGCTCGGGGAAGGTGGAGCTCTGGTGGCCGTTTCTCTATGCCTATACCAAGGTCCTTATAACGTTCGGGGGCCTTTTCTGCCCAGAAATGTGCAAAGCATCGCCAGTGCACCCTCTGGGCTGCCCGCTTGGCGGCTGCTATTGAGGCAGGTGGAGGAGGGAGCTCCAGGGGAGCATGGCAACCCATTTTAGCCTCCTTATCTGCTTCCAGGTTGTCCAGGCAGATATATATGTTTGTGGAGTGCTGGGTTCTGGGATCCTTAAGGGCTGCCTGTAGGCCTAGCAAGGCCGCTCTAGCCTCTGCACCAAAGACCTCATGGTCGAGGAGCTTTGCATGTCCGCTGAAGATCTTGGTCTTGGTGGTTCCCCAGAAGCCGGCCCAGCCAGCTCCTGCGGCCGATCCTTCTTTTCCTTTAGACCCATCTGTATAGACGACAATTGATAGTGGTGGGGTGAAATCGAGCCATATCTGAAAGTCCTCCCTGGCCTGTAACTTTGGGATCGCGGTTGGCTGCTCTTTAGGCTCCAGATTTGAGTCCCAGGGGCTTATCAGCAGTGGGTCCACCTGCTCAATGAAGTGGAAGTTTTTGAGGTCAACAACAGCCTGGAGTAGGCGGGTACTGATGTACCGGATTCGTTGGTGTGTGACCTGGAGGTGCAGGGGATGTTGGGTATCTAGTTGATGAACTCTGATGGCCAGGCTTCGCCGTCTCTGGTCGAGGAGTAATTCCATGGGCGGTATGGCTGACTCCCGGTGAAGTACAGCTGTTCGGGTGGTCCTGTAAACTGGGAGGGTTCCTAGGAGCGTGCTGCGGAGTACCCGGTCCAGACAGGCTAGCTAGGCTCCCACCCCATTGGAGATGAGTTTCTATCTGCCTGAGAAGTACTGTCTTAATTTTCTCCGTCCTAGCCACCATGCTTCAGCTCCATAGCAAAGGACTGAGACCACACAGGCTATTGTTACTTGCCTTAGTAGGGGAGCTTTAACTCCTCATACTGTGTTGGCCAGTGTGACGGTCTCGAGCAATATGAATCTATTGGTAGACTATCTGACGAAATTCTAACATGAGGAGAGAAAGGAAAGAGGCAGGCCTGCCGGCGACAAGCTATTTAGTGTGTGCGAGGGGTTTAAGCGATGCTCAGTGGATGTTCTACGCCAAACAGGTCAAAGTAATCAAACATGCTATACATCTCGCGAGCGTCCATGCTCCGTGACATAGAGAACAACTTGACAGCGCTTGCACATAACCTTTGGCTTGCCAGTCTTTGCATGTGCAACCTGATCAAATGATGACCAAACATCAGACTTTTTGAGGTTGCTATCCCATTGAATAGACCTCCGTATATCTTGCTTTTGGCCATACTCAATCTTCAACCACCATCCTACAAATTCTCTTCTAGATTCCTCCATCTTCGGATTGGTTGAATCACTACTATAGAGAATATAGTGCTGTTGAAGGGGCTTGCCAACACGCTCTAGTGAGTCCGGTGCGCGATAATACCAAAGGGGGAGAGAAAGGTCTGAGAAGCGAATTGAGGTTGGTGTTTCACTACCAAGCGCGTCAGTGAAATCGTCAGATTGGAGAAGCTCTGGATCAATGATGGAATCCGCGTAGTGGGATGCCTCATATTGACTATCAGACGCTTGTAATTGCGGCATGATTAGTAAAGAATAAGAAAGCAAGGCAGTAATGACTGTAAATATCAGTGAGAGACTCACATAAATATCAGAGCTGAAAATATCAGGGGTATAGGCAAATGGAGCCACGGACGCGACTTCGACGTGTTGGATAATAATAACACTAGATCCTAATTGGGTATTCACGGGCAGAAGTGGATATCCAACAGATATCCAACGGATATCAGCAAAATTACTTGGACGGAGATGGTGAATGATGAATTCGTTGCATGGTGGTTGAAGACAGAGTATGAAAGTCAGATGAAACGGAATATCTTTGAAAGCAAGCACCAGGCAGAGTGTTGGGATCATTTCCACCAGTAGGCCTCGAAATGGTCCGGTCCCGGTTCTAAGTTCCTAGGCTTTGGGTTGTGACATAAACCGTGCAGTGGGGGATGTCGCCAATCATTCAGCTCGAATTGTATAAAAAAGGGACATATGGTTGAGTGCACCATACACCGTGGTATTTATTCATTACCAGGACGGGAGTGCGCTACCTGTCGGGCTGTATGAGAAGCCGCTGAACGCCGAAACCAACGGGGTAGAGGAAACCGAAGCCGTAATGGACGTCGCTAAAGGCGATCTCTATTTGTCGCCCAGTATGCCAGCGGCCGCACATGAGTTGCCACGGATCTTGTTGCAGCTCTTCAAGCTGCGTCTTGTCTATGTTCCTGTAGATAGCCTGATCTGTAGTTTCTCTTGTCCATCAATTCCTCTATAACGGCCAATGGGTCATAGGGTTCTCAGAGGATTCTTAAAGCGCACCATTGAGCTCCTTCACCGGCACCGGGTAGTACCGCCATCGAGCCCCGACTGTTGTATGCTTTCGTTTTTGTGGGCATTTATTTTAATTCTTCGAAAGATGAGTAGATAGTATGTAGATAGTAGTATAGTAGAGAGTATTGTATTTTGTTTCGACAGGATCAAGTTGAATGATGTTGTTAGAGTTGTAAACAATCACTTCACCCTCACATCGGAATATATATAGAATGTACGTTGCGCACCTGCCCGCCTATCAAGGATTATAATTGACGACCTCAACGGTTGTATCATCCAAGCTTACAGCTTGCACATTCTCCGCCTCCACCCCGGAGTACCGGTTCAACCAACCCAGCACCTGCTGGTGCCACACGATACTATTCTCGGGATCTTGGACCCTGTTCATTGTCAGCTCCACATCCTACTTTTGTTGCGTATATAGAAAAAGGACACTTACCAATGATTCTCATCCGGGAAGTTCAGAAGACGACTAGGCACGCCCCGTTCCTGGAGGACGTTGAAAAGCGCCACACCCTCTGACACGGGGAGACGGTAATCGTGGTCACTGTGGACGACAAGCATAGGCGTGTCCCATTGGAGGATGTGTTCGGGGGCAGAGGGGTCCCAGATGCGGTAGTTGTCGCGGTTGTTCCAGTAGGTGCCGTTGTTCTGTATTGCGTGAGTGGATATTTTCTTTGGAAAATGGGACAGAGAGGGTGGACATACCTCATGCTGAGCGAACCACAACTCTTCCGTGTTGATCTTCGCATCTGCGATAAAGCTGCCGTCGTGGCTAACCAGGGCTTTGAACTTGCGGCCCAGGTCGTTACCCTGGATCCAGTTGATCATGAAACCGCCGTAACTGGCTCCCGCTGCTACGCCGTGGTCTGTGTTGATGAAGTCAAAGTTGTCGTGGACATATTCCCAACCTTTGACTAGGTCATCGTAGGGTGATCCTCCTGTCATCACTATTAGCGTATTGCATGAGCTATAGTGCTAAGCAGATAACATACCCCAGTTGTTCTGGATCGCATCTGTAAGCGCATCGCCGAAACCAGTGCTACCAGTCGGGTTTGGTGCCACGACCACGTATCCCTGGTCTGCGAACACCTTGGCATTCCATCGTGTGCTCCATGAATCAGCCCAAGAACCCTGAGGACCACCGTGGATATAAAACAAGAGAGGGTAAGTTTTGCTCTTGTCGAAGCTTTCTGGGTATACGAGGAAAGATTGGATCTATAAGGTTAGTACCAGAAAGTAAAGAAAAGGCAAGAAAGCTTACATCAGTCCAATTGCCCTGATAATAGAACTCATCAATATCTGCAGCGCTGAGTCCCTTTAGTTCAGGATCGATCTCGTTGGCAGAAGCCAGAGATTTGATAATCCCCTTCTCCGGACTCGCAATGTAAACGTTCCAGCTTGTCCAGAGAGTACTGCCTGTGACCAGCCAAGTAGAGTCAGGAAGCTGGTAATAAGACGTCACAGCACCGCCGTCGGTGAAGTTCTTGGGCTTGAAGTCATCTCCTGCATTTGCTGGAAGAGAGAAAAGCCTTGACCGGCCCTTGTCTTCACTAGTAACCAGCAAAGTCTCTTCGTCTGAAGTCCATTTTGCGGTGTCCGGAGATCTGTCCCAGTCCGTCGCAAGGCTCGGAATGGTAGAGTTGGAGTCAACACTGTACACATATAACGTGCGGCGGTCTGACTCGTAGTCATTGTCTTTCATCTGAAAGTAGGCCACTTTGTCACTGTTGGGAGAGAATACAGGGTTGCTGGAATCCCCATCAATTCCCTTCGGCTTGGCTGCGCTTTCGGGGCCGTTAATAGCAACCGGTTTTCTGGAGCCATCATGGGGAACAAGGTAGATATAGGAGGTTGTAAAGTTGGCCTTTGGAAGATCTGGTGCCTTGCTCTTGAAAGCTACCCACTTTCCATCCGGGGAGAGATTATAGTCTGACGACGTTCCAAACGGAGGATAAGGAGACTCAGCATTCTTGATGGGCGAGACCAAGTTGCGCAACGAGCCCCCAGAGATATAGCGAGGCTTTCCACTAGTACTAGAGGCGTTTCTAGCCTTCAAGGTACCGGAAAAGACAGCGTTGAATTTAGTGGTGAGATAGCTATCCCAGTGTCGGATGTAGATGCTGTCGTAGATCCGGGCAGAGCTTCGAGGAGTGATGGCCAATTTCTCATTGTACGCTGTACCATTTCCATATGACTCTGCATATGCGACAAATCGGACATCGCCGGTCCCCGTGGTGACGGCCTTCAGACCCGAGAAAGAAGCCGGCAATGAAGCAGCCTTGTATCTATATTTTGTGAGCGATAAACACGAGTACAGGATGAACGGACCAGCTTACCCATTCTTAAAGTCGGAAACATCAGAAACCCATAATTCCACACCACCAGGGATGTTCGCGTTGGTGCTGTTGATATATAAGACACTAGAATCTCCCAGCCACACAATTTCGGAGACATCGCTATCGTTCGTGAGCCGGTTGATCTCCCCGGTCTTCAGGTCGATCAGGCTCCACCAAAAGGAGGACTCGTGAGTTCCGAAGGAATATTGTGACGTGGAAAACAGTGCGACATCCTAGTATGACCTATAGTGTCACCAAAACCATGCTCGATCAACACGTGAGATTGGACTGTGAGATGTTCACATACGCCAGATGGGTTGGGGATAGCTTCGCTTCTGCTCGGAGCAGAGATAAGTTGCCTGTTTTGAAGATCAGCAACACTATTCGTAGATCTCCGTTTATGTTGATAAGCACTGACTCGGGGGTTATGGCCAAAGCAGCCGACGCCGCAGCAAAGACGGAGAACCACCGGAGAGGTCCCATGGCGAACTAAGATCGAGTATGCTCTGCTAGCATATAGAAAGTAGAAGAGAGTGTGCCATAGCTGCAATTTATAGTCGTGAGGCTGACGGGTCACGCCGCCAGACCACCATTCCTTCCTGTATAACATATTACCGAATCAAGAAGGAGGAATAACTAGCACAGCTTTCAATAAATCATGCATGCACTAAATGATCTGAAATCCAGGGCCCAATTGCATCAGCAGTAAAGAGATAGGTTACATCGGATAACCTCGGTTCTTTCTGGAGGGGCAAACACGCTAAAAAAAGGGACCATTGTTGCTGTTCGCGATTCCTTCGACGACATTGCGAGTATCACAGCACCATGTGGTGCCATGTGTCTTGTGTAATAATAACAGCTTATCGAATGCCATGTGCTGATTATTGTGCCACTTGGAAGTACAGGTTCGTTTCTGTTACTCGTGGCTGATATTTCCGAGGCATGGTTCCGTCCTCAGATCGGTAGTCAAAAATATATCAATATGGCACGACAGGGTCTATCTCGCAGCTTTCGGACACGTCGTAGAATGTGGTCAAATCGCTGATTCACGTCAAAATGGCGCGATATCAGCGAACATGATAGGGATGGCAATGTCTCAGACGGGATTCCTGCCATGCGATGTCCTCCCAATACCCATTCCAGCCCCAGTGTGGACATGGTCAGGTCAAATTTGACACGGAGTGCCTGCGAGCTGCTCGACTCTGTTTCTTGATGTCCATCAGTTTATATATTGGACATGGCCTTATCTTTTCCTGGTAGAGACTCAACTGGAGGAATGATGGGAGCCGTAGCAACTTTTCCAGAGCGGTGGTTCCCACAAATTAATTCCTTTTTCATGGATGCAATGGAGTAAAGATCCTTCAGAAAGTCATTTTATCCTAAGTGTCTGAGCATGGGTGTCATTGTGTCGACGAGGAGGTTGTACTGAAGAGAGTGCAAATTCTACATAATTCTTATGTATTTGGCTATATGTCAATTTCTTACCATGATGAAGATATGGTTACAAGTCATTATTTTGTCTCAAACTGTAATGCACAAACAAATGTACCTAGTGTCCAATCAACCGGGGACTTTCTCTCGAGTCTGTGTCACTCGAAGATCAGAACACGACCTCTACAAACTTCAACCGACCTTCCAGCAACGAAAGAGAGCCAGTCCCGACATCATTCCGTTTCTGCAAACTAGCTACTCCAACCTTCCCCATACCCGCAGCATCCCGCACCCGCGCCCTTTCCTGCTGAAAGATAAACCAAGTCATATCAGCATTCCATGTCTCCATAGCCCGGATCGCATCATCGACTGCTTTAGACTCGATCTTCAGAGTTTCCGGAATCTTGGCTTCAGATGACGAGTGATAGAAGGCAAAGTAATAATCAGGACCAGCGTATCTTGCTATCCAAGCACCGAGGAATTCACATATCTGATCGCCCATCGAAAGAGGGAGGCGGACGTGTGTGAGCAGCGTAAAAAATAGAGATGTTAAGGCTCGCCAGAGACTGTGGTGCGGTGTGAATGTACGGATGTTGGATGGTGGTGTTCCTGCTGCGGTGAATGCTGACGAGGTGGAAATGGCCAATGACAATGACTGCACGAAGTTAAAGGATGGCTCGGAAGGTGAGTTTGATTTCGGTAGCTGACGAGCTGCTCGTCTGCCAAGGGCTGTTTCTGCATCCTGCCGGACTTTGTCCCATGCGCGTTTGTAGAGACGTTCCCAGCGTGGGAACTCGCTTTCTACTCGTGATGCCATAAAGTCGCCGGCGGTGCTGCACATAACTTGAACGGTCTCGATGGCATTGGTGATGACATATGTTTCTTCTCTGATCTCGGACTCGTCGGATCTCTGCTCCGCGCGGTCTGCGGAGGCAGCAGGGGTGTCCCTTGTCATGAGGGAATTCGAAGATGACATATCTTTAGCGGAGGAAGGGAAGCTAATCCTCGAGACTACAGGTGGCCATAGGTCGTTGATGAGGGGTAGGAAGCTGGTTTCGTTTTGTGAGAGGATGGGGAAGATTTGTATAACGGTCGAGAGCAGGGAGCGGCGGAGGTACGGGGAAGGCGAGGATAGGTGAGACGGTATCGATTTGATGATGTTCAAGAGGAGTGTGTGTGACTTGGTTAGAGGCTTTTCGCTGCCTTCGGGTTCACGAGGTTTTGGGAGGGGTTCGTCCGTTTCTCCTTCCATTTTTTCCATGAGATCTGCTGCAAAGTTCAAGCTGGGCTCTGGTTGTTTGAGGCCCTCAGACTCCAACGTCCAGGGCTGTTTTGGATGTGTGGACTTTCCCGTATCCTCGGCTTCCTCTTCTGAGAGTTTGGCCCGTTTGGATTTCCGTGCAGCAAAGTCCTTGACAAGGGTCGATACGTCGAGCCTCTCGTATTGACGTTTGCGATGATCAGGACGTTTATCGTCTTCGCCTTCTGTGATGGCCAAAACTGAAGGCGTTTTTGCGCCTTCTTCGACAATGGCAGCAAGAGTCTTGAAAATAATTTCCGTAAGCTTTGGGTATCCGTGATACATATCCAATATTCCGAAGATGGAACCTATCAGATCATCCAGATAGGGAATCAGACGCGCTCCACACAGCTTGATCATCATTAATAGCACTTGTGGTGGATATGGTGAGACATCGAAAGTATTCAGTTTCAAGCCAACTGCATTAACAAGATAATCGACGTTTTCGATAACCATGGTGCTTGTATCGCCGTAGTTGCACGCCGTCGTGAGAATGTTAAGACACGTCATGGCATGGTTTTGAAGGTTGTTGTTTCCGGAAGCCAAAAGCTGGAGAACAGGATATAAAGCATCCATGAGTTCTGGACGAAAGGCTTCGCCGAGCTGTTGCGCCTGGAGTGCGACCGCTTCCAGGGCAAGTGCCGACACACGCCAGTCTCGCGAGTCATCAATCAGCGGCTCATTTAATATGGGCAATGAAATGTAATACAAGTCTTCTATCATGTTTGATCTCGTGCTAGGGGACACGGAGAAGTCCACATAATCAGACGCTATGAAGTCATCGAAAGCTGTTGTAGCTTGCGAGCTGTTGTTAAGGAATGTCAAGGATAACCAGAAAGGAGCAAGTATAGCATCCCCTGATGCATTATGCATCCGTCCAATGATTGAGCCTGTGATTTCACTACCAGAATCCGAAAGGCTAAGTCTGGTTACCATAGACTTCAGATCGATGAGAGTCTGATGTTGGCTTCGATGCTCCATCAAAACGGGTGGAAAGGTCATTGACTTGTAATTACGCCGGGCCACTTCCAGGCTCAAGTTATTCGATGGATCCAGGCTCACTGGCTGAAGTGTGTTGGCTGTGTGTCCAACGACGGCAGAAACACTGTCGCATAAGCCTCCAGCCAAGCCCGTCGTCAGGAGATCAGATCCAGACTGAACTTGTGACAAGATTTGGAAGACAGTCGATATCTGTTTGATTCCCCATTGTTTTGCTGTTTCGTCGTTGCCCTGCATAGTCCGTGGAAAAGACGTAACCCACGACTTAAGCGAGTCTTTGAGGGAATCGAGGATCGTTGGATAGACAATGGCAAGATGCCTTAGTGATGAATACGCAGCATTTGGTGTCTGCTCTTCGTCCATATCTGACAGAACGACGATGGTCTCCACCATTATGGGTATTGAATCCTGGAGAGTATTTTGACAGTCCTCGATGACCATGAGACATAGGTCAAGAAGAGCCACCTGTACTTCTGACCGCTCATGACGCCTTATCTGGACCACATTAGCGAGTGCGAGCTTGATCTGTGTAGTTGTAGCTTTCAACCACGAATCATCAAGCACAAGTTTGTCGTTCCCTGTTTCAGGCTGTACTGGTTCCTCTGAGGTGCTGGCAACGCGATCATTCAAGACCGTCTTCAATAAATGCGCAAGAACCTCGAGGCAGATAACGGAAAGCCGGTAGGAGCGCCTTATTTGGGTCGATGGCTTCAGCACCTTTGTCAAAGCAGACACCGTGCGCGGCATAATGCTTGCCAGCACAACTCGATCAGTTATACGACGATAAAGACCTTGGAGGGCCTTTGCAGCAGCGAGACTCAAGTCATCAGATCTGCTATCCGTAACACCTTCAAGCAAGATGTATACTGTCTGATCAACAATTGTCGCGGTACCAATCTCATTGTATACAGTCTTCTCCGCGAGAGGGCCACCCAAGGCGTCGAAGATGGCAGAAAAACAGTTGAAACCCGCAATAATCAATTCCTCCGGCCGAGTACTTGCCGCCTGGCCTCCATTGGTCCTATTCGGTACGCCACCAACTATAAGCGTCAACAGTATTATGAGCTGTTTCCCCATCATCGGGGACAGATGCTGCCGCCATCCTTTTGCGACGAGGGTTCGCAAGCAATTGACGGTTAGTTCCAGACAACGCGCGGAAATTCGTTGTGTCTCGTTGAGTATATGTGAAAGCGGGAAGAACGCATATTCTGCCAGTTTCTCGTCAAGCGCATCCCTATCGGCGAGTTCCTTCAGGCTGTTGTATAATGGCTCGAGGGCTCGGGCAACATCGTTTGAGGTTGCTTGATGGCCACGGAACCCCAAACCGATAGCGCTGAGCTCAACACATGTTGGGCGCAGCTGTCTTTCGAGTCAGCCGGGCTAGCTAAAGTATTGAATAGAGTATATAGTTACCTTTCTGAAGGATTCTTGCCTTGAATTCTCCATGGCTTGTTAGTTGAAGTTGTTTCTATGCGACAAAGGCAGCATGCTCATCCGGTGCAAATGTATCACAGAAATAGCGACATATCGCAAGCTAACAGCTCATCTATAGCAGCAAATATCCAAGGAGCGATGTTATCATATCAATATCGCATTCTGGATGATATCTTGAAGCTCTAGGCCTCACCGCCTGTGCCCGCATTTTCTGCTTGATCTATAGAGCGGTGAATAAACAGCGATGTTCTTCGCAAGAATAAGAGGAATGGAGGCCAAGCACCGATTTCAAATATTACTAGTATATAGATTTTTTGAATAGCTTCTCTTACATGTCGGGAAACCTCCTGCTTGTCGTAGTATGTCTAATTCAAAGCGTGGAGTGACGTAGAGTCAGCTTGAATTGACTCACGTGATTTTAATGGATCGCGCGTCACGTCACGTCGCGCTTTCTGCCTACGATCTCGACGGCTGCCTTCAGCGAACAAGAGCCTCAAAATCGACTATATTTATCGCGCAGTGCCCTTCACATTAGGGAGGCCTAATTTATTACCTCCTCCCGACGCGCTTAAGCCGTCTATGCCCTCGTTCAGCGCCTTGTGTTGCCGGAGACCGTTTGCCTACGCTGCAACAAGAATCAGGAGTGCACCGTCAAGCCGAATCGGTCTCGCTCCTTTAGCCACGCCGATTTGTATTAGGGCTTTTGGGTCTTACGCGCAACGTCCCAAGGCATCTACTGGGACTAGCCCTCTTTTTGCGTCCGGTTTTTCTGCGTTGGAAATGTCGGGGAAACAAGCTACACTGGGGTATGTTCGGGATTCCCAGTTGACTATCGGGTGCGTCGCCGGACTGCACTGGATAAGTTCTTAGGGCTAGGATGGTTTTGTTGTTTGATTACTGTTCGGATTGCTGATGCGCTTTATTTCTCAGGAGGTTTTTCGGCTCGAATTCGAACCCTAAAGAAGCTCCGAAGAAGCAGACTACCTTAGCATTCTCGGATAAAAAGAAGAAGGACAATGCCGCTGCTGAGCCGGAGGTGACAAATGCCGAGACTGAAACTCCCAATGGCGATGAAATGAAAATAGACGAATCTCCGAAGCGGAAATCAAGTGCACGCAATGGAAACAAAAATGGGGAGGACAAGGCGGAAAAGGAGAAAGACGTCGACGCTGAAGATAGCGAAGGTTCAGATGTTCAGCCCGCGCGCAAGAGACGACGGAGGACATCGGTAGACGAGGCCGATGCTCCTGCTAAGAAGAAAAAGTCGCCATCACCTAGAGGCTCTAAGAAGGAAGCTAAGGAGGCTTCGCCACCACCCGTTGTCAAGAAAGCCTCTGGAGAAGAGACACCTGAAGAGGAGGATAAGGCTTCGGATCTCGAGCCGTCTGCCAGCGAAGGAGAAGATGAGAAGCCCGAATTGAAAAAGAAGAAGATTGAGAAGGTGCAGGAATCGCTCCAAGGAACTGGGAAGGAACCATTTCCTGACTGGAAAGCTGGCGCACCTGTTCCTTATGCAGCGCTGTGCACTACCTTTTCTCTTATCGAGATGACCACCAAGCGACTGGAGATTTCAGCCCATTGCTCGCTTTTCCTTCGTCAGGTACTTCGGTTGACTCCAAACGACTTGCTTCCAACGGTTCAACTCATGATCAACAAACTGGCCGCAGATTATGCCGGCGTCGAGCTAGGAATTGGCGAGTCGCTGATCATGAAAGCCATTGGTGAGAGTACAGGGCGGAGTCTCGGCGTGATCAAAACGGACCAACACGAGATTGGAGATCTGGGCTTGGTGGCGGCCAAGAGTCGTTCGAACCAACCGACCATGTTTAAGCCAAAGCCATTAACAGTAAGGGGCGTTCACGAAGGCTTACTTGGTATTGCCAAGGTCCAAGGTCATGGTTCCCAAGACAAAAAGGTCTCCGGTATCAAGAAACTCCTTTCTGCTGCAGATGCGGAAGCAGCCGGCAAGGGGAGCAAGGGCATCGATATCACCAAAAATAAGGGCGGCCCTAGTGAAGCGAAATACATCATTCGATTCTTGGAAGGAAAGCTGAGACTTGGGTTGGCTGACAAGACTGTCCTTGTGGCTCTTGCTCAAGCAATGGCTATGCACGAAGCCGCGTCGAAGGGAGAGAAATCGCCTTCAACCGACAAGATGGCGTCCGCTGAATCCAAATTGAAGACGGTTTACAGTGAACTTCCCGCCTACGAGGTGATCATCCCAGCTATGCTCGAACACGGCCTGGAAAATCTTGGGGATGTCTGCAAGCTGCAACCTGGTATTCCTATCAAGCCTATGCTTGCGAAGCCGACCAAATCGATCACTGAAGTACTTGACCGTTTCGAAAACAAGGAATTTACGTGTGAGTACAAGTATGACGGAGAAAGAGCACAAATCCACTATGTTGCACCGGACGCCATCCAGCACTATCCAGGAGCAGAAAATACGCTGCAAAAGGACGCCAAGGGACTCTGTGCTATCTTCTCGCGCAACTCGGAGGACCTGTCCAAAAAGTACCCTGATGTGCTCGCAAAGCTCAACACCTGGATTAAGCCAGGCATTAGTAGCTTCGTTTTGGATTGTGAGACTGTCGCTTGGGATACGGTGAGCAAGAAGGTTCTTCCGTTCCAGCAGCTCATGACCCGCAAGCGAAAAGATGTCAAGGCGGATGACGTTAAGGTCAAAGTTTGCATATTTGCATTCGATTTGCTCTTCTTGAATGGAGAGGTAAGATTCGAAGTGTTACCTGTGTCAGGAATATCTGTATGCTAATTAAGTCCTAGCCTGCGGTCAAGAAGTCGTTACGGCAGCGCCGTGAACTTCTGCATGAATCGTTCCAGGAGGTCGAGGGCGAGTTCCAATATGCCCAGCATGGTAACACCAATGTGCTGGATGAGATCCAGACCTTGCTTGATGACAGTGTCAAGGCGTCTTGTGAAGGACTGATGGTCAAGATGCTTGATACAGATGAAAGTGGTTACGAGCCGAGTAAGCGGAGTCGTAACTGGCTTAAGGTATTTTCGATCTGGAAACTTCCTTGGAGCTTAGCTCGCTAACTCTGTCACAGGTCAAGAAGGATTATCTCAGTGGCGTCGGGGATTCTTTGGATCTAGTCGTACTTGGTGCATACTACGGGCGCGGAAAGCGTACGTCTGTCTACGGCGCGTTCCTTCTGGCAGCATACAACGCGAACACGCAAACCTACGAGACAATATGCAACATCGGTACAGGTTTCTCAGAAGCTAGTCTCGAAGAGTTCCACAAGGAGCTCTCTCCGCTTACCATTGACCGGCCCAAGCCCTTCTACTCGCATTCGAGCGTCCCCAAGGATCAACCAGACGTGTGGTTTGAGCCCCGACTAGTGTGGGAAGTTAAAACAGCCGATCTGACTCTCAGTCCCCGATACCAAGCTGCAGCTGATGAGTTCGTCGGAACCACTGGTGGAGAAAAGGGCGTGTCTCTCCGTTTCCCGCGGTTCATCAAGTCTCGTGACGATAAGAAGCCTGACCAAGCTACCACGACACGAGCGGTTGCTGAGATGTACCGGAAACAGGAGGCAGTCACGAAGGAGAGCACCGGCAAGAAGGGCGTGGATGATGATTTTGAATACTGATTTAATGTCTGTTTGGAGTTGCTACCATGTTATGATGTTACCTCATGCCCTAACTATCGCTTCAATTGGTCTTCTTGGCGGGACTAGATAATGACTTGTAACCATAGCTTATAATGTTAGATGACTTGCATATGCAGCAATCCGATTATCGCAATTCTAGACCCCTGTCGTCAACTGACAGCCTTGAGTAACGACCACAAACAAGGAGGTGGGGATATTATCTGGCCATGACTTGTCCTCTATTTAGTGCAGTTGTTTTGTTTTTAAATCTCTACCCACGACTCTTATCACGCTTCAATTATCCCAACAACCGACGAATGTAAACTGCAGAACCTTCGAACGAATCTGGATCCAATTCCTCACGCAAGCCATGACCGAGGGAATCTTTGCGATTAAAGCCGAGAAAATCAAGAACCACGCAGCAAAAGCATGGGCCGAAGTCAAACCGCTTGCCGATGTTCTCCCCAGACCTCGACACGGTCCCCTTGCCCCGTTCTTCGGAACACCCGAATGCGATACTGTTCTAAAAATGGCCTTGGATGAATATCTCCAGAAGGTGCTCTCCCTCTATATTTCCTCAATTTGAAGGGCCTTATCCAACTGATAAGTGACAGCCATCTACCCCCGAATTCAGATCCCATCTGAGAGTAAGCGGTCATATTGCTTTCCCTGGCGTAGTAGCCACCGGTCAGACAACGACGATATTAGTTCCTCTTCAGGTTATTGGTGAGGTCAATGTTGGGCCTGTTAGGATTGATCTCGAGCATCATTATAATATTTTGAGTTTGTGTGATGTGGAAGTGTCGGAGGGAGGGAAGATGGTTGCGTTGGTTGTGTCGAATATACCGGCGCAGTAACTTGGATGTTTGGCTTTGCGCTTTGGTGTATGTTGGATCTGTGTCCTTTTGCTTCTTGTTTGCTTATTTGAAATCAATTATAATTGTTTGGGGAACGTTACAGTGGCGGGCAAGTTTAAATTGTCTGCAGCTCCGCATCAGCTTCCATGCAATGGTGGGGGTTCCAGAAGGCAGTAGTAAGTGTCTTGAACATCTGTTCAACACTGATATACAGTTCAGTGGTGTCATCATGCAATCTGACACTCAGTTGCTGTCGTGCTAGACCGCCAGTGCGAGATCATTTCATTTAATCATTATTAAAATGGTCTGCATTGGCCATGAACTTCCCTTTCATCTCAATCATCCAGTCCTTGAATTTGGGTCCTTTGCCATCAGTGAGGAGTGCAGGATCAGGCACCTTTTCAGACTTGCTTGATGACTTGGTACTCTCCACAGTGGAAACATGAGAACATAACTGCACCTCTGCATAGACCGCCTTGTACTCATCATGTTCCACCATCAGGTCATCAATCTGGCTCTCTTTGTCCTCCAGTTAAGCTTTCTATCTCTGGGGCTCATTACAAAGGGTCTGGACAAGCACTTCATCCATATGCTTGCAGTATTCATTTTCAAGGTCAATCATACAGTTGAAAGTGTCAGCAATGTAGTCAAATAGTTTATTGGGGTGGTCACAGCACTGTGCCAGAAATTCTTCATGTGTGATAATTTTTCAACCCTGTTCCTTCATGTCCAGAGTCACTGTGTCACACATTGACTCTGGGTTCATTCAGTGGCATCTCTAGCCATCTTGACTAATTCGGTTTGATCATTTGTTGTTGGTCGTTTGGGGGTTCTCTATTGCAAGCATACAGATCTCTCTGGTAGAGTCCTAGCTATATGCGCTAGAGAAGAGGTTGTAAAGAGAAGAATAAAGGTGATGTTACAATTATGTGACAGTCTCATTCAATAGGAATCTATTGGTGGACTATCTGACGAAATTCTAACATGAGGAGAGAAAGGAAAAGGCAGGGCCTGCCGGCGAGGGGCTATCTAGTGTGTACAATGTGACGACTCGACGCCGCATCAACAGCTCAACGCTGCGTCAACAACTGACACAGACAAACGATATCAACACGCTAGACAAGACATTAGTGATTCCAAACGAACGCCTATAAAACCCCTTCTTTCTCTAGATAGATTTCCTTTTCTCTTTTTTTCCCAGATTCGATATTCTCGTCGATGGCTACACTAGTTTAGATAGGAATATCAATTCGTTATTATCTACTGGTCCGAACCCGTGACACGCAAGAGGTTCATGGCCTACTCCAAACAAACCAAAGTGTGACGGCTTAACGTCGCATGTATATACGGCTTGGCGCTGGACAAAATGAAGCAAGAAAAAAGGTTTCAGCACCAATACCCAGTACAACTTTAATAAAATCAAGTGCATGGGATTGGTGGCAGTTTAGTGGCGAAATCCGCCACTGCTACAAATACAATTATACAAACTAGGTAGAAATTGCTTGAACTTTTAATATCAATATGAAACATATATAAGGCTCAACTATCCCAGACCCCTGTTTTGAATAGAGAGCAGAAAATAACATAGAGAAGTTGAAGTGAGGACAAGTCTTACTTTACAGGTACACAGAATGCCATAATAAGAACTCTCCCATTAGCATAACCAAGAGTGAGGGCACCATCTTTAGTAGCCGAACAAGAAAAGGCACGATATTCAGAGGGGAGCCATAGAATTTTTTCACCTCGAAAGGCTACCCAACCTTTTTCTAGGGATACTTGATGGCTAGGCTGGTCTGGAGTTGAATAGCCTTCAAGGGTCTGTAGCTTCGTGCCAGTGTCAGCCTGCCAGATTTTGATGGTGCGGTCATGAGTGCCAGATGCCACCGACTGAACTGAATTAAAATGGCCTTCAAGGGTCCGTAGCTCCGTGCCGGTGTCAGCCTGCCAGATCTTGATGGTGCGGTCACCAGAGCCAGATACCACCATCTTTCCATCTGGGGAGAAGGCCACTGACTGAACTGGATTAAGATGGCCTTCAAGGGTCTGTAGCTCCGTGCCGGTGTCAGCTTGCCAGATCTTGATGGTGCGGTCATGAGAGCCAGATGCCACCATCTTTCCATTTGGGGAGAAAGCCACTGAGTGAACCCAACTAGAATGGCCTTCAAGGGTCCGTAGCTCCGTTCCAGTGT